CTGTACTATAAATTAAGGTGTTTCAAAGAAATATAAAACAAAGACGACCGTGAAACTTAACCCAAAAACGCGTTTCTAATTAAAAATGAAAACACGTGTTGATATCCTAGTTTTTGGTGCGACGGGTTTCACAGGGAAATTTACTGTACGACAGTTGGCTCTTTTAACAAAGGAGAAGTACTTAGATGTCACATGGGGTATTGCAGGACGTTCAAAGGAAAAACTAGAAAATTTGGTGAGAGACATACGTAATACGGGTGAGCAACTTATAATTTATTTTATTACTGTAACGTACTTGAACGCGTGTAAAGGAATTAGTTTCATTAAAAAAAAGTCAATGAATAACTATCGAAATTTGACTCGATATTTTAGATTGGTTTATTTATTTATTTGGGATAACAAACAATAGTACAATATTCAATATTAGTAAATGTTATTATTAGGTACAAATGTGCTAATTGTACTACCACCAGCATTATTCACTTATTAGTATACACAATGTTATAATAAAATGGTGCATCCTACGTGATTAAAATAATAATAATAAAATAATCAAATAATTTGTTATAGATAAACCTGAATTATTAATTGTATTTGCACAAGAGAAATGTAGAAATACGATATATGTCTAAATTAGATATAAATTAAAATAATAAATAATTATGAAAATTCGGAACCCGATCTGGAAGCAGTCATATCATTTAAGGATTCTATTACAATTTTTTTATATTTGATTGCTGAATGCATGAAGATATCCGTACTGTTATAATAGGTATTGTAATTGTCTACAAGCCGTGGTAGTGCTGTTCTTAAGCCTGCGTTTGTTTTAGGAACATGATAAGGCGTAATCGCTAACAGATCTTGTGGGCAAACCTGCCTTCGCATGACTGTTCTGGGGACGATGTAACATAATCTATTTGATAGTTCCAGACAGTCATACTTGTTATGAGAATGATGAGATGTATGACATAATAAAAATGAATTACTTATTAACTAAGCACAACTGAGAATCTCTGCAATCATCATCATCATCAGCCTATCGCAGTCCACTGCTGGAAATAGGCCTTTCCCATTTCGATCGATTTTCCATTTGCCAGCCATCTTGCGCAGATCGTCACTCCACCTGGCCTCTGGGCGTCCTACACTATGTTTGCATAGACGCAGTCTGCACTCAAGGACTCGTTTATCCCTACAATGCTCAGCCGAAAGACGTTCACTGCTGGAAGTAGGCCTCCCCCAAGGTTCGCTACAACAACCGGTCCTGTGCTTCACTTTATCAGCTTTATTTATATACATTACGTACAAAAATACAAATATCTTCTATTCTTTCACCACAACAGGAAATACTGCCGTCATAAGAAAAAAAGACGCTTCTAACATTTTTTTCAAAATCTCACTATTTATATATTCGGAATCAGAAGAAAAAGACGCACCTACCAGTATTTTTTATTTTTGCAAAAACTAAATAGAACCCTAAAAACATCACTAATAAATAAGGCACTTCTACTTGATAATGCAAAATTTACTAAATAAAAAAGACATTTATGACGTATATTAAGTTGAAAAGACGCATGTTAGTAGAAGCGTCTTAATAATTTATAAAATACTTTTCGATCATAGAATGAAAAGACGCTTTACTTTGCTTATAAAAAGAAAAAAAATAATTATTGCTACAGAAACTTGACTTGGAAAGAACAAAAATATTTTATAATACACAACACGTCTAAAGAAAAGCCTAAGAGAAAAACTGTTACAGGAAATCGAAAATTGCCTAGGAATGTACGTATCTCGTATTTTCTGCTAAATGAAACGGGGACTAAAATCAATGTCTGCAAAGTTTTTTTTCTAGAAACATTAGGTTACAATAGAAAAAACGATAAGTCTGTACTGAACGCTTTAAACACCCTGATACATGAGACCCCAGTTATTGTAGATAAACGAGGAACCAATCCTAATCCGAAAAAGTTCGACAACACCAAAGTCTTAGAACACATAAACTCATTCAACCCTTCCATATCCCATTACCGCCGCGAGCACGCCCCAGATAGAAAATATCTTCCGTCTGACCTAACAGTGGCTAGCATGTATCAAGACTTTTGCAGACAGCATCCGTCTGATGGCGAACATGTGTCTTATGACTACTATAGAAAACAATTGAAAAAGTTAAATATAAGCTTTTCAAAACTTGGACATGAAGAGTGTGAAGTTTGTGAAAAATATTTTATTCACAACCCGGAATTTAAATACATAAGACATAGAAATTGTCAAGAGTGCCGAGGTTATGAAAGACACCGGAACAAATATACAACAGCCAGGCAAGCATATAAATCTGACGTCGAAAAACAAAATCAGACTGATATTAATTCAGACATTGCCTATTTTGCTGCGGATTTGGAGAAAGTCATTATGCTTCCACGACTTGAAGAATTTAAAATTGTTATGTTTTGCCCAAGTGTTCAATGAAAGTTTTGTTCCAATAGGTAAATTTAAAAATTAACTAATTTTAAACTTTTGCTGCGATATGGCATGAAGCAATTTCCGGCCGGAAAATGGGTGACATCGCCAGCTGTTTCAGAGCTTTTTTATATGCAAATAGAGACCTAAAACTTATTGTTATTTGGTTGGACAATTGTGCAGCTCAGAACAAAAACTGGACTTTATATTCCTATTTACTTCATCTCGTCAACTCAGTCGAAGTCAATTTTGAAACAATAACGCTCAAATATTTAGAAGTAGGCCACACATTCATGGCTGCAGACGAATTTCATCACCAGGTAGAGTTATCTATGAATAAAAAGAAACATATTTATGATTTTGAAGATTTTTACCTAACAGTATCGAACACCAGAACCAATATCACTGTTAAAGTTATGAATGTGGCAAATTTTTATCAGTTCGAAGATTGTTCTTCAACATACAAACTGCAAAATTCATCACCCTGAGCCTATCTAAGTGACATTTGCGAAGTAACATTCTTCAGAGGCACACACATTATTCGTTACAAAACTGATTTTGACAAAGAGCAAGAATACTCACTCGACTTTTTAAGAGTAAAAAGTATAAAATCTGGTATACCGTCGCCAAAACCAAATAAACAGGGTAGAGGAGTTACTCAAGAGCGCAAGTCAGCGATTACACAAAAGGATGATGATGTTGATGATTGATGAAAAAGTTTAGTTTTTATAAAGTTATAAAAAATTGTTCATTCTATGATTACTACTTTTTATGTTTAATTTTTTTTTTTTGATGTGATGTTTTTTTTTTTTTTTTTTAATTATTTTTTTGTTTCTGAAAGAGATTTAACATTTGTTGTGATTAGTATTTTTATTAATGATTAAAATTTGATAGAATTTTTTATTTGTGAAGAAATCATAATTTTATTTTAATATGAATATTTTATTTACAATAAAAAATTGATTTAACTAATTGTGTATTATATTATAGTATAAGTGGTAAACATGTCAATTATTTAATCAGTATTAAAAGGGTGCAAGGGCGCATCGGTATTTCTAATAATGATAATTTTTTTATTTCACTAAGTTGAAACGCAGTAAGTGGCTAGAAACGTTTCTTTATTTTAGGTTTCTTTATCTGGTAACGCGTTATATTACTTAGTAAGAAAGACGTACGATAAATTACTACGTAAAAAAAACGTTTCTAGCCAGAAACGTTTTTTCTTTGTAGTATAAAGTATTTCTTTGCAATTTTTGTACTACAATGAAAAGTAAAATGTGGATTATTTAAATGAATTTAATTATTTTTGTTCAATTTTATATATATAATAATTTTAAATATAATCTATATTATAGAGATCAACCTGCCAGGCATCCACTAGCATAAAAATATTAATGGTTTTTTTATTTTCATGGATACAGCGAATTTTACAATTTATAAAATGGAAACTAATTTTTTTCTCCGGTTTGTCATTTATGTAGATGCGTCTTTTTCCATTATGGCGGCAGAATAACTAAAATCAAACCAAATTAAACTTAAATTTGAAAAACAAAGCTGTTAAAGAAAAAAAAACAAACAAAAAAACAAGGAATAGAATTAACAAGCTAACGGGTAGGTCCTCAACAATCACAAACTTACATATCTTTTTCAGGTCTCGATATTAAGAACGTACCGGTCATAGAATGTGACGTTGACAATGAAGAATCTTTAAAGAACATGTTGAGGGTTACCAAAGTTGTTATAAATTGTACAGGCGTCAATATTATCCTAAGCCCAAAGATCGTAAAAGGTTGTATCGAAACAAGAACGCATTACGTCGACATATCGTCCGAAATATTTGTAAGTTTTATGTTATTAATATGGGCCTGCTCGACCGAAGTATGTTGATTTGTGACATAGAACAGAAATATATCAAATCAATCTATTTCGTCTTGTCATTTAAGTAAACATTGAACATTAAATACAGCAATGAATTAAGCTGGTATAAATATCAGAGCATGTATTATGGATATTTTCTATGTTTCCAGCATATTCTAAGCCTATACCGTAGCTACAATAAACCAGCCAAAAATGCAAATGTACTGGTGATACCATCCTGTGGTTTTTCAAGTATACCCATAGAGGCCGGCATGATACACTTAGACAAAAAGTTTAAAGGTAAAAAAAATCAATCTAAAACCTCCTTAGAAATTTTATATTCATAATTTTGGCAGAAATTAATGATGTTAATAAAATATTACGCATAAGGTACCCTACATTCAGTAGAATGCTATGTCGAACATTTCTCACCGACGAGCCTACCAATCGAACCACTGGGTCATAGTGGCACGTGGACGTCATGCGTTCACGTTTTGTTGACTTTGAAGGAGTCTCTATCGTTAAAAAAGGAAATTTTACCGAAATCAAAAGAATCAAAAGCGGAAAAAATTAAAAGGTATGTAACTAATACTGAATTTATACTCTGTTCCATTTTAGCGTCACTTTCAAATTATATCATTATCAGCAACAGCCTTTAATAGTCCACTGCTGGACCTAGGCTGGACCACGCTGGCTAGACAGTTTGGTATACAGTTTGTTTCAAATTTTCTTTCTTCGCAGTGCTGTTGTCGTGCCTAGTTTGCTGCCTTAGTCACCTCTTACGACACCCATGGGATGAATAGGGGTGGTGACACTGAGTATTCTTAATTCGTCACTGCACGGATAAATAATCAAGCATAACAAAACAAACTCTTGATGGGAGAGTTTAAAAATAGGTAATTATTAATGTCTAGAATCTGACATGTGTTTTAAGAACGATCATTTGTTTTTCACGGTTTGTGTTCTCGGAAACGATCGTACTTTTACAATTATATAGAAAAATATATTTTACCTTCGCAGCGTAGTTGGTCTGTACCTACGTTAAGAAGGGGAACCAACATCCATTTTTTTTCATCATTCCATCACGAGTGTTTTTGCCAGTCTAGCAATGCGTCATCACCACTTTCATTTGCAGCGTTGGATTTCTTGTACAACATCTACGACTTTTGTCTTTTCTCTGATCCACTCGTTTCTGTTTCTGTCTCCGTAAATACAGGCAGGACACATTGGTTAAACAAATTGGTTTTCAGTAGTTGCGCGATTTATTTCGAGCGAAAAGTGAACTGTTAATTCCGAAAGCTGCCTATGGTTGAGACATGCTTCTCTCCACCGCCACCTGGCACTCTTAACTAATGCCCTAGACCCTACCCTAGACTTAACTTATGCCCTACGTAGATGTAGTGATCGACGAAGTGTCGAGTGATCTTTCGACGGGCAAATGCTGATTATGTACCACAATGATTTTTGTGAAGCTCTTCTTTTTGCCACGTATATTTTCAGACCAGTCTTGACTGAACATCATCCATCATTTCTCCGTAGGTCTTCTATCATGGCAAGCTTATCATTGACGCTATCGGCCACCAGTGCGATGTCATCTGCGAATCTTAGGTTATTGATGCTCCCTCCATCGACCGCTGTACCTTTGTTGCGTCATTCCAACCTCTTGAAGATGTTCTCTAGAGCCGTAATAAATAATTTGAATTTTTCATCATTCATTTTCGAATTCTCTTACCAGGTGGTATAATTTCGTGGTAAATATGTGGTGAGGCATCAGATTATAATATGTATTTATCACGAGGGTCCATGACCACCAATATGTTAAAAGATTCACACATCAATTTGTTCCAGACCATTTTTCTTCCACAACAACGGCCAACTATGGTTTCCATGGCCTGGAATAGAAAACGATACCGTGCAAATGTCTCAGCAACATTTATATGAAGAAAGTGGAAAGAAGCCAATTCATTTCGATGCATACACCACCTTTGAAAAGTGGTACTACTTTTTTATAATCCTGGGAATGTATATTTACTACTACTTGTGCAATTTTAAGTGTTTTGCCAAATTGTTAATAAATTATCCACGAGTCTTCACATTTGGTTTCATATCAGAGAAGGGACCTACAAATGAAATGACACAAAAATTGAAATTTAGATTTCTTTTAAATGGGATAGGATGGGAAGCAGGTGATCAGAATTGTGAACCAACGAAAACAATGTCAGTTAAGGTATGAAGATATAAAAAATATTTTATTTTCATAACCCGCTTTAAATGTATGTTTCTTTCTTATGTATCCATGACAATTGTTCCCGATGGACGTGAAATCTTCCCTTCCTCATTTTAAGCGGTTGATTTGCTGTCATTTTTTGAAGAGTTCCGTTGTCTATCTCCAAAACTCATCATCAGATTTATATGAAATTTAAATGGGACCATTTCGGTATAAACCCCTTTCGAACAAGAAATAATTTTGAAAATTCGTTTATTTGTGACAGTGTTATGCAAAATATTAACATCCGAATTGATAACCTCCTCCTTTTTGAAGTCGGATATAAATGTTTTATGTATAAATAGACCTAACATTACATTGAATTCACAATATTACTCATATTATCCTCTTTATTTCATTAAATATACATATAAATTACATTTTTAAATATATTTAAATACAAAAACAAAAAAAATACATTTAAAAATATAAAAAAATAGTGTCCCATCGGTATCAGGTACAGGGACCAAGATTTCGGTGGTTAGGACTCCAACGACAGAAACTTCCTCACAATACGTGTCGTATCGAGGAGAACTGCTTTCTGCATCAGGCCCTTAATCCAACTGCCTAATGCGAGCCTCTGAAGATGTTGGTCAAGGCTCTTAGCAACTAATCCATGGGCCGATATGACTATCGGTACAACGATTGCCGAATCAACATCCCACATGTCGACAATCTTGTGGGCCAAATCGAAATACTTTACTTGTTTATCTTTTTCAGCTTTTACTTTTATTATTATTGTTATTTTAATAAGCATACCTATTACATTCATGGGTGTACCCACAGTAGGGGAAGGTAAGGCACTTGGACACCCCCCACCCTAACTTACACTCGTTTTTACGTGATGAAAGATTTAAAACATTTCATGAAGTACAGCTTATTATTATTTTATTAATTTAGTTTCCAACCGACTTCAAAAACACAAAAGAGGAGGTTCACAATTCAACCGTTTTTTTTTTGTATGCTGCGCGATGTAAACGCACAAAATCATGTTTTTTACATCACATTACAAATCTCTGAAATTCTCGGCTTTTATCTGCTATAATATCATCATCACATCAACAGCCTATAATAGTCCACTGCTGGACATAAGCCTCTCCTTAGAAAGGAGGTTTTGGCATACTATACCACGCTGGCCAGACGGGTTGGTGTCAAGTTTTCCTTCTCTCTGCAGTGTTGTTGTTCTGCGTAGTTTTTTCCCTTAGTACCTTACGACACCCACGGGATTAATAAGGACCGATACTATAATATGCATGTATTATATATGTATAAATACACCTTGTCCGTGTGGTGACGGATTAAGAATACAGAGTGTCACCACCCCTATTCATCCCGTGGGTGTCGTAAGAGACGACTAAAGGAAAAAACTACGCAGAACAACAGCACTGCAGAGAGAAGGAAAACTTGAAAACCCTTTTTTTTTTTTTTTTTTTTTTTACGTGTGGAAATCCCCTCGGACCGTCACCCCTCCGGGGTTTGCGGCGGGGTGGTGTGTCGGACTCGGACCGACTAAAACCACACGGTGTGCCACTCTGCGCCTGTAACAGGAGGGATCCGGGAACAGCTGTTGTTAAGACATCCGGACCCCTCCTAGCGCCAGCCCGCTCCTGGTGCGGGCTCCGTCTCGATGTGGATGTTCCTCTCTTTAGGCGACGTCCGGCACACGCGGACGCCGCCCCCTCGCGGCTGGCCAACTAATGCGGGTGGAGGGGAAACCCACCCCGTCCACCCGCGGCCACACTCAGGGCGGCATGAGGCTGTGGTAGGCGGGCCTCCGCCGCCCGGTTCGCCGGCGGCGGATCGGGTCCGAGTGGAGGTCGTCCTCCCGGGCCCTCTCCGCCGCCTCCTTCCGCGAGATTACTACCTCGCAGAAGGTTGCGACCGCGGTAAAACAACTGTCGCTACCGGCCATGGAGCGTACTACGGCCGGTAGCGAGAGATCCACTCCGATGACTGCAGTGAGGGCCCGGCGCTGCGCCGCCCATGCGGGGCAGACCGCCAGCGTGTGCTGGGCCGAGTCCTCACTGCAGTCGCAGTGGTGGCAGGCGGGACTCAGTTCCCTCCTAGCGACCGTGTGCAGGTACTTCCCGAAGCAACCGTGCCCGGAAAGCACCTGCGTCAGTCGGAAGGAAAGGGTCCCGTGCTGCCGCCCTGCCCACTCGGCGATGACCGGCTGGAAAGCCTCCACGGCGGCGAAGCCAGCGCGTGGAGTCTCCAGCCGGAACGACCAACGAGCCATCGTGGCTCGGCGAGCGGCTTCGCGCCACTCGCGCACATCCTCGGGCGGAGGGCGAAATCCGCTCTCCGCCCGGCAGTCAGCCACTCGCCGATAAACCTCGGCGAGCACTTCCGCCTCCAAATCCCACGGGGGAGTTCCGGCCAACGCGCACGCCACCTCCGTCGAAACGGTGCGGTAACCGCGTATGGCTCTGACCGCCATTACCCTCTGAGGGCGCCAGAGGCGTACCCTATTCTGGGCGGTCAGAGCCGCCACCCACACCGGTGCACCGTACAGTGCCATTGACCGGACAACCCCCGTGTACAGCCGTCTTGTCGCGACGCTGGGTCCACCCATATTGGGCAGAAGTCGCCCTAGGGCGGACGCAGCGCCGACCAGCTTTGGAGCAAGCTGTCGGAAGTGCTCGTCGAAGAGCCACCTACCGTCGAGGATCAGGCCCAGATATTTCATCTGGGCCCGAACCGGTACGAGGGCCGAGTTGACCACGATGGAGGCGCCAGGGGGTGGACCACGACGGGGCCCATGGAATAACAGGGCCTCCGTCTTATCTAGGGCCACCCGTAAGCCCAGCGCCTCAATGCGCCCGACCACCAGGGAGACTCCCCCTGTGGCCAGGCGCGCCGCCTCTTGGAAGTTTGCCCCCCGGGCTGTCACGAGGGTATCGTCTGCGTAACAGATTACACCCAGCCCGGGGGGGAAATCGGCGCGAAGGGCCCAGTCGTACCCTATGTTCCACAAGAGGGGTCCAAGAACAGACCCCTGTGGAACACCGCACGACATGGGCCGACACCTCAGATTACCTTCTCGGTCCTCGTACACGACGGTACGCTCCTCTAAATAGTCTGCCACCAGCCGCCTCAGGTACTTTGGCACCCCATGATAGTGGAGTGCTTCCCTGATGCAGCTGAATGGCAGACTATTGAATGCGTTGGCGATGTCCAATGACACCGCCAACAGCACGCCGCCACAGCTCACGGCCTCTTCGGTCACGGCCCTCAGGCGCAACACGGCGTCGACCGTCGAACGCCCCGCCCGAAAACCAAATTGGGCGTCCGACAGATCGGGGCCCACCTCGCAGAGGTGCCGGACGATGCGGGCAGAAAGAACCCTCTCAAACAATTTGCCCGCCTCGTCCAGCAGCACGATGGGCCTATAGGCCGCGACCGAATCGGCAGGCCGTCCCGGCTTCGTCAATAGGACCAGCTTCCCGCTCTTCCAGCACTCAGGGAAGCGTCCCGACGCCAAGCTAGCGTCGAACACCTCCCCGAGGCGGTCTGCCATGTGGTTGAGGGCCAGGGCCAGCACTCGGGCCGGTACCCCGTCTGGCCCAGGGGCGGTGTTCTTGGAACGGATCCGTAGAACAGCCGCCCCTACCTCCGATTCCCGGACGGGCGGAACATTGTCCTCCCCGTGCTCCCCGTCGTCTCCGGCCAGGGAGGCCATCGACGGGGGAGTGTGTTCCGCCCGTTGTGGGAAAAGGCCCTCAACCACTTCTCGCAGGAAGCTGGGCTGGAGAGTCTCCGTAAGGGGGGGGGCCCGACGCGCGGAGCTTTTGTCGCACCGCGCGGTAAGGGCGACCCCAGGGGTCACGATTAAGACCCTCCAGCATCTCCTGTCTCTTTTCCTCTTTGGCGCGGCTCCATCAGAGATCCATGCTTCGGCACAAATGCGTCGGCTTGAACAGAGCGAAAACCACGGTCTCACAAAAACCCAATTATTTCGTTGCTTTTCACTGAATGAGTGAAGTTATCGGAGCCCCAAACCCGAAAGAAAAAAAATTAGCTAAGACGTGATCACGTCTATGATCCATATTTTTTAAAGTAACGAAGCTTCAAACCCGAAAGAAAACAAATTAGCTGAGACATGATCGACCGTGTGGTGACGGATTAAGAATACAGAGTGTCACCACCCCTATTCATCCCGTGGGTGTCGTGAGAGCCGACTAAGGGAGAAAACTACTCAGAACAACAGTACTGCAGAGAGAAGGAAAACTTGAAACAAACCCTATACCAACCCGTCTGGGCAGCGTGGTATAGTAGGCCAAAACCTCCTTTCCAAGGAGAGGCTTATGTCCAGCAGTGGACTATTAAAGGCTGTTGATGTGAAATACACCTTCTTCTTGAATCACTCTCTCTATTGATGAAAACCGCAATAAAATCCGTTGCGTAGTTTGAAAGAACTAAGCGTAGAAGAACGGGAAACGACTTCATTTTGTACTAATTATGTAAAGATGAAAAAATTATTTATATAGATTGTTGAAAGCAAAAACTGATTACCCCTTTCATTTTTGTTAAACAATTATTCTCTACAAGAACATAAGATAATATGCTTACATGCAATAAAATAAACAAATGGAATCAGCAAATAATTCATGCACAAAATTCTTTTTTTTTGTAACATCTTTTGTTTTGCAGGTATCAGGAAGGGACCCTTACGATTCAACAGCTATAGCTGTTATTATGAGTGCTATCACAATTATAAAAGAAAGCTCGAATATACCAAAGTGAGTCTATTGAACTCTTAAAATAAAGTTTCCGTGAGCTATTTCCTCAAATATGTATTTACTGGTTAATTTTTTTCAGAGGAGGAGTGATCATGCCAGGGGCTGCTTTTTATAAAACTGACCTAGTCGATCGATTGATGAATAATGGTTATACAATCGAAGTTTTAAAATAATTGTAGGGATAATGATACCTATGTGTTTTTACTATTATAATAGGTCAAGGAATAAAATGAAGTGGTTGAATTAAAGTTCGTACTTTTTAATCTTATCTTCGTCATATTGTTTAATGTCATTTTTAAGAGCAATATTCATTATCGGATATCGTATAAGCCGTCGAAAAAATAGGAGCTAAACATTTTATTTTATGGTGCTACGAGTATTCGTGTGGTGGCCAGAACTTTATTATCAAATTAACAAAAAATATTTTTGTGTTCTTGTTTTTATCATGATTTTAAATATCCCCGTGAACTGCTGTGTTATTTGTAATAATTATGAGACTCTTCACCAAAATTATTAGTATCGCTGAAGTCAGTAAAGAACATAAAACGATAGACGCAGAGAAAGATTCACATGATTTTTATGCAAGTAAAACTTGTCAGAAGGGAAAACATAGAGGTGATCTAGAAGGTTTTTTGGGTCAGTCTAATTTCGAAGTCGAGTTAAATTTAGACTAAGTGAGTTTTAGTATTTCAATAAACGTTTTTGTCAACAAACTGTTTAAGTACTTAGAAAGATTTAGATTTTATTTATTTTTTCAATCAAATATGTATCAATATTTAGTGTTTTTTATTATTTTAAGTATGTAAGTAGTAATGTATGAAACATTCATAAATCATGCTAAGATAAAAAAAATAATTAAGGGCCAGACCGATCGACACATTTACAATTATGATGAAAGGAACTGCTGAGTTTTTTTCTTTAATTACTACACGATGTTACATTATTTTTATTAATATTATAGGTACTTGCCTACGAGTATATAATGAAATGAAAGTATTTTATGCAATATTGTAATAGTTTTTTTCCAAAATAGCAGACTCACCACTGTCTCAATTCCAAGTTTTTTTGCGCTGATATTAACTACTGATAACGTAAAGAGAATAGAATAAAAAGAAAGGGTTAGAAAATGAGTTATTTATTGGATTTTTAATTATTTTAATTTTTAATATTAGTGATGGATCGTTAAAGTTAAAGGTATGTACTGTTTAATTTAAACTATTAAATGGATAGACTTTGATTAGACTTTTTTATACCTTAATTTTTAAATAATGAAACCCTTTTCCTTGTTTTCTTCTGCTACAAAAAAAAACCCCAAGTACTAACTAGCATGCACTATTGATCTGCACCATCATTCGTGCAGAGGAGACTAATTAGTTTGGTCTGCACCATTAATGGTGAAAACGAAACCGCATTGATAGTATGGTCTCATCTGCACCATTGAGAGGACACCATACTTATCGGCTAGGGGCTTAGGTAATAAATTCCAGAAAAATTGAACAATGACTTTGGTCCAGCTAGCATGTTTACAACGAATCACTGTGCGGTGGGCACAGGCGATCGACACCAAGGGAGAGGCATGTGCGGTAAGCTTGGACATAGCGAAGGCTCCGTTCCCATGGTTCCCAGAAATAATGTAACTGGGTCACCAGTTTCCTTGCAGACAGAAGCATTAAGGTCGTTATCGACTGTGCATGCTCCAACTTGAAATCTGTAAATGCTGGTGTCCCGTAAGGCTGTGCTATCACCCACACTTTTACTTCTGCATATCAATGATATGTTGCAAATTAGTAGCATCCATTGCTATACAGATGATAGCACGGAAGATGCCTTTATACCGGTCGCCCCAATATTTCCCGGGAAATCGTCCAAACAAACTTGTATCTGAAATTGAAATTTCCTTAGCGGAACCTACTCCATTTCTACCTAAAAAAGACAGGTTTGCACATTCACCACAAAAAGATACCATTTGTCGTATCGCCTCGGTTCGAGAGGAAAGCCAAAAGATCACCGACCGGCTCGATTCCTTGGCGTTAGGGTTAGAGATGCAGCTCTCTGCATTCTCTATCGTATGTATCACGGAGAGTGCTCCGAGGAATTGTTCAGACTAATACCAGCCGCAAGTTTCCGCCATCGTGACACACGGAAAAAATTTCATCCTCACCACTTGGATAATTGGCACTCCACCGCTGTGCGCTTTTCAAGACATTTTTTGCCTCGCACAACCAATTTGTGGAACAAGTCGGTCGTCGTCGTCTGCGGTATTTCCGAACCGATACGACCTTCAAACCTTCAAGAAAAGATCGTACTCTTTCCTCAAAGCCGGCAACATGCTTGTGACTATTGAGTTGCAGGCGTTTATGGGTGGCGGTAGTAGCTTTCCATCAGGTAAACCCTCTGCTCGTTTGCCCCTTCTTCCATAAAAAAAAAATAAACAAGACTAACCTAAGCCTTAACACAAATATTTTTCCTATTGACTTAATTCAAACTCAATTAGTGTAAAATAATAAATAATCAAGCATCAAAATATGGTATGGTATAAAATTTATTATATCTTAATATTACAAGATTAAAAATAAATTACATTTTATTCAGACTTTTAGTCAGTAGAACTCATTTGCAGTTTAAGTAGTTTAAATTTTCCAACATATTTCTTAACCTCATCTTTAGGGTAAGGTTTAATAGCTAAACAAGTAGGTATATTTTCTGGCTGTTCAATCCATAATTTGTGCGCTATTGAATTTTCTTTTAGCTTTGCTGCTACTTTATTTAATGCTCCCTCATCAGGCACCTGTAACATTTGACAAATATGTATATTTATAAACATCTGTTATACGAGTACTACAAGTGTCAAATCACTTAATTTTTCAACCCTTAGGTTGAATAGTTTTTTCTAATTTAGAGTATGCATTTATTCAGTTAGATCTCAAATCAAATCATTTTTAACGTCAATTAAAAATAAGAGATAAGTTTTCTTTTCTTAGATAGTTACCTTTTTTTTGGTATTTTGTATAAATTGATTTCAAAACGCCCGTTTGTCTAGTGGTTAGTTACCCTAAATACTGAGCAGAGATTTTGGGTTTGCTCCACTCAAGTCAAACAAGTGTCGGCATAAAAACTTAACATTGCATTCATGAGGTGAAGTACTATGCCAAAAGGAATAAAATGCTTCTGAAAGTCCTAGCTCTTATAAAAAAGTTGAACATAGGTATCTATCTTCGTGTACAATAAAACTTACTCATTTAATTATCAATTAAAGCAAATACACAAGTAAGTACAGTTTAAATAATATTATTACGCTACCATCGGTTTCTGTTCCGTTCAATCAGTGCAGCATCATTTTAAGGCAATGAAAAGCAGTAAATACCATATGATCACCATATGATACACTATACAACAATATGAGTCCCTACCATATGATCTGTTCATTTAACCTACCTCTAAGACCACTTTATGCATATTATCCATATCATTTAAATACTTTACAGTGTACTCATCATCTTTGTTTAAGTGGAGAACAGCTGTGGATGCGTGGCATGCCTGGGCTACAACTGCTCCTATTGACCATCCTAGTTCCTTTAGTAAATCTGTTCGTAGCAAAATATATTGGACGAGAGTGTTCGACATTGTACGAACAATATGAACTGTTCATTCAGCGACTTGTAGTCCATCTAATCTAAGAGGTACCGTTTGACGTTTCATACTTTTCAAGACGAAACAAGTAACAACTTTGTATAGGCGGAACTCACAATTTCAATAACCTTTTCCGTAAAACTATGGAGTTATGTATCTCTTTTTTATTTTGTTGCAAGATATATAATTCTTAATGACTAAATTTAAATCTTTGAAATAAAGCAAAATAACCGATTTATACACAAGAGATGTTTTTTTTCAAACTTCATTTCAAAGACACATAGTTAGGTCCTTTAACGTAGGGTCCTTTAACGAGTAATGGTTAAAATGTATAAAAAATCGGATTTTTTAATAACTAGTAATTTTCATTCCGGGCGTCTTAAAATGTATGATTGTACTTAAAATTCATCTGAAATCCAACTGTCAATGTAAACGCATAATTAAAATTAAAAGGATGTAAGTAAAATACTTTAAAAAACTTCATAGGCAAAATCGAAACACTACAGTACATGACCTAACCACGTGACTTTAAAACGAAGTTTGGAAAAAAAACATCTATTGTGTGTTAATTGGTTATTTTGCTGTTTCAAAGATTTAAATTTAGACATTAAGAGTTGTACATCTCGCGATAAAATAAAAAACGTGTGCGTCTCGGGAAACCCGACAGGAGTCTGAGTTGAAATTGTTTGACTTGAGAAAATCTTAGGTAATTACTTAAATTTTATGTAAAGTGTCTGTTTGAAATACGGCTAGCGCTGTGGGTTAGAGTAAGAGAATAGGAGCCTGCCTCCCGCTGCCGTATGCGTGGGAGAAAGGGAAGCCAGACAGACTGGGGCCGTAACGCGTTACGTAACGAAGCGGTTTACCCTCCCATAAGAAGCTATCACTTCAATAAATTATCATAATTCCATGGTTTTACAGAAACAGTTACTCTAATTTATATTCCATAAATTCCTTTAAAGTGTGTCCAAAAACCAAACCACCAAAAATCGTCAGCCACTGTATACCATTGCTTCGTGTACACCATGGCGATGGCTTGCCGTGGACCAGCAGGAGCCATTGTACACTGGGCTCTTTAATTTTCAACAAGATATTGTTTAAATTCTACGTAGATTTAGATTGGATGGATTTGATTTAGGTTGGGAGAAGTCGTCGAAGTACAATCCGTCATTATTGTACAAGAAAACTGAGTTTTATAATTACAATTTCTACCTACATTTTAATTTAGTTTTAATTTAAATTAAAATCGATTACATAGTATTCAAAATAATTTTAAATCTGGGCAAAAACGTATTCAAAAGTTGGCAGCACTTTATTTGTTTTGACTCGATTCTTGACAGCTAGATGTTGCTTCTAAAAATTAATTAAGGTGCAACTTTCCAAAGTTTTGCATATTTGTTTAAGTCGACAGTTGTTTTCAGCTATCGCCATTGTGGTCTCAAGCTATGGCGTCGGGTCTAGAGAATTATGTGAATCAAACAGTGTCCGTTATAACCTCAGACGGTCGAAACTTTATTGGTACTCTAAAAGGTTTTGACCAGACTATAAACATAATATTGGATGAATCGCACGAACGTGTTTTCTCTTCATCGACTGGTGTGGCGCAGGTGGTTCTTGGACTGCATATAATTCGAGGTGACAACGTTGCAATAGTGGGCCAAATAGATGAATCAATTGACAGCAGATTAGACCTTGGTAATATAAAAGCTGAGCCTCTAGGATCTATTGTACATTAATCGCGTGTAAGGATATGTAATAAATAAGTTTAATTGAACTATTATGTCGTTTCTATTTGTAATCATTATCGTTAAAATGTTGCTGTAATGGTAAGTAGTACCTCACCATCATCATCGACAGCCCTAAATAGTCTACTGCTGGACATAGGCCTTTCCTTAGATTTCCTTAGAAAGGAGGTTTTGACCTACTATACCATGCTGGCCAGATGCATTGGTATAGGGTTTGTGTCAAGTTTTTCTTCTCTTTGCAGTGCTGTTGTCCTGCATAGTCTGCTCCTACAACACCCATGGGATGAATAGGGGTGGTGACACTTCATATACTTAATCCGTCACTATAAGGACCTCAACACTTAGCCAGTCAGAAGCATACAGTTTACTAAGCCAATAATACTAACACTGGATGTCCAAATGTGCAACTTTTTAGGAGGTAAAAGAATTTGTCCAGTTTTTTCATCAAACAGCTGTTTGAAAGTTTGTTGTATGTACAAATTATAATACATTATTGAAAATCAATGTTTGATTTATCAAATAGGTATTTCAACATTTGTTTTTTTGTTAATTAAATGATATTCTAAATTTATTTTGACAAAAAACCTACTTCTGCAGTGTTGGAACTTCAGCAACAATATGTTATACAAGAAATTATACCTTTTTACAAGTAACATACATTATGAGCATTTAACATTATTTTTAGCACAATTTATACTGAACTTTTCTCTGTAATATCAACACTTATCAAGATTTTCCATTTTCTTTTAAATGATATATAGTTATTTCTGTAAGTATGTAAATATTTTCAGATATTTTTACAAGTCAGATATTTTATGAAGGCTATTCAGATATTTTAGATGCCTTATTGTCGTAAAATAATGGACTCTTAATTAATATTTGTCACTATAGAATAATTAAATATTATATATTTATTTTGAAAAATTTAATATAAGAAAAAAAAATGGTATGCCTATGCATACCATTTTTTTTTCTTATATTAAATTTTTGCTTTTAAGCATAATTAAAACAAACTAAAATTAGAAACTTAGTACCAGTGCTCTCTACTTCTCTTACCCTAAATAATGTGCATACTAAATTTCATGCTGATCGGTTCAGTAGTTGTGAAGGTAAGACATACAGATAGAGTTACTTCCACATTTTTATATTGGCATAGGTTATTAAGGAACTTATTTAATTTATTCAGACTGATTAAAAAAGAATAAAATTAAAATTACATTTCAATGTTTGAGAAAAAAGTTAACCACTTATATACAACATAAAACTTTATTCCACTATTTACAAAATAATTTTCAAATATTTATATTATAATTTATTATGTACACATTTCCAATAATACATAGCATTAAGTCTAGGTGGAGTACTTTAATAAGTCAATTATATGCTATTAAAAAAAAACAATGAAGATATTAAATATGATTCAATTTATTTCTCATCCTCTAGGGACTAGTCAAGTCCTCCCCGTAGTCTCTTCAATAGCACATACATAATTTCATTGCAAAATCATAGTAATATTTCTGATATGCATTTATTTAGATGTTAAAAAAAACTGCATTACAACTCATATTTTATTAAAAATATGAATGTTTAACTGCATATATGTATAAATACTCGTAGTACCTACATGTATTTAAACAGTTCTTAATTTGTATTTGAGCTGGTTTACATTACATTTAATAATAATAACTAACTTATCTACTCGAATCAGCGAGATTGTTTGCCCTACTTCTTCTCCTATTTGGAAACAAGCAGTTATAAATTGATGCAGTTTGATATGATATTATTTATAGTTACTTTTAAACTTTGTCATTCCTTGACACGTTCGGTGCCAAAGCACAATGGAGGATTCAAATGTAGGTATAACATAATTTTTGCATACATGACATCTCCTGGTCCTATGTGCCCAACACTATGTAAACTCGATTTATTTTACTTGTTTTCTCCTAATGCTTATATGAAACTCTAAATTTTAATAGTTTCATTGGATCAAATCACACAACTAATCCATATCACATTTTCATACCCCAGTTACACCAAACGATTTGTGAGGGCAAGGCCCACAAAGTCCATATACAGTATGATCGGCGCGGTGTATAACCAGATATACACTGGCCTCTGAGAGTTACGTACTCTCAGAGCCTCTGACGTACGCATCCATCCATACACGTACGCATCCGTCCATACGCGCTGAATGTATTCGTCATTATGTATATGGATGGGAATTAATGCAATCATATCTTAAATACCTTTGAATTGCATGGCATTTCAATTAGATTAGTGATTGATTGCACTATCCAATTATCATGGCTACAGGCTAGCTGATCGCGCCTGTGGCATAGCTGTATGTCATACCTATTACATGATCACTTAATTCCTGTACATAAGCATAATTGTACAAAAAAAACTGTTCATTTGTTATTCACTGTTATACTATTGTACTTTAGACAAAACAAAAACTAGTCTACAACATATAAATTCAATTTGTAATTTAAACGTTCATGAATTTAATTAGCATAACATCTAAATCATTAGTAATTTGAAAACACAAGGCAATTCTACATTACCTTTAATAAATCCTAAGGAAATGTTATATAATATAAACCAGCTTTTTATGTTCTTATCGAAGATAAGGTGAACATAACATTTTTGGTTTTCTACTACATGAGGAAAGAAAAAGTATTTTTTTTATCAAGACAATAACTTGCATTGAATCTAACCATTAGTAACTCTGCCAACTCCACCTTAACTAATAACAATAGATAACAACAGATAACTCCAGTAATTGTTTTATTCACCAACATCATCGTCAACAGCCTTTAATAGTCCACTGCTGGACACAGGCCTCTAAGTTTGCTTAAAATCAGTGTATCAAATATCATTTGTTAAAAAGTAGGATAAAAAGTTATGCTATCTGAAAAATGGAGTTAGCGGATTTAAAATTAAATTATTGTTATGTCTTATTGACAGATTCCGGGCATTGTTGAATTTTTTAACGTATACATACGTTAATTAATTTAATTAATACTTTTCACTATAATAGCTTTCCATACAACAATGTGAAGCACTTAGAACATCAACTGTTCACAGTAATAGTTTTAGTGTATTTATAACTATACTTCGTTAACATTTGGTAAAGAGAAACAAATAAACAGCCATCACATAGGTACTTAATTAGCTGCATTGTTACAGCTTTTTCACATTTATTGTTCAAATCTACTGTACTTCATATCACATATTAGGAATAATCATTACTATTTGCCGATTGTCCAACAAGCACTATTTCCTGGGGCCTGGAAACAGAAAATAATAAAAAAATACATGAAATAAATACAGTGTACATTTAAAATTAACGAACTATACTTTTCTTACTGAAGACATATATTTAGGTGAGAAGTAAACATAATAACTACTTAATTATTAATATTATATTTCTATTTAAGAATATATCTGAAATTAATTGTTTTTTTTATAATACACATTACGTTAACTAACGTAACTAACCAGACAAACACATTGCACTAGAATCGGCAAATGTAACAACAGGTTTTACAATTTACTTTTAAGTTTTTTTAAAAGGAATTTACTAATACTGTTACTAAATACAAGTTCATTGAAAATATACCTTAACATAATTATGACATATCAATCTTCGGATCCTCGAGTTTTAATTATTTGGATAGCTATTCCTTGACTGAAATAATTACGAACTCTTTCAAAAAGTCTACAATATTATAATATAAGTATTTCAAAACGGCCAGCCTGCTAAAAGTTGAGTCAAAATGAACTGATCAATAGTAACTACTGAATTGTAACTTATCACACAAACAATGTGAAGTTATTCTTAATGGCGTTATCTTCACGATGACGTAACGCATTATGACGTAATCGAGGTACTAATAAGTACACCGTATTTAAACGAACGATTTAGTTATTGTGTCATGACATGCCACAATACAAAGCCGCTTCAATATACTACTACAACCCAATCTTAACGAATAATCTAAATGCGAAAGTGAGTACGTTTATTTGTTAATCTATCAGGCCTTAAATACTCGACCGATCACCGTGAAATTTATCGAGGTCAACAAGGAGGGATTTATGCTATAATAAGGCAAGCTGTATTAAAACGACCGAACCCGCAGGCAGAAGCTAATGGAGTACTAAATTCATTAAAAAATACCAAACTTTATTCCCATTGCTTTACACATTAATTAGACTTACCCAAAAAAGGCAAAGAAATATAAGAGTAAAAACAACTTGTTTGTTTAACTTCAACTAGTAACATTTAGAAAACTATCAAACATAAAGCAGCTAAGTATCCTACTTAGTACGTGGTACAATTTGAAATTTTACTAAGTAATTATTCGGTAAATCCGAAGCTTGAAGGTCTTACCTCTGCATTTTCTCCTTATATTTTTGTGTGTTGTGTTTTTGGAAAAACTGCTTTCCATATTCGAATGTTGCTATCATAATCGCACAGGCAGGTGCTACTTTAAATATTCGAGGCAGAAGTCCTGTAAAGAGACCTTTGAACCCATTGTTTTTATATATGTTCAGTGCTATATTTTTCATATTTGCGGCCCTCTGGTGAACTTTACCATCTGAAATGTTCACAATATCAATAAAAACAAAAATAATTATTAGACATTATTTAGTTGGCAAAGCTTCTAATTCTTTACACTACTGCTTCTTTATTTCATACAAACAGAATATCTAGAAAATTATTGCACATCCTATAAACTAAAACAACGAGTCTGCGGCGCACAAAAAGTCCGCAGGCGTGCAAAAAGTCCATCGCGGCTTTTTCACAGACTTAAAGCATACGACGCACATCTTCGATCATTCTGTCCACAGAACTATTAGATGCTATGGAAATCCAGATTTTGCGATGTATTATTTCATACTTGAAGTACAGAAAAAGAGAAGAAATAGAGAATTTCGGGTACATCCTATACTGCCGGAGAGATTACTGAAAGGACAATTCTATATCTGGGAGCAGTGCCTCTGTAGTGCCCTTAATTCACAAGCTATAAATCTTAGTAAAAATATGTGGCTTGGCGTTTTCGCTACTGTCTCATGAATGTTTGCTGCAATGCGCGCCGTCTGCGTGAGCGCGCTTTGCAGCAAACATTCTATTTTGTTTGTACACACTTTTGTATAAGCTGGACTTTTTGCGCATCGTATGCGTTACTGCATAGGTTCTACTTTTCCAGATTAAAAAGTGTGACATGAATAGCCTGTCGTCTGCGCCGCACCGTAACGGACAAAAATACTCTATAAAAATCCCTGCCTCATTAATATAAATTTTATGGGCATCGAACCCAACATTCAACACAGAATGCCGTGCACTGAATTTACGCCTACGCGAAAGGTTTTTGATCTATGCAAAACAATGTCAATACAGATTTGAATATAATACAAAACTGATAAACCTTTGTTTTAGAAATACAAACACTTCTTTTAGGTCATCTGTAGTAATGCAATATTTCCGACCGTTTTTTTGTTTGACGGTTAAAAGGTTCTAATCTCTAGATTTGCAAGTTGGTTTTGAAAAAAAAAACCATTTTTGTATTCGACAGAGGATCATTAAAATTTCAAATGAAGACATGAAACTGCGGGGAACACCTAGTGTACTACTATAAGCTAAACAGAGACAATAATTAATGTCTAATTAAAACAATTTTAATCATTAATAGCACGTTGCCAACCTGTGTATATTTCTTTTTCTCCTAATTCGATTTGTTGATGTGTTTTAACTACGTCAAATGGAAGGGTAACGAGTGCAGCAATCTGAAACAAAAATATTAGACATGTTGACATTCACTTGATAAAATTTTGGTAAATTTTCTAAAAATGAAACCTAGCTGGATCATCATACTAAATTTCATGAAAATATATTTGTATATATATACATATACAAGAATTGAATTATTAGACAGATGGATAGATATTTTATTTTGTGAAAGGGGTCAAATTATAGTATTCAAAGTGCTACTTTTCCGTTATCTACATATAAGGTATATAATATTATCTAGTATTTATCTACCTAGTAATCATATATTACCCCCAGTAAAACTTATCTTGTTGTGTATAGCGATATCGTTGATAACTTCCGATTTGTTGAAAATATAAATCATAGTGATAAGCGTTTTTGTTTGTGGGTTTACTCTATACTTTTTTCGTATCATTTCTCTCATCTGAGGGATGTCCACACTTCCTATGAGTCTGCCACCGCAGTTACACATTTAAGTACTCAAATAAATACCTAATAACGTACGTTATAGTAGGATTTCACAAAGATTACCAACATATATGTGTAAGATTTACCTTGCAGCAGGTTTTTTCTGTATCCCTAACAAAGTGTAGGAGCAGTTGAATACGACGTAATGTATGTACTTTTAAAAGACAGCCTAAACACGCAACAACACAAAAGTACGTTGTCACAAAACAACATAGCCGAAGCCAAATAAAAAACCCACAAACGGTTTCGACAAAGTGTATAATGTGTAGAAGATTAACAAAAAAAAAACATCTTTAAACATATTACAAGACATTAGGAATACATTAGACAGACTCAAGATAGCACAGGTATAAACCTTGTTGGTTTTTAGTTGTTATTATTGTATAAGTCACTGTATTTTTTTTTCTCTTTGTAAACAATAAAAAAAACGTATCCCTAATAATATTAAAACGCAAAAGTAACTTTGTCTGTCTGTCTGTTACGCTTTCACGGCAAAATCGCTGAACCGATCATAATGAACTATGGCATGGAGATATTTTAAATCTTGAGGAAGGATATGAGCTACTTTTTAAGGCGATAACTGACATACAAGCAGGTGCGAAGTCACGGACAAAAGTTAGTGTTCTTTTAAAAACAATGTCATACTTACGCTGCCAGCTACAGATCCACAAAAGAAATTTAATATAAATGTATTCTTTTCTGAAGTCGGTTTCTCGAACCCTCTCTTTGTTGATTCGAATGTCGTCCAGTATATACCTGTACGTGAACATATTGTATTTACTTAATAAGTTAAACATAATAACCACATGTGTTAAGAATTAAAATTATCTGACTCATTACAATCTTCGAGTCATCATGTCATGACTTTCATTTAATAACTGCAAAACGTAATTAAATTATCTTGCTCAGATTAAATTTTAATGGTAAGAATGAATGGTCAAATTTAAATAAAATAAGTGAGGGGATGAGAACTAGGCGGTATGTATTTTAACTTAACGGCATGGCCACGGGACATTCGCTGCAGTGATAATCCGAGCGGTGCGAACACAGAGCAAATACAAAGTGGAGAGGGCCTAAGCAACTGTGCACTGTGATTCTATCTAGGTCCTGACGTCATCACAGTAGGCAATGCTTAAAATTAGTACTCAGCGTCCTTACCGTGTCGCAAAATCGCAAATCGGTATATTTTCGTGGTATTTAGTAGAAAAGGATCAAATTTTCTATTTTATCCCGTAAATATTATTCGGATAGACGTTTTGTTGCTTTGGATAGCATCATATTACATGGACTGAAAAGTCCCGGGCCTAACACATGGCGCTACTTTTATTGCAGTCACCTTTTTTTCAGTTAATACTAACCTTCAAAGGACAGCTGTTAGAATTTCATGATAATCCAATCATTAGTTTGTGAGTTATTGTGCTAAGAGTGACGTTACTTTTGTTATTTTCAAAACAATGGATCAAAAACAATTTCGTGTTTTAATTTTACACTGCTTCTTGAAGGGAAAAAATACCGTTCAAGCGAAGCAATGGCTTGAAAAGTGTTATGGGGACTCCGCTTCATCAGAAACAACAATAAAACGTTGGTTTGCTGACTTCAAACGTGGTCGTAGAGACACCGATGATGCAGAACGCAGTGGACGTCCAAATGAGTCGGTAACACCAGAAAACATAAAAAAACCACAAAATCGTTTTAAATGATCGAAAAGTGAAGTTGCGTGAGTTAGTTGACATCGTAAAGATATCAAAAGAACTGAGAAGAAGAATGGCTTTATATTGCATGAGCATTTGACTATGAGAAAGCTCTGTTCAAAGTGGGTGCACCGTTTACTCACTGTTGACCAAAAACGAGAACGTGTTAATGATTCTGAGCAGTGTTTGGCCATGTTTAAACGTAACAAACCGGAATTTTTGCGTCGATATGTGACAATGGATGAAACATGGATCCATCACTTCATTCCGGAATCAAAACGATCGTCATCTGAGTGGACAGCAACTGGTGAACCTCGTCAAAAGCACCCGAAAGCACAACAATCGGCTGGATAGGTTATGGCCTCGGTATTTTGGGATGTGCGTGGTGTAATATTCATCGACTATCTTGAGAAAGGAAATACCATTAACAGTGAATATTATATAGCGTTATTGGAGCGTTTGAAGGCCGAAATTGCAAAGAAACGACCGCATATGGCAAAGAAAAAATTTTTGTTTCATCAAGACAACGCACCGTGTCACAAGTCAATCAAAACAATGGCAAAACTACATGAATTGAACTTCGAATTGCTCCCACAGCCACCGTATTCGCCAGATTTGGCTACCAGCGACTATTGGCTGTTCGCAGACCTGAAAAAAATGCTCGCCGGTAAGAAATTTCGCACGAATGAAGAGGTTATCGCTGAAACTGAGGCCTATTTTGAGGCAAAAGATAAATCGTTCTACAAAAGTGGTATTAAAAAAAAAATGTTGAACCAAAAAAACTGTTTTCTTTGTTAGGCCCGGGACTTTTCAGCCCATGTGTTATTTCATATGTAAGTAATTTTATACTTAATTTATTACACTAGGAAATTCTCTTAGTGTTTTTTGTAGTTAATATAATAGTTACATATATTCGAAACTAGATGATTAAACTTTGTGTAATGGAAATTAAACAAACAAAAAAACAGATAGGGCCGAAATTGGAATCCAATTTAAATCTATTACAGTACTTTTAATATTAAAATGAAGAAAATTGTACTTACGTTGATTCTTACAAAATGTTTACATTATAAGTGAAATTCTAATTGCAAAAAAAAACGACATTTAATACAATTTAAATGTTTAGCAATTTGTAAACGTCAACCCAAGAAAAACCCGAACTTAAAACTTAGTGTCAAGGGTATATTTCAATCCACATGAAACCACCGGTAGTGTCAAGGGTATAATTCAATCCCCATGACACCGCCGGTAGTGTCAGGGGTATTATTTCATCTCCGTGACACCGGTGGTGTCAAGGGTATATAATCATTTAAAAAATAACTTTAAATATAGAACTGTAATAAAACAAATGATTATAGGCAGGAAAATAAAATTTGTTAAAATTTATCAGATACATAAAACAATATTGGTTGAAAGTGAATGTGTTCAGTGTTTTCGGTGAACGTCATCGTACGACGAATGTTGCAGAAAATTTTCATTTCAGATTGCACAAACACAAAGAAAAACACAACAATTCAACGTTTACTGAACGTTTTGTCGGATATTCACGATTTGAAGATACCTGCTAAAAGAAGGAAGACTTTAATTGACTATCACAACGTCATTTTGCGAGTACAAATGCAGTTAAAAAGAATGAGATTAGCGCAGGACATGCGTTAGATAAACTTAGGTTTTAAAATGACTAATATTACAAAATGATAAATTGTAATGATAATACTAATAGTACATAACATTTTGAGACCTGAGCTGGTCTCATTGTTAATGAACTGCATTTGTACTCGCAAAATGAAGTCGTCATTCTAATCAAACAAAAATCAAACACATGGAAATCGTGAATATCTGACAAACCGTTTATGATTATGTGTTTATTTAATCTAAAATGAAAATTTTCTTTCCTCTGAATGAGGCTCGGATGACTTCTATTTTATTTAATAATTAAATAAATATCTTTATCTATTTTTGTTTCTGTTATGTACTTGGTCGTGTCACTTTATAAAATAATAATAACTTTGACAATACCTGTGGTGTCATGGGGATTGAAGAATACCCTTGACACTGCCGGTGGTGTCATGGGGATTGAAATATACCCTTGACACTACCGCTGGTGTCATTGGCTGGTATCACGGGTCCGTAACGGTAAAAATTTGGCTGGATATAGTCTGTATTGCTCGTATTTTTTGTGGAATTCATTCATGAAAAAAATGGTGGCAAACGAGAAGATGACCTGACCACTCTTTGAGTGCCTCCCTCCCCAGAATAAGGAGAAGATGGAAGTTGTCTATGTATTACTACACTAACTCTAAAAAAAAAAAAAAGCAACGTAAGAATTGCTTAACACTGGTTTTCTGAGACTCGCCCACGACTAGTAGACTTTCTGGCCCTGCAGCATTAACACGGCGGTCCCATTGTATTTTCTGGCTGCGTTTATTTTTCATATTTATGTTTTATACTAAGTGTATCAAGTTTTATACTAATGAATTTTCTATCTCATCGCCAGTGTCTGGAATTGTTGTACGGTGATGTTGGCTTATGGCTAATGGCAGCAAAAGCCGTTGTGTATATGCGTAAACCGCTAAGAGCAGACGCCATGTCGCCTATCTAGTCGATCTTTGTCTACGAAGTCACATACAAATAGTATTGTCCTTGACTTGAATTCTAAGGTTTAGATGTAGGTTTAAATATGATTAGAAGTTAGAGAATAAACCTTTTTTGTGCTCACCTGAAAATGGAACATCTCTCAATAAAGTTGATCCTAAACCACGAAATAGTCCTCTATACCCTTCATTTTTGAAAACCTTCCGCAGTGCTAAGGTGATTTCTGGAAAAATGAAGTATTCAAATTGTCTGATATCAGAACTAATTATATTAATTTTATAAAGTAAACAAAATTTCTGTAAATAGATTTGTTTAAGCTAATTTTATACCTGCATAAGTTAATTTTTTGGACTGCATCTTGGTTCTAATAAGTTCTAGAGGACTGACTATTGTCACTGCTATTGTTCGTGCTGTAGCTCCTGCTATTAATGGTATCCATATTGGTTGACCCACAGCTGAAAATTTTCAAAGTATACTAACTCTTAAACTATGCATTTCATAATTATATAATTACGTTTATGGGGATTTACATGTTCACTGCTTGTGGTCACAGGCTGACCGTGACCTGTGAGCATTGACAGTGCAACCTGGTCCAAACGTCACACATTTCAAAGGTATGTACTTAATACTTATTCGGAGTGCATTAATTTCCATAAACTTAATTACATGCAATTGCAGAGTTGTTGCTGATGCAGATTTTAGTATATCAGCAGATGCTGATGTACTTGTACAATAATAAAATATTTTTAGTTATGATTTTACATAAGCTATTATTGTCTACTGTTGTGTTAATAAACAAATTAGAAACAAAATAAAACCTGTTAACCTAATGCTATTAACACTAACAACACATTGATATAATAAAGACTAAGATTTTCATGTGAACACAATTTAAGTTAGTTATTTGTTTACAAACTTCATTTGTAATAAAATACCCAAGTGATTAATAATCAAATATAGATTTAGTTAATATTCTTGTAACACTTGGTCAAGGTATCATTGTATGTCTCATTTCTCCATATCAAAATATAGAAATGCTTTTACATTTTAGAATTATTCTGTAAAGACATTGTAAGAAAATAAATAAATAAATATAAATAAATATTGCATGTCCACATTCAATTGCAAGATTTTGTTTTTAAACTAAACTATTTATAGTATATAAACAGTTTTAGTATAAAATCTTATACTACTACTGTATTTACTGCATCTACATGATCAGTTCTCACAGTAATATGAATTATCTCTTAAGCAATATATTAATATGTAACGAAAATTAGTTGTAAAACCCAGAAACTCATTAGTTGTGCTTATAACCACATTAATGGAGATCTATAAATGACCAATATTCACCTCTCAAAAAAAATTCTGTTTTATGACAAGTTATTTTTGTAAATATTTGGCCGTGCGAATTAGAAGATGACATATAAAAAAAGTAATTATAAGTCAGTCACACTTTTTACTGCTTTACAATGCTTGCATACATTGCTTTTTACTGCTACAAGAACAAGATTAATATTTACTTAGATACATATGCATAGAATAATTAACTGATCTGTTGGACTGCCAGTTTAGGAGGTTGGGTGGCGGTCAGACTATATATATATAGCCCCTAAATATCATCCTAGGCTTATCTGCACGAGAGGACGGTGAAATTTATCGATCGGAATGCGATGAAAAATCGAAGGGAGGTGTGTTGCAGGGTTCCCCAGGGCTCTGTTTTGGGAATTCTCTATGGGGCGCCCGTCTGGTCTAATGACCTGGCGGGTGCCTCCTGCTGCAAGGCTCTACTCAGAAGCCTGCAGCAATCTCGTTTGAGGCAGCGACGGTCCTGACGTGATATCCACCCTACGATATTCTGGCCGACATGGATGTGATGGTCTTAGGTCATAGTTCATAGTTCTCTCTATCTATAAAATATATTTGTTCTTTTTTCCAATAAAATATTTTGGGGGATGGCAATGTACTTGTGACTTGAGTTGCAAGTGCCTATGGGTGGCGGTTGTCACTTACCATCAGGGGACCCTTTTTTTATGAAAAGAAACATAAGTTGAGTTTGAGTTACACCAAAAAGATATATTTCAATATTTGTAAGGATTGCTGTAATTATGATGCTATTGCATCATTCATTCAAGTATAATATAAAGTTTTATGCCAAGTCATAACTTGTCAGTACTAATCATTTAACCTCTCATGTGACGCTACACTGTACAGTGCCTTACTGGTAAAAGGCACTGTACAGTGTAGTGGCATATGAGAGGTTAATGCATGTTTACAATAGGTAACAGAGCCAACAATACTACTTACGGTCTGCTGTAAAGTTGTTATATGCGTTTTTCATCTTAAGCCTCAATTGTTCATATGACACAAAATAAATTACTGTACACGGAAGGGCTAGGACTAGAGTGGGGCTAAGACCCGACCATAATGCCCCAACTCCTTCAATTTTTGCTATTTTATAAAAAGCATCCTGAAAAAAATATAACAAAATAAAATCTGTTATAAGTGTTTTATGGTTTTCTAAAGATATATGTAGTACAAAATAGGTGACCTGACAGACATTGGTCTGTTTAAAATTAGGTGGACATTCATCATCCATTCATTCATGGAATTAAAAAGTTTTTTTTTAAATAATAATAATAAATAATAATATTCTACCACATACACACAACGCCATCTAGTCCCAAACTAAGCAGAGCTTGTACTATGGGTACTAGACAACTGATATAAATACATATATACTTTTTTTTTTTGTAAATACATACATATTATACATAGAAACACCCAGACCAAATCAAACATCAAATGTTCATGCACACAAATGTTTGACTTGAGCGGGAATCGAACCCGCGACCTTTGGAATAGCAGTCCGTTACAGAAACCACTACGCCATCCGGTCGTCAAAATAAAATAAAATACTAAATTACTTACAAATGTGCCTTGAAAATGTACTCGTTTTGGTAACCAAGCAGGTTCACCGCAAGGACATAGGTGTTCCATAAGACCATTGCAATAAAGGTAACATTTGTTTGAAAGTAACGCCTTCTGTTGAGCTTGCAACCTGATTTTAACCACATCCAAAGGAGTCACTGCAAAGGAGCATCAACATCAATGCAAACCATTTTATTCGTTTAGTAAATAGCAATAACATGTTCATAATTCTTACTGAACAACGAGGTTATAAGGGCACCGGAACATGCCGATGCCATTTGTTGGAAAGGAGTTATTCGAAACTGTGGATCATCTTCTCGAATCATGGCATCGGCTTTTCTTTAATTAAATATGAATAAACACGAATACGAAACACATCCGGATTGAAACACTATTTACACTATACTTTGGATATCCAATGTTTTTTTTATCTCGATCTGTCAATTTCATAATGGTATGTCAAAAACATTGTCTATGATACAATGTTCTCACAAAAACCCAGGACAGCGATGTTAGATGTACCAACTTCTAGGTATACGTACCATTTTTCAGGGTCTTGTTCCATGTACCAACTAAATATTGTGTTGGTACGCAATAATACCAACCTTCTACATTGTTTATAGATTAAAATAATAATAATGTATCTAACAGTATATACGTTCTTGCTGTACGTCTTAGCTACAACATTGATTATTGTAAAAAAATATTATTCATAATGATTTGAGTGCCTGTGTCGCATGGCATGCTGTTTCATACCAAAGCATCCTTCGGGCTGCTGAAGGACACCCTGTCGTGCGGTGCCTTGCGACGCCCGTCAGCGTCGGTCTTAAAACCCTCTCCACCCTCCCATAATTTGCTCGCAGAAGAAGTTAGCTAAGTTCTACCCGCGCTCGTTCCGTACCATGGCCGCAATCAGTCACGAAGTTATGACTCTGCTCTACATACGACGGGCATTCTGCCAGCGTATCAAGAGTCGTGTACGTGCTGTGGCCATTCTATTGGTGGCACCCAGGCGTTGGCTCTTTGCGAATCAGACACAGGTGAGGGTCCCGTGCTTACTCTCGAGCCAATCCTCCATAACGGGTCTTACCGGTGGCCCTGCTTACGCTTATGGCATAAGGGAACGTCACCTTTCATGAGATCCTTCCTTCCTACCAATAATAGCTCTTCCAGGCGTTATCGATGCGTCGCCAGACTTCATAGTCCTGATTTGCCTGGAAAGAGACTATAGACGATATTTATGTTCAAATCTAACAACTATGTAACCATAATAGTCATTGTTAAAATTAGTTAATTTATGTCAATATGTCATGTTAAAAAGTAAATTTTAAACAATAAATAATATCAGATTAAATAATAGGTACCGATTTATGTAAATCGGTATCTATGGAAATGAATATAGCATTTTCGATGTATCGATATTTTGAAATATCGATATTTCTTACCCAAGTCGTCACTCAGGCTTTAATAAAATCAGTCCAGTCACTGCACTGCACTGCTATATGCATCCTCATTCCTCCTAAATTTTACGTTACTAAATTTAATAAGAAAATTATAACAGTATTCAGCAAATACATTTACGCAAAAGCACTACGGTTTCTTAAATATCGGTTGTGTAGATGATACATATTTTTTGAAATGTTTTCTACGGCATCCAGATCGTTATTGTAAGTACCTTTTAATTTATTTTAGGAGTTTACATAACGTGACAGCTGTTTTTTTTAATATTGAATGTATTGAATCTATAAACAAAATCGTAAGATAGATGGTAATTAAATGATCAGTTTTTCTTCACTATTTCTTTTAGAAATAATTGATGTGCTTGCAAAATCGTTGCAATGTATAGATAAGTCGTGTGTGGCTGCTACGATTTTCACATTCGTTTTCGATCAATTTTCATGACCAGGAAGTAGTTGTCGTCAGCAATACAAAGATTTCAAGGCCTTGTCGCTTGAGTAGCATAATTGTCTACCTTAATATTATACGTAATCTATTTAGCATACTGTGAGTTAGATTCGCTGGAGTTTCCGCATTATCTTTTTAATTCCAATATTCTCGATTTGAAGATAGCTTGAAGTAGAAAACAGAGGAAGAAACCTTGTCTCATTGAGTGAATGTTCATTTAACTAAATCTTTTAAATGCATCTTAACAATGGCCATATCATACATTAGTGTTTTTGAGCTCTAAAGTATTTTCTTCTAATACTATTGAATTCATTATTCAGACTCATTTGAAATAATAATTAAAAAAGTTGTTTAAAACCCTTTTTTTTCATTCTAAAAACATAAAGACATTCAACTGCATTGCTCCCTGAGTGGGTACCTTGGCCTAATGCAGTATTGTTGTGTGTTCTGAACTAGCACATGATAAATTAGGAGGTGGTTTGTGTATGGATGGATTGATGACCAGTATACCAGGCCACCTTTGAATATTATATATGTGTGTTTGCATAATAATATAATGCTGGCAACATTTCATATTTAAATTCAAATATTATTAAAAAGCTGTTTTTTTAATGAAGTTAAATACTGTTATATGATGTGGATCTTAAAAGCTATCTGACATATTGGGAATTTATATATAAGTTAAAAAAAATGAATTTTTAATTTGTTTAATTTTAATCTGTTTTAATTTACTATTCTAGTGAGTTTATGAGTTAAAATTATTGTTAATTACAATAGTTGAACAAGACGATATTTGAAAATTCACTACAATTGTGAAATATAGTTAGTTATGTTGTGATCTTCCCAAGTATGAAAACATTACCAGGCAATATAAACAGTTAATAATCACTTTATTAAATCACCATTCTCTACAGTAATACAGAAAATCACAAGCACTTACTATTTTTAGTCTGTCCTATTATAATGCTAGTTGGCACAGTTGCAATGTGCTTTCGACTAAATGTTTATTGGACTACCGAAATAGCAAAATATTTTTCTATAAAGCTGTTAGTATTTACTAACAATATTTTATTATTATAAGGATGACTGATAAATGTCTGCTAATTAAGAAAGTATATGAAATATCATATCAACCAAAATATCACCATCTATTTATGTATGTTACAAAAATGAATCACAGAAATGTATTTACATGATAAACTTAAATATGACTCTAAATATGACAAGTGATAGAGTGAATGAGACAGAAGACTGTGAGAAATCTTTAATATATTGACAAAACATTGACAGATTGACGTTCAATTGTTCAGCCAGCAGTTGATAACTTCAAACACAAGACACATCATAAATTTAAAAAAATGCAAGTTATGATCAAATTATTTAAATTGTAATTTAATTTAAGTACATGGTCGTTTTGTAAACGGAAGATTTTTGTCTCATATTTATCATTAAGTACGTAAAGTGTAAATGGACAGGTTAATCACTTTCAATAGGTACATAAAACATGTCAACACATGGCATTATTGAAAATCCAACTGATTTGAATTTACCGGAAGTGTTACATTTCCTTAGTCTGCCACTGTGAAGTCGAGGCGGGGCGACGGGTATAAATAGTAAAACAAGTCTTTCGGGAATTTCAAAAATATCTACGAAAAATAAATTTGACGGTACGAAGTTCGCCGGGTCAGCTAGTACTAGTTTCTTTTTGTTGAAATCCATAAGAGATCCATGCTTCGGCACAAATGCGTCGGCTTGAACAGAGCGAAAACCACGGTCTCACAAAAACCCAATTATTTCGTTGCTTTTCACTGAATGAGTGAAGTTATCGGAGCCCCAAACCCGAAAGAAAAAAAATTAGCTGAGACGTGATCACGTCTATGATCCATATTTTTAAAGTAACGAAGCTTCAAACCCGAAGGAAAACAAATTAGCTGAGACATGATCGACCGTGTGGTGACGTATTAAGAATACAGAGTGTCACCACCCCTATTCATCCCGTGGGTGTCGTGAGAGCCGACTAAGGGAGAAAACTACTCAGAACAACAGTACTGCAGAGAGAAGGAAAACTTGACACAAACCCTATACCAACCCGTCTGGCCAGCGTGGTATAGTAGGCCTAAACCTCCTTTCTAAGGAGAGGCCTATGCCCAGCAGTGGACTGTTAAAGGTGATGTGATTGATGTGAGACAAGATCAAGTCTTTATGACCCCATATTTCTAAGGTAAACATGTTCGAAACGCTTGGTTATTGGTGTTAATACTACACACTTAACTAGGCTTAGTTAAGCGCCGCTTCCTTCTAGTTTAGCAATTATTTTTAAAGGTTGCCTATGTAGAATTTAGGGTTGAAATGTTACGATGTGAAATGCCATGGACATATATTAAAACACACGTAATGTTAAGAATATTACGGATATCTGCGACCGGTGACAAAAGGGTATTACTGCATGGGGCAACCTCAATAGGACTAACTTCATTGATCCCGCATGCGCAGATGCTGCGGAAGTTTATTGATACATGGATATTTTGACCTAAAGGATGAAGTCTTTTATTATTGCTGTCGCCTGATTATTATAAAGTAAACTTTAACTTAAAATAAACTATATATGCCATAGTGTGGGTATTAAATATGACTCTGCCTACGTAGAGTATACAGACTCTAATCGATTTAATTTATTTTTATTGTACCAGTTTCTTAGACGTGCGGACAACGCCTCTATATTATATTAAAGTTCTAAGCCGACGTTCTAAGTTTACGAGCGGTTGATTACATAACTTTAGAAAAAACGTGTTGAATTAATATCTGTTGCTCATAATAATTAACGTTACAAACGGCAGACGCTTCAATAAAATAGTAAACTTGAACATTGACATTGACCAGTTTGCTTAGTATCCGTTACCTTTGTTGGGTAGCCGTATCTTTATAATATACTAGCTGTGCCCTGCTTCGCTGGGGCACATTGTGGTTGCATTGATGAGAAATCAGGCACAAAACTGACGAGGAAAATAAATAAAAAAAACAATATTTGAAGTGGTTTGTACCTTGTGTCAACATTAAGGCTCAATCGGTGCAGACTTTTTGAGTTTTTTAAACATACACAAACCAACTTGAGATTATAATAAATATAGAAATATAATATTACTGGTTATTTCATATACTTTCTCATGAAACGTTTACGTTATCGAAGCGTCTTCGCTAGAGTAAAGATAAAATAGTTAGTATTTCTTAAGAAACATAAAGCATGTTTTTAAATATACAGCCTTGGCCAAAAGTATTAGGCACCCTACATTTTACTTACAATAAAGGAAAAAAACAACTTAAACTTTTTAAATTTATTTATTACCATTAAACCATTAAAATTCACCAAAAGGAATGAAAAAAACTTAAAATCTAGTCGGTCCACCTTTGGATTTAATTACTGCACTAATTCTAGTTGGCATGCTGCGTAGAAGCTTAGTACAATCCTCCCTTGTAATGGCATGCCATTCTTGTACTAACGCATTTTTTAATGCCGTTTTTGCTGTAATTTTTTTTGCCGTTCAAATCTGGTGACTGCGCTGGCCAATCAAACAAGTCAATGTTGTTTTCAGTAAACCAACGCATCGTAGTCGCCGACTTATGACAAGGTGCATTGTCTTGCTAGAATATAACTCCCTCTAAGTTGGTATCGCCGAAAATACTCGTTAGCGAAGGCATAAACGCAGTTTAAAGCACTTTTATGTACTTTTCGCTGTTCATACGACCTTCGTAAACAAACATTTCGCCAATCCCATCAGTAGACATGCAGCCCCAGATCATTATGCTGCCTCCTCCATGCTTTACTGTGGGTACATGGTATTCTTCGCCCACACGTCGCCTCACGAAGGTCACACCTGGAAAAAAAAACACTTTTTTTAAACTGCCTTAACTTTTATTATTTTAGTTAAATAAATAACTGTCCATGATTATTAATAACAAAAGCAGTAAAATTTACTTACCTCAAAGTTAGATTCGTCAGACCAATACCACATTGGGCCCAATCTTCCTCAGTAAAATGTTGATGCCGTAGAGCCCATTCAGGTCGTTTTCTTTTGTTAGCTTCTGAAAGCCAGGGCTTCTTCCTGGCTTTGCATCCTTTTAAGCCTGCTTCTCCAAGTCTTCTTCTGGTGGTCCGAGCACTTATTGGCTTTCCAGCCTCTTCGGAAAAAAGTAGCAGCAAGCTCTGATGATGTTTTCTTCCGATCTTTCATAGATTCGCGTATTTATTTTCTATCCTCGCGCTTCGAAGTCACACGTTTTCTGCCTGTTCTTGGTTTATTAGCGTGACTGCCAGTCTCAGCAAACCGTTTGATAGCAGATTGCACAGCGCAACGCGAACATTTCACTAACTTAGCAATTTCTTTTTGCGACTTCCCTTGTTCATGGAAAAGTTGTATTTTTACTCGGTTTTCCAAACTAATTTCACTTCTTTTCGGCATTTTTAAATAAATTACGTGTCAATTTAATCACTATGTTAGAAATAAAAGCTTGTTTACTCGTTAGAGTCCTGAACACAAGTGACCAAACATTGACTGATAAGAACGCATAAAAACAAATCCTTTGTTTTCAGTCACCAGGTGTTTTATGACCATAACAGATAGCTGCTTGCTTTTCTAGGAAGTTATTTGTGACCCCAGCATGCCATCTAAGATAAGCATTTATTAATTGTTCAATAAGTAAACATGAATTGTGCATTTTTCTGGGGTGCCTAATACTTTATTTATTTTTTTATTTATTTTTATTTTTTCTTACAATATCTTTACAGTAGTATTCCAAGGCGATATTGTAGATACATTAATAATAAACTTAAGCCAAACTAAACCAAATTACAAACTAAATCAACAAATTTTACTTAGTGCTATAATTGTAAATTCACTCAGAGAACAACAAAATATATCCACATCGTCAGCTATGAGGTTGAGTGTGCGCAGCGCGCGAGTCAAAGGTGCCTCGCGTAGTAAGTTAGTGCGTGCGCGCGGCACCGCCAGAAGGCGCGGTCGCCGCCGACGTCCCGCGTAGCCGTCTGGGACACACAGACCCACCCTCTCTAATACATCTGCATTATGTATTCCCCCTCTAATCACATTAAAGATATAGGTTACGAGTGTGAGTTCCCTCCTGACCCTCAGTTCATTATATCCAACCATACCTAATATAAACAGGGTAGGATACATTAACGGATAAAAAGGATAGACTCCGTACAACTTCATGTAAATAAATGTAATAAATTTATTTTGCACCCGCTCCAACATGAGACTATATTTAGTCTCATGTGGAGCCCAGATAACTGCATTACACTCCAGTTGGCTCCTAACTAAAGCATTATATAATGCTGTAACAGCTTTTATATTGGTAAAATCTTTAGCCATACGAAGTACCAACCCCAAGTTCCTATAAGCTTTTTTACAGACTTTGAGTACGTGATCACGAAACGCTAGCTCAGTGGTAAAACGCACTCCCAAATCCCTCACTTCAGTTACCCTGGTCATCTCAGTCCCCTCCATCGTGTACTTGTGTTGGATAGGTGTGCGTGCACGTGAGAATGAGATAGTCACACACTTCGACACGTTAAACTGCAACCGATTCTGCTTGCTCCAACTAACGACTCTGTCTATGTCCCTCTGCAGCTTTTCACAATCTGCCATGCTTCCAACAGCGAGAGACAATTTCAGGTCATCTGCAAATAACAAACACTTGGCCTCTTGTATGACACTCGGCAGATCGTTAACCATTAATAAAAACTCCAAAGGACCCAAGTTACTTCCCTGACTGACGCCAGATCTAGTAAAATATGGTCGCGTTTGGTGTCCTGCATACTCCACATATTGCTGCCTGTCACTCATATAACTTGCAAAGAAGTTAAGCAGATGCGGAGTGAATCCGACGCCTGCCAACTTCTTCAGCAACATGTCATTATCGACCAAGTCGAAAGCTTTTTTGAAGTCGAAGTATGCGGCGTCGATCTGCCCCCCATTGTCCACTGTTGGTACCATTTCCATTACGTAGCTTAGAAGATTACTTGTGGTACTTCTTGCAGGTCGAAATCCGTGTTGCGCGTCTGAAAGTTGTGAACGCACTTGGAGATATATATTTTTCTGAACAGCGGATTCCAGTACCTTTGCCGGTGTTGACAGTACCGCAACTGGTTGGCCAAGGCTGTATATTGCACTACTACCTACTATCCAGGTGTTAGATACGATTTCTCGTATTCGATTGATTAGTGCAGTATTTCAGCGTGATTAAGAAGCTACTTTACAACAATCTGATTTTGATGACTTACTAGTTATCAACCTAGACTGATTAACGCATTGATTATGCAAAGATGTAAAGTATAAAATCAGAATTGTAATCGATAGTGAATTGTAGTAGATATTGACTTTCATCAACGATTCAATATCAATGTTTTCGATTTACGAAGAATGATTTGAACACATTACTACAGATTTTTTATTCATCTACTGTAGATGAATTAAAATTTTGTAGTAATGTGTTCAACTAATTACTATTTTAATTACTTATATTTAAAAACGTACGTTAAGTTATTTCAGAACAAAACAACAATGAAGTAATACAAAAACATTTAGTCGACGTAAGTTATTGTTTGTTTGTCTATTATTACTTACTAGCGATCAGGTAGGTACTACTAATGTTGGTGTCAGTTTGGAATAATTAAACTTTAATTATGATAAGACTTATAGTACAGGACATCTTTATACGCAATATTTATAGGCTCGCTCCACTGCTGCCGGCCGCTGCCTCTCAGAACCGACATACGGCCCGACGCGGCTATGGCCGCTTTGCCCCCGCATTTCAAATATCTGATATCTACTAAGATATTCACTTTGATGATATGCTGTAATAGGCAATTTCAGTCTACATCAAATACACAACGTATTTATACTGTTGTTCAAAATAGCTTCGTAAATTACCCATATTTTTTTGAAATATGTAAAAGATAATAACGGTTACTATGGGTTATCCCTAAGAGATCGACATAGGTATAAAGTTCCGGATCTTTTTCGTAGGTCTTTTTAAGATATACGATTCCGTGCATTATTTAGATCTATCCCGTAAGGTTTTAGGTTTAGCCAGGCATTGTTTGTAACACATGTTTTTTAGGATTTCACATTACAAATATTTGAAATCCTCGGTTTTCCTCTACTCTAGTATCTATGTATATGTACATAAAAACCCGCCTCATGAATCACTCTCTCTACTGGTGAAAACCGCATTAAAATCCGTTGGCGTAGTTTAAAAGATCTAAAGGTACAAGAAAAAAAGCGACTTTATTTATACTATGTTAAGATTACAATGCATTGTTTTGTAAAAATAAACTTTATGATACAATGGCAATACGCGATACGTAATAGAGGTTTGCGACTCGAGTACGGTTCCCTATTCAAAATAAACCTAAAGCAAGTTTTAGTCTGTTTAACTGTCACAGTCACCTAAACATATTCCTTATATATGCCTGCTAATTGTATGTACCTACACCTTGTTGTACCCGATAGATGAGAAATTTTCATTCGTTTTACCTATTTATTAGTCATAATAATAATCCCACAACAGTCATGTTAAAATTACCATCTGTCATTGGAATTTTGATCCAAGTAAAGTTTATTACAACAAATTTTACTTGAATCAAGTTCTCTAATATGTACCTAGTTCACCTCATTAGGAAAATTATTATTAATTCTCAAAATTAGATACATGTTAGAGACAGAAATTCTGTGCCGTGAAATTATATTGTAGGTCAGAAAAGTATTCGAAGGACGCGTAGAAAGTAGGTCGCTTCAAGGTTTAATATTTGGGTCAGGGATATTAGGATTGAACAACATCTAAATCTTTTCGAAGTTTACCCGACTTAAGCACTCTGATGAATTTTGAATTAAAGATTTTAAATTGAAAGGGAGCGGATCAGTTTGTCACTTGCGATATATGATTTTGATTTAAGATTTACATTTTAAGATGTTCGTCGGTTGAATGGATTGGCTGGCACCGTAGGCAGTCCTAAAGATGACATTAAATTATGTCAAAAGAGTCTATCTGTTTTTAAAATTGCCTGTCTTCTATTCCTGGTTGTATACTATAGCTGTTCATTTTTTTTAGATGTTGCACGAACAACATAGGAACGCATCGGGCTTTAGCAGCCATACTAGCAAAGAGTTCGGCCGTTGAAACATCGTTGCTGTGCAGAGATTACCATGATGTCACCGGTAATATTCTCTGCCCTAATGTTTTGCGAGGCATTGACCATTTAAGAGATCCTCGACTCAACAAGGTAAGGATGAATAGCAATAAAAAGAGGAACCAGATACTTTTGAAAATAAACTTACTGTACAAGTAAAATAGCTTTGGAAAGGGTATTTAATGACTTTAATCGAAATTAAATTGACTATAAAAGGTTACGAGAGGTTATGGAGAATCAAAACCTAATTAAAACAAAAAAAATGTATAACAGTATACAAACATTATGTATTTATTAGATAATGTAACATTATTGTAGCAAGATAAGAAAATAGTAAGATAATACGAAAACTGTCACGATAAGATAATTATATGGTTTGTACAATTTTATTTTAATTGTTTTTTTATATAGTTACCGAGAATGTCTATTCATAACCTACATGGTATGACAACACGTAGTATAAAACGTGACATCCATTTATTTAGAATTTGATCGTCAGTATTTGTCAGTATTCCATATAAATAAAAAAAGGGTAAAAAAAATTGTAATCTAATTATCTCATGTCTCCCTTAAAGTATCCGATACTTTAGTTATTACGCTATCGCGTCACTCACACCATACTTTACTTTAACTAACAAGATATTTTTGGCGTCGATGCTCTCTTTACAACATTAAGTATATACCAATGATATTTATGGATGTTTCATGTTACACCATGCAGTCTGGGCCTGGCCTGCATTCGGACTGCTCGGAGATGAATACATTACATATATACATTGTTACGACTATCACGCCATTGTGATGATCTAAGTGACATTTAGTCATAACATGTTTTAATCTATCTATCAATAATAGTTTTTAAGGACAAATGTAAACCGTAAATGTCGTTTGTGAAACCTTGTATTGTCCCTTGTAATACCTTCATTTTATTATGTGGATACGATTATAATAGCCGGTCGTATTCGACACCAATAAAAAATGTATTTCTTTAGAGTAACTCAAATAAACCACAAAAAACATAAAACAGTTAAGCATAGGTTATTTGGTTTGTTTTAGGGTCTCGCTTTTACTCTGGAAGAGCGCCAGGCACTTGGCATTCACGGCCTTTTGGCAGCCAAGTTCAAAAGCCAAGAGGAACAAATAGAAATTTGTAGAATATCTATTGACAGATACGAAGAAAATTTGAACAAATACCTCTACCTCGTCGAGTTACAGGTGACTAAACATGATAAAGGTACCATTGATTCTATGAATCTATTTAAAGATGGGTTTTCGGTTTCTGGGTGTATAGATATTGGTGAATTTTAATTTTAAGTAAGAGAAAGGGGTGGTTTTAAGCGAATCTGCATGCGTGGCTGGATTATAAAGATTACTAATTTAATTAGGTAGGTATTTCGAATGATTTAGCCTATTTGGTTAAAAGAACAATGCAAATGTGGTCGTAATATTTGTGTGATGGAGTGAAACGGTTAATTAAGCAAGTTGTAAAATGGGGCATTTTAATCACTAGTGGTGTGTGTTCAGGTACTAAAATACTTGGATCAGGAAAATATAAAGTGTGCAATTGGCGTAACACAGCCGTATTAAGATTGGTTATACGTAAACAAATGGGTTATTTGGCTCACAAGCCATTTACTGAGTAAACTGAGCCCATTACTTACAATTATGTAGTTGGCATGGTCTTTTACTTCATTAGGTACCATGGTAGTCATACAACACAACGTATCTATTTTTTGTTTAATATTTCAAAATTTATTTAAATGAATATTTTATTTTAAAAGGGAATTATGTTTAAAAAGTAATAATAAAAAAAAATGTTTTGAGTCGCTATAAATATAATTTGTTGCTCTTGTGGTAATATAAATATAGTAACATCTAATACATAAATATCGTGTCATGGTGTTTGTGGTCGCACTCCTCCGAAACGGCATTATCGATTTTAATGTTATTTTTGTATATTTGGTAAGCATGAGGTCGGTAAGTAATAGGTCGTAAAATATTTTTCACCCTCCTGCCCCCACCCCGCTAATCGCGATTTCAGTATTATGTATTTATATTATGGCTTATGAACATTTTTTCCGGGTCAGCTAGTATTTATTGTATATCCATGAGTTTGGATGCACAAAACAAATGTATCATATAAATATGGCTTAAATAAATCAAGTTCAGTAGCTACTTAGTTTTCTAGAAGGCCTAACTATCGGTTGTATCCAATCCGATTCCGCTGCAAACCCTTGCAAAATGTACTGCGGTCAGAACTTTAAACTTTTTATAAAAACATGACGACAAGTTTGAGCTTAAATTACATTTTTAACACAAATTTACAGTGACTTTGACTTATTGCAGGACAGAAATGAGAAGTTATTCTTCAGACTGCTCGCTGAGAACATTGAGAAATTATTGCCAATTGTATACACTCCCACGGTGGGATTGGCGTGCCAGAGATTTGGTCTTATATACCGAAGACCCAGAGGTCTCTTTATCACCATCAACGATAAAGGACACATATTTAACATTTTGAAGAACTGGTGAGTCGTGTTTTTCCTCATTATTCTTTTTATTAGAGTTAGGTTACTAATAGTTATGTGCAACAACATTTGACTTATAGCGCAAATCGATCTACTCATCCGTTGTTACTAGCCGTGTAATCACTCGAACAGATCACTGCCCAAGTTCTTTCATATTTTATCTATTATCCATTCTATCCATATTTGAATAATACAAATGGAAATTCTCCCTGGAGGTATATTATTAAATTTAGTTTTGCGTACGTATATAACCGTCTATTAGATTTTTACCCTTATATTTAATGATTTTAAAATTTAAAAAAATTAAATACGAAGCATCTTATAATATATTTTAAATACCATTGTTATGTATAATCTTGTAGCTGCTAGTTCACTGTCACGATCTTTCTACGGACTGAATACTGGACAATGCTCAGCTATGGTAGAGTTATTAACGTATAATTATTTTTACGGAAACCGCATATCATACCTAATTTATTCATTCTTCGCAATAAAATAGGTCATTGTCACTATTTATAAAAATTTGTTTGTACAACTACATTGAGTTTAACTGCCCAATCGGGTGATTCTCAAATTTGCCGACATCTTTTTTATGGATATGAAAGAAACAGGAAGTAAACATTAACAATCCGATCCGATATCCAATTAAATAAATTTCTGATCTGGACGGTTACAAAGTCATTGTTGAGGCCCCACTTGGCTCCTCGGATCATTGCCTAATCCGCACTAATCTGGAGTGCGGTGCCACTCTTGTGCTTGCCGCGTCCGCGAGTTGCTAGCTGCCGCCGCGTATGGCACTGCAGTTCAGCGGACTGGGATGGGATGCATTCTTTCTGATGATCCCAATGTCGTTGCCAATTAAATAAATTCCTGAATCACTACATCAGTGACAGACACTACGTAGTGATTCAGGGCATGGAACTATTCGTTCCATTTACAATAATTCGTTCCATTTACAATAATTCCCATCGGTGGCAGTTCCAAGCCTTGGTTCTACAGATCCTGCAGGAATGTTACCAAGCATGGGCAAATGCAGCGACGGTAGGTGATGTAAATACCAGCACGCTAAAAAAACAATACAACTTGGCGATCCAGGCCTTTCAAAAGAGCCATTGCTAGCAATCGAAGCACATCAGCCGGATTGGTGAGATTTTCTTCTGGAACTCGAGCATTCCGGTCTCTTGCCAAGTCTGTCCAATTTCTGTACGGGAGGAGGCTCTTTGACGAGCACTTGGATCCCCCTGGGATTTGGAGGTAGAAGTGCTCGCCGAAGTATATCGGCGAACGGCTGAGTACTGGGCGGTTAGTGGCAGTCGGCCCCCACCCGAAGAAGTACGCGAGTGGCGTGAGGCCGCTCGACGGGCTGGAGGCTCAAAGTGCTGTTTTTCCCGCTGTGGAGGCGCTCCAGCCGGTCATCGTCGAATGAACAGGGTGGCAGCAGCCTTTCTTTTCGACTAACGCAGATCCTCGCAGAACGCGGATCCTATTCCATAAAAAAAAAAACAAAAAAAACAGTGATGAATACTTTGAGTTTGAGGTAAATTTTACAAACAAAAAGAAATCTTTTGTAGCCGAATTATTTATTTTTGATGACAGGATATCGATAATCTGTACTTACGAACGTACTAATTAGGTTATCAGACAAATGTTTATTTATATCTATTATATCAAAAAATAATTGCTAACCTTGGTTTTGAGATCAGAAGTCAGCGTGATATTGAACTACATGATACGGAAATGTCGATATTTTTAATACGATTAACAGACCTAATCAATATTTCACTAAGGGTCCTTATTAATAATAATAATATATCCCACACACTCACACACGGCTGTCTGATCCCAAACTAGGCAGAGCCTGTACTATGGTAACCAGACCGCTGATAAACATACTTATATATTTCTAAATACATGCATATTATTGATAAATTACACCCAGACACAGAACAAATGACCGTGCTCATCACACAATATTTGTCCTGGGTGGGAATCGAACCCACGACCTCCGGTTTAGCAGTCAGGGTCACTAACCACTAGACCAACAGGCCCGTCAAATATAATAAGTCACAAGTTTAGTAATGGGGCTTTGCTATTGGATTATTGCTGTAAGGTTGCTTTGAGTCACTTTGTCAAAGGCTCCGAATCCCCAATCAGTATTGATCAGTCTTTGCAGAGCATGTGTTTTGCGACGTTTTTATACCAAATGATATTATTTGATTCACAATTAGAATAACCCGGTAGTCGAATTTTGACATTTCAAACCTGTATGTACCGTAAATAGACTAAGACATTTTCAGTATAAGTTGAACTAGGGTTTTATACACTGATGAATTTTGTATCCATTTTGATTTGAAAATTACTTAGCACTTTTGATTACACTTGAAAACTACTGTTTCATGTAGCTTGAGCATGCGTTGCATAAAGAGATTGTTAGCAAATGTAGCCGCACTGCATTTGGAATTTGGAAACGGCTATGTTTTGTATCTTGAGATGGTGTAGCATGAAGAGCTTGTTAGCAAAGCCACACTGCAGCCGAGACCGACTGTTTTTTGTAGCTTAAGCTCGTGTAGTTTGAGGAGCTTGTCAGCAAATATGCACACTGCATTTAAAAAGGACAGTTTTTAATAATACATTTATTTTCTATAAAATTCTATCAACAGTTATTATCAGTATAATATTATTAAATATTTTTATTTTACAACTCTATGTTCGCAGAATATATTGCGAAATTTTAGTACCTCTTTCCAGAGGAAAGTCTTATTCGTACCTGTACGCATAAATTAAAAAAATCCGGACATGTGCGAATCGGACTCGCCCACTGAGGGTTTCGTACACATTTGTATGTACATGTTATAAGCAGTTCAGGAATCGAACCCCGCAGTTTCTTCCGAGCTTTGCCCGAAATTCAGTTGCCAAAACCTGTAATTACTGATATTCTTGAGGTTTATAAAAGAAATTGGATTATGTACTTTAAATATTTTGTATGATTTATTTACAAATGTGTAGATTTCAGATTTTTCCCTGTACTTTTAGTATAAGACGATGATGTTACTTGGCAAATTTCAGAGTTATAGGTCAACGGGAAGTACCCCATGAAATTGATGACCATGATACCCTTGAGTGTCGAAATATGCGGCATAAATGGCGGTCTCTTTTTTTACGTTAATGTATGAGTTTGATTATTTGATAGTTTCAAGGGATCGTAGACCTGAGTTATCATCATCATCAACAGCCTATAATAGTCCTCTGCTGGTCCACCACACGGACGATTTTTGCATAAGTATACAGTATAGTTTAAAATAAATAATATCAAAAGTGACAAATACAGACAACTATCACATTTTTTACAATAAAGACGGCAAAAAAAAACACGAGTTTTTTAAAATAAACCAGGTTTCTACAGTAATTAATTAAATTATTACTTACATCTGGATGTTCTTTTACTGGCAATATTATTTTTTTAATTGGCTTATCATGTAGTTTAATGTTGAGTTTGAGATATTTAAAAAAACATTGTTTATAAAATACGATTTTATTTGATGGTTATATTAAATTATTGAAGCATTTTAAATCATTTCTGTTTGCATTACGATTTAGTTCAAAGCCATATTCCTATACTTTAGTATCGTAAACACTTCTGGACGATGAATGAACGTAAGATAGTTTTGTAATACAAGAGTTGATTTGGTTGCCCCGTCTAGTCGGTTCAGTATTTATTATATGTACCAATATACAGCTGCAGCTATATATAGCTTTAAAAGTATGAGTCATTTCAAGATTTATGGGTTTATTCATGTATGTATGCCTTCCGGGGATGCCTAACCAGTTACAGACAAAGACTGAAGTGTCCTTTGTGACTTTTTTTAATAAAACACCATAATTATGACCAAATTCGCATTATTATACCCACACAGCGCCGATTGATTTTGCTCAGTTACATCATATATCATCAATATAACTAATTTTATTGATTCATTGCCTATCAGTATGACATTTGACATTTGTATCGCTAAGCTCAACAATCAGCTGGTACATATAAAAAAACGGTATGTACAAAAGTTGCAAAGCGTCGATAGTGCAGTGATTAATAATAATATTAATAATAGTTTTTAGTTGTTTTTTTTTTTATAAAGTGTAGGTTTGAAAATATAATTAATATTTATATTAAATAAATAAAGATAATAATAATAATTTATTTTAAAGTTCAGATCTAATACCTTTAAACGAGCAATTTTTGTATATATATATAACAAGTGCGCTGAAAGTAATCATAAAAAATGAAATAACAGATAACATGGTTCATTTCAAATTATAAGGAAATGATTTATTTATTTTAATATTTTTTTTATTTCTTTTTTTTATAATTTCATGTTTTTAATCATTTATATTAATTAATTCATTTATTTTAATGATTTATTATCTATCTTATAAAAATAAATAAAACATTTCCTCAAAAAACGTAATATATTTGCAACTACAGATATTTATACGGATGCCAATGGCCACTCGATGGCATCTCAATAGCGTGTCAGTGGTATGACACTGACTTGGCGTGAACATAAAATAGCAGAATTGAGGCCCTGTACACGGCAGCGTTGCAATGTCGGCGACGTCAAAGCGAAACCGCCGCCGCGACGAGCCGTTGAACTTTACATTCTTATTACCTACTACTTAATCATTTACTTTACTTGCTTTTTTAAATCAATTTATTAAAAATGCGATTTTATTCACGTGTTTATTATGGGAATGCTCGACTAGCTTCGGACCCGACAGTACGTGTCACTCCTTGAAAAAGTAGGTACTTTGTTTGACTCGTAATCTTTGTACCAACGCCCTTACAAAAATTCGGCAGTCTGTAGAACATACACGATTGACTCCCCACTCCGCCAGGCATGATCGCCTCGCCTGGTCGAAGGATCCTCCCTTTGTGTTGAAGGGACATGACATCCGTTTATCCACACACGCATATTATTAGGCACGCATTATTGTCCCACGTGGGGATCGAACCCACAACACTCAAGGCAGTAGTAGGCGGCAAGGTGACTGCTTAAACCACTACCCCATCCGTGTAGTCAAAATATTATGTAATGCTCGCATATATGAATAATTACATTATAAATTTTGACGGACCTGTTGGTCTAGTGGTTAGTGACCTTGACTGCCAAACCGGAGGTCGTGGGTTCGATACCCACCCAGGACAAATATTTGTGTGATGCGCACGATCGTTTGTTCTGTGTCTGGGTGTAATTTGTCTATAATATGTATAATATATTTAGAAATATGTAAGTATGTATATCAGCAGTCTGGTTACCATAGTACGGGCTCTGCCTAGTTTGGGATCAGACAGCCATGTGTGAGATATTATTATTATAATAAATATATGCCTTAGTACTGATTTTTGCCCTTTTAGTCTTTGACATGTTCGTTATGTTGTACTATAGATATGTTCATTATTAGCTTTGCGGTGTTGCATAAAAAGAACAATGAACCGTCCAATTATAATAACTTATAGTACGAGTATTTGCACGTGTCCTGTATTTCTGTTGTTGAACAATTTATTATAAGTTTAATATATACTAACTTCTAAACTTACACGTTCCAAGGTATACATGTAATTATGTAGGTACATGTAAGGGAATTAACGCAATCACAGGTTGTGACCACGGTTAGTGCCTTCCGGTTGGGACATTAGAAATTTAAAAGTGTGAATTATCTGTTCTGTAATCGCGTTAATTCCTCTAATAAAATAAATTTAATATTTTCAATACTAAAACTTATTCTGATAAAATCATTTTACCAAACACAAATCTGTTTTTAGGCCCGAACCAGATGTGCGCGCTATAGTTTTCACCGACGGCGAACGAATCTTGGGTCTCGGTGACCTTGGGGCTTATGGTATGGGAATTCCTGTTGGGAAACTCTCGCTGTACACTGCATTAGCAGGCATTAAGCCGCACCAGTGTTTGCCGATCACTTTAGACGTTGGAACTGACAATCAGGTAGGCGGTTTTTATATAATTGTTATACCATCTGAAGGTACAGCTCTTTTAAATTCATGTATAAATATAGAGTTATGGTAAACTGTGGTGTTAGGACTTAGGCAGATAAAATATATTGCCATAAATAATAATTTTTTTGTAGTTTGTAAGATACGTTTTTAACGTACGTACGTACGTACTATAATGTTAATATTACCAAACTAGTATGTTAGATTATATTAAATTCAGTTCAGTTACATTCAGTCCGTTAATTTATATAAATAAGATAGTGATATATTAAAATTGTACCAAAAATACATTGTTTTCCACATTTCCTAATTTTCTAATTTTGCACTATTAGGAGAGGCATTTTTTCTTTACATTTGAATGGAACCAAATCGGAAATTAACCCTTCCAAATAAACAAAATCAACATGCGTTACAAGCTTTTTTTTTCCTCTAAATGTGTTGTAATCTCATTTATTACTTCCTTGTACACATATCTCTGTAATCCAACTCAAACACCTAACAAATATCTTGAAAGAATAAAACTAAGTCAATACATGACTATATTATTGAAAGAGTCAAACTCTTAATGGTCAAGGACCCTTCTAACAATCAGCTCAGCAACATGAGATAACGACTACCAAACAAAAATACCTGTACAGCTAGGGAAACAACCTAAAACACGTTGTCAGGGCTGTAAAATTTGAGTTTCCTTAGATTTTCCAAAAATAAAATCATGGGGACCACCTTGGGAGTATACCCTTTCGATAACTATAAGATTTTTGAAAATCGGTCCACAATTGACGGAGATATCGCGTAACAAACATACACAAAAAAGTAGTTAAAGTGAGAACCTCTTCTTTTGTGTTTTTGAAGTTAGTTAAAAAGAGAAAAATGCAGTCACGAGAATTTTTTATTTTAATAAAATTAAAGTAAAAAAAAATAAATAAAAAAAAGGGGTTCAATTATCAGAAAAAAAAACTAGGACAGAAATACAAAAATAATAAAATAATTGCCGAATTAGAACACCATTGTTTACATGAGTCTCGTAAACAATGGTGTTCTAATTCGGTAATATTTTTTTTTTTTTATATATTTTTTTTTTAATAATTTATTTATTTCTTTTAATAAATTTTTATAATAGAAGTAAATAAAACATTTCCTCAAAAAACGTAATATATTTGCAACTACCGATATTTATACGGATGCCAATGGCCACTCGATGGCATCTCAATAGCGTGTCAGTGGTATGACACTGGCTTGGCGTGAACATAAAATAGCAGAATTGAGGCCCTGTACACGGCAGCGTCGCAATGTCGGCGACGTCAAAGCGAAACCGCCGCCGCGACGAGCCAGCGAACTTTACATTCTTATTACCTACTACTTAATCATTTACTTCACTTGCTTTTTTAAATCAATTTATTAAAAATTCGATTTTATTCACGTGTTTATTATGGGAATGCTCGACTAGCTTCGGACCCGACAGTACGTGTCACTCCTTGAAAAAGTAGGTACTTTGTTTGACTCGTAATCTTTGTACCACCGCCCTTACAAAAATTCGGCAGTCTGTAGAACATACACGATTGACTCCCCACTCCGCCAGGCATGATCGCCTCGCCTGGTCGAAGGATCCTCCCTTTGTGTTGAAGGGACATGACATCCGTTTATCCACAAACGCATATTATTACGCACGCATTATTGTCCCACGTGGGGATCGAACCCACAACACTCAAGGCAGTAGTAGGCGGCAAGGTGACTGCTTAAACCACTACCCCATCCGTGTAGTCAAAATATTATGTAATGCTCGCATATATGAATAATTACATTATAAATTTTGACGGGCCTGTTGGTCTAGTGGTTAGTGACCCTGACTGCCAAACCGGAGGTCGTGGGTTCGATACCCACCCAGGACAAATATTTGTGTGATGCGCACGATCGTTTGTTCTGTGTCTGGGTGTAATTTGTCTATAATATGTATAATATATTTAGAAATATGTAAGTATGTACGAGGGGTGATCAATAAGTAATGATAATCAATACGAAACAGAACTATTAGATTAAAAAAAGTATTTTATTTTTCAACATAGTCTCCTTGCAAGTTAATACATTTAGTGTATCTTTTTTCTAAGCCCATGATTCCCTTAGAAAAAAATTATTTGTCTTGACCCTCCCAAAATGCCTCTACTGCGGCCATCACTTCACTATTGTCCTCAAATTTGTTGCCCCGGAGGTGTTCTTTGAGCCGAGGAAAGAGGTAGAAGTCACTGGGAGCTAGATCTGGCGAATAGGGAGGGTGTTCGAGCAGTTCGAACCCCGTTTCTTCAATGGCAGCCATCGCAACTGCGGCTTTGTGAGCCGGGGCGTTGTCTTGGTGAAACAGCACTCCAGCGCGCAGTTTACCGCGTCTTTTTGACTTAATAGCTTCTCGCAATCTTCTTATTTGGCCTGCGTAGTAAGAGCCTGTTATAGTGGACCCCTTTTCCAAATATTCCACCATAATAATTCCTTCTGCATCCCAGAAAACAGACGCCATAACCTTTCCCGCTGAACTTGACACTTTGAATTTCTTCGGCGTTGGTGAGGAAGCTCGTTTCCAAGTCATTGATTGTTGTTTGGTTTCGGGATCAAAGTGGTGGATCCAGGTCTCGTCCATGGTCACAAAACGCGACAAAAAAAAATCTTTATCGGCCTGGAACTTTTGAAGATTCACCCGAAATGTCGACTAGTTTCTTTTTTTGCTCGTCGGTTAACATTCTCGGTACCCAACGCGCAGAGACCTTTTTCATATGCATTTTGTTGACAATGATTTTTTGAACGCTGCCATAGGAGATCCCTGTGACCTCAGCTACATGCCTTACGGTCACCCTTCGATCGGCCAACACGATATCTTCCACTTTTTTGACGTTTTCCTCCAGTAACGGACGTGGAAGGGCGTCCCTCGCGATGTTCATCTTCAGTGGAGGTTCTGCCCAGCTTAAATTCCTTTGTCCAGCGTGCGACTGTGGAATATGGAGGAGCAGACTCCCCCAATGTTTCCTCTAAGTCGCTGTGTATGTCTTTGGTAGACATTTTTTTCAGGCAGAGGTACTTGATGACAGCTCTTATTTCATTTTTCTCCATTTTGATGTTTTCTCTTCGACAGTTCGTATTCAAATGAATGTATCTCCCGGTAATGGTGTCCTATTTATACATTTTTTGAAGCTGAAGTAGTGGATATATAAGCAAGCAGAAAAAAAATAATTTGGGTTTTTGTGCGTTCTAGAAATACTCGATTATCATTACTTATTGATCACCCCTCGTATATCAGCAGTCTGGTTACCATAGTACGGGCTCTGCCTAGTTTGGGATCAGACAGCCATGTGTGAGATATTATTATTATAATAAATATATGCCTTAGTACTGATTTTTGCCCTTTTAGTCTTTGACATGTTCGTTATGTTGTACTATAGATATGTTCATTATTAGCTTTGCGGTGTTGCATAAAAAGAACAATGAACCGTCCAATTATAATAACTTATAGTACGAGTATTTGCACGTGTCCTGTATTTCTGTTGTTGAACAATTTATTATAAGTTTAATATATACTAACTTCTAAACTTACACGTTCCAAGGTATACATGTAATTATGTAGGTACATGTAAGGGAATTAACGCAATCACAGGTTGTGACCACGGTTAGTGCCTTCCGGTTGGGACATTAGAAATTTAAAAGTGTGAATTATCTGTTCTGTAATCGCGTTAATTCCTCTAATAAAATAAATTTAATATTTTCAATACTAAAACTTATTCTGATAAAATCATTTTACCAAACACAAATCTGTTTTTAGGCCCGAACCAGATGTGCGCGCTATAGTTTTCACCGACGGCGAACGAATCTTGGGTCTCGGTGACCTTGGGGCTTATGGTATGGGAATTCCTGTTGGGAAACTCTCGCTGTACACTGCATTAGCAGGCATTAAGCCGCACCAGTGTTTGCCGATCACTTTAGACGTTGGAACTGACAATCAGGTAGGCGGTTTTTATATAATTGTTATACCATCTGAAGGTACAGCTCTTTTAAATTCATGTATAAATATAGAGTTATGGTAAACTGTGGTGTTAGGACTTAGGCAGATAAAATATATTGCCATAAATAATAATTTTTTTGTAGTTTGTAAGATACGTTTTTAACGTACGTACGTACGTACTATAATGTTAATATTACCAAACTAGTATGTTAGATTATATTAAATTCAGTTCAGTTACATTCAGTCCGTTAATTTATATAAATAAGATAGTGATATATTAAAATTGTACCAAAAATACATTGTTTTCCACATTTCCTAATTTTCTAATTTTGCACTATTAGGAGAGGCATTTTTTCTTTACATTTGAATGGAACCAAATCGGAAATTAACCCTTCCAAATAAACAAAATCAACATGCGTTACAAGCTTTTTTTTTCCTCTAAATGTGTTGTAATCTCATTTATTACTTCCTTGTACACATATCTCTGTAATCCAACTCAAACACCTAACAAATATCTTGAAAGAATAAAACTAAGTCAATACATGACTATATTATTGAAAGAGTCAAACTCTTAATGGTCAAGGACCCTTCTAACAATCAGCTCAGCAACATGAGATAACGACTACCAAACAAAAATACCTGTACAGCTAGGGAAACAACCTAAAACACGTTGTCAGGGCTGTAAAATTTGAGTTTCCTTAGATTTTCCAAAAATAAAATCATGGGGACCACCTTGGGAGTATACCCTTTCGATAACTATAAGATTTTTGAAAATCGGTCCACAATTGACGGAGATATCGCGTAACAAACATACACAAAAAAGTAGTTAAAGTGAGAACCTCTTCTTTTGTGTTTTTGAAGTTAGTTAAAAAGAGAAAAATGCAGTCACGAGATGTTCATAGGGCTCCTTTTTCAGTATATATGTTATAAAACATTGCCATCTTATAAAACTGTAATAGAGATTGAACGTATCACATTTTACACAAGAACGAATACATAATTGCCGTACTACCTGGTTATAAACTTACCAAGTAGGTATATTTCTACCTTGGATCAAATAACAAGTTTATACAATGCGTGTTCACGTAGAAAGATGTAATGTATAGAGATTTAATAAAAAAACCTTAATGTACAGAGGTCCTAGTGCGAGTTTATTTCACATCAACTCGATCGTCACGGTGACTGCATTCGGTGTTGTAATTGGCCCGCGCTGAACTCTTCACTAATCACAGCGCCGTGATGATCGAGTAGTTGCTGTTCGTAAGTCCGTCTGTCACCGTTCGCGAAATACAGCCGTATTTAAGGAACGTTAATAGGAAGGGGTGATTTTTTATATAACAATAAATAATAAAAATCAGTACATCGCAAGTCTTATTCGTACACAGGAAAGACATGGTACGAGTCTGACTCACATTTGAGCTTTTTTAATACTTCGTACGTAAATGTTAATATTTTTCTGTTATTTCAAAATACAAACAATACTAAAAATATACAATTCTTTATATGCCTTTGAACAATTTAACTTATTAAACAGCCGTTTAGAACGGTCTTTTGTTTCAGCAGTTATTAATTTTAATTAGTAGTGAAGTAAAGTAAATTACTTATACTACTGTAAATTACTATTAAAATTATTGTCATAACTAATTAATAATACGTACAATTATTTAATTTCTTACAAATAAATGATTAATATTAAAAAAAAACTCTAGTATGACTCCATATCTTTAGTATGGTTCTAGTTCTAACAGAGCGATGGTATGAGTGAGATACGACACTAGGCGAGAGTAAGGAGAATAGTATACGCAGTTGAAAATAAATAAAAATAATAATGTCATAACTAAGGTATTTTTACCGCAAAATATTACCCCCCCACCCATTTTTTGCACTTTAAAAAGTGTAGATTTTGCATTTTTACTGAACACTGTAGCATCGTTGAACGTCACACTACTAACGCGGACGCGAAGCGGCTGTGAGCGCAACTGTGCATACTTCTAATTAAGGGTACTTCTCGGGAAAAGACGCGGGTTATTTGAGTAGTATGCACAAGTTACTTGCTCGTAATTTGCACATGCTGCTCGCGTGAGTTACAAGTATGGGCCTTGCTAGTTTCAGATCGGAAACAGTTCAGTACCAGGGTGCTTGTACACAGTGTAATAGCTGGAACCAAGTAATCGCGTTATAATTGTTATGGAATCAGTTGTTCAAAATGTTATTCTACTACAGTTAATAAATTAAGCGCCAATCATGCATGTTCTTTTCGCGAAGCTCATAACCTGCGCAAGCACCTCAACATGCACAAGCTACTTGCATCGTGTAGACGCACCCTTAAGTTTTTCGAGCCGTGATCGTCCATTTATAGTTTATTATAAAGCGCAGAGTAAGTGATGCATTGTGTTATTGTAAAACCTAATTCGTTATAGTCAAAACTTTATCATGTTCACTGTGTAATCAAATTTTCAAGTATGTAGACACGTTTGCAAGTATTAATGTAGGCATATAGTAGGTAGGGAGGTATAATCTAAAATACATTATGATGATTTACTCGATATTATACTTTACATTCTAAAATAAGAAGATATAATTTTCAGGATCTCCTCGAAGACCCGCTATATATTGGCCTGCGACAGAGGCGTACGAGAGGAAAAGAATATGACGAGTTCATTGACGAGTTTATGGAGGCGTGTGTACAGAGATACGGACAGAACACTTTATTACAGGTGAGTTAATAGTGTATCTTGAAATCGACATTTAAGGCGCACTAATTCCCCTTTTTAATTTCCTGAGCCGTTTGAATCAGTGAATCACGGCGTTGGCCGCAATTGTACGCTACGTGGCTAGTACTGAAAGATTTGGTAACATTTTTATCGTTGCCTTGCGGTAGTAGTGGGGATTCGTACGAGGCCCCGTAGACTTTGAATGTGTGAGTATGTTAACGGACGACATCATGTTATGAACGACAGATATCCACACAATATCGATCACGTAGGACTGATACGAGCATCTATTATTTAACATTGTCTCATGTCATTCTGTTATGTGACAGAGAAACGTGTATTGGTCACATTATTGTGAGTCACATATTACATCACGTCTCTTTTATACACACAGCTATTGTACTTAGCTTTTGAAATCTGAAAACGACCTTATGGTGGCTGTTTATTGTAGAGTTCTTTTCTCATTAGTCTCTGCTCTCATTCACCGATCTCTTGATACACTACTTCTTAGTGAGCTGCACCATAGCATATTAGTAATAATAGCCCGGTTAAATTAGCATAAATTCCCAAGAAGATGATTTGTGTATATTGTGTGTGTTTAATAGAGAGTCTCGTTAATGTCTCGATGACCTGCAATAATACGAAAGTGTCACTTGGCGAGGGCACTTCTGCATGTAACTGTAGGACACATTTTATAAGATATGTATGTATGATGTCTTTTTGGAACGTATTTTAGAGTGTTATGTTTACGTAAAACTGTTTTGGGCACATACATTTTACGGACAGTGAGGACCTTGCATTCAGAGTATAACAGGTGGGATATTTAAAATGTTTGTTCATCATGAACTTTAAGACGGCTCTTTGAGCCCGTTCGAGCAGCACTAAGATTGTCCTGGCTGCGCCTCCCTAAACAGATATACAATATGCCACTATGGACTGACAGATTGAGTAATAGATAATTTGAACAGTGTCGTGTGATGCTATGTATCGAAGTTTTTTAAAGACGCGGATACGGGAGGTCAGGGTACTTGTGCATATGCCAGTTTAAATGGTTGTCAATGAGAACGCCGAGGTATCTGACACTATTGGTTCTATTTACGGTGAGACAGTTACAGGACATTTCCATGGTGTGTTGACAGTTGTGAGCTCTTAGCTTAAATATTTTGGGATTAGGTAGTGTGCTGGAGGTTGGTGTAAGTGAGGTACATTGTCTTATTTACTTTGAGCGTTAGAAGATTATTTGAGAACCAAGCCATTACCTTTCCCAGAGCGGACTCAACTGCACATAATGTCTCAGACTAATTGGAACCGTGAATAAGTAGAGCTGCGTCGTCTGCGTAGGTGTAAATCGAACAATTTGGTATGGAAATCCTCGTAAGAATTGAACCTTGAGGAACGCCGTAACTAAGGAGGATATGTTTACTGAATGATGACCCGATCTTAACACACTGCATTCTGTTATTGAAATAACTTTGGAATATTAGTCAAGAATATCCTACAGTAATTATTTTTGAAAGCTGCCCCTGCTTAAATAAAGAATCGTTGAAGTCCAAGTATTGCCTAAGATAATCGTTAATTGTTCGACTATTTGAAGTTGCGTTAATCGACTTGTCGGGCGGTCGGCTGAGTGGCGAGCGGCAACTTAATATTATTTTGCGACGAAAATTATTTTACAAAAAAAAAACAGTATTAAAAGCTATAATTTAAGCCCTAAACGACTTTTCTACGAGTCACACAAGCTGAGAAAATGAAGGGCGAAAAATCGCGATTCCTTTCGAAATAAAAGTGTTTTCTCGTAAAGTTTGTAACGACTTCAGCAAGCTCTTATTTTCTTCGTTTTTTTCTAACACTACAACCACTATTTTTTGTTTTTTTTTATTAAAAAATATTTCCCTGTTTTTCCGATAAACCAGTTTTTCGCACCAGTCCGATTTTTTTTCAATAACTTACCACGAACCGTTTTTGCCAAAGTATTTCCTTTTAATATGAAGTTACTTTGCGCCGCACATCCTGTACTATTACACATTAATTTTGCGAGATATAAAATATGATAACTTTTACCCATGTTTGCAGTTTGATCGCTTATCAAATCAAAATAATTTAAGAACAAACAAATTAAGATAATTGACTTCACCTGAATGGAGCATATAATATTTCTTTTTTTACTAATTTTTATTTATTTATTATTAAAACCAAATTACAAAAACTTCAACTTAGACAAAAATAACAAAAAATATTCTGGGCACTAGTAGTACCCACGTTCGACTCTAGTACCCACGATGAGATTTAACTTGTGTTATGGGTACCAGGGCTCTCTCACACGGTAACAACATTGTCTACGTAAATATTGTAAGAGAAGAAGGCAAACACAAATGACAATATGAACTAAACTAGATAGAAATTAGTAAAAATAAAAACATGTATAAATTAGTAATGTACAATGTAATGTAAATTTTTACACAAATCAATTCAATATAATTAAAATCAAGATTAAAGTCAAATTTAAAATTAAAACCAAAAATAAAAAACATAATAAAAATTAAAACTGAGATAAGATTAACATAAATTAATACAATAAATAAATATTCATAGCATCTATACTAATATTATAAAGCTGAACAGTTTGTTTGTTTGTTTGAACGCGCTAATCTCAGGAACTACTGGTCCGATTTGAAAAATTCTTTCAGTGTTAGATAGCCCATTTATCGAGGAAAGCTATAGGTTATATATCATCACGCTAAGAGCAATAGGAGCGGAGCACCAATGAAGAATGTTTCAAAATCGGAGAAAATTTATTACTATTGAGAGACGCAGACGAAGTTGCGCGGGTCAGCTAGTATACAATAAATAAATATTCATAGCGTATGTACAACAACTGCACCACAATTTAATATATAAATATTATTAGATAAAAAGAAGATAATTATTCGCCAGTACATTCAAATTCAGAATTGGGCTATAGGCTATAGTGCACCTTGTTTTTATTTTGCTAGCCTCATGATTTCTGAATCGTGTACAATGTAGTTTGTGTGTGTGTATGTTTTTGTGTGTGTAGGTGTAGTGTACAGTGTAGTGTTCTAGGTATCATGTGCATATGAATATTGCATACACACCCACAGGTATAGTTTATGTTCATATACATACATAGATATTACCAATACCTATAATATATACATAGTGAGTAGTTCTTCTGTCTCTGTGTAATTCTTGTTTTGGAGCCATCTACCTACAACATTTTTTAAGTTAGATTTACAGAATGGATAAATTTTGCAGCATTTGTTAGGAAGATTATAAAGCCGGCTTATAATGACACGAAAATGTTTACTCGCAAGAGTAGTTCTAAAGGTTTTGGACCGAACATACTTGATAAGCTCGATGTCTCACCAACTTAGATTTATCATAGTGCTGCGTCCTATGCTTCCATATAACTGTTTGGAGTAAAAAAAAGCTGTCTTGCGGCTAGCACTTGGCACATTCCTCGTAAAGTATGGAGGTTGAGTATTTGAACGGATTAAATGTCATTACCTTTAAAACAGCTATTTGCGCTCTTTCCAGCTCCAAGAAGTAAGATTTTGCTGCACCTCCCTCCACTGTAAAACAGTAGCTTATGATAGATTGGCACAACGCGTAGTACACGGTCTTAAGGATACTGAAATTGGCCGAGTATCTTATCTTTCAAACACGGATATTAGTTTTGCGGACGCGTGAGGCTAGTCTGGCCAAATGTGGCTGCCAATTTACATGTTGGTCAATAATAGTATACCGTAGACAGGTTCACACTTACTAACATCACATGTTAAGGTATATAAAAAGGGAAATTAATGAAGTAATGTTTTAATCAAAACTATCTGCTAAATACACTTGCATTAAAGGTGCAGAAGTTGTTTTTAACCTTTTTCGTAATCATGATTAGTATCTCGAATGACGAAAAGTACTAATACAGGCATTATTTATGCATATAGGTTATAATATATTAGGTAATACATATATTATCACCTATATGCACACCGGGATCCCCGATAAGTACCCATGATAAGTCCCTAAGTACCTTTTACAGATAAAAACTAAAGCGTGCATTATACTCTTGAGTATAAAGCACCTGATTGTAGGTGTAGTAAAAGCATAAAGCAAAGGTTTATCGGCTATTTGTTTCAAAGATTTGCAGAACAAAGCTTCTGTATTCAGATTACGCGACTGCGACAAAGCGCTGTCACATTTATTATTGATTTGTACATCTTCTGCAATCTAAATTTGGTCACTGTCTGGTTTACGTTGAAGGTGAGATGGTTCCAGATTCATATTTTCCATCAGTTACAAATACCCCTCTCACCTCGTTCTTTACTTTCATTAGAAGTTAGTTTATCTCGAGTCCTATCTTGGGTTTTTTTTGTATATGTTATCCCGCAATAGGAATATATCCTGTGTCGCGGGGGACTTTCCAAACATACATGAAACTGACACAAAGAACACACAGACTCAGAACAAAATTTGTGATTCAAACAAATTGTCGTCCCATGTGGTAATCGGACCCACAACACTCAGCGTAGTAGTAAGCGGCGTGGCGACCGCTTAAACCACTACGCCATCCGTGCAGTCGATTCTTGTCTATGTGCGTCCCAATCAATATTTAAATAGATACACGTTGAAAGTCCACAATAAGTCTCAAAGTTAATGTGATGGACAATTACATAACTACACCTATTTAGTTATGTATTACGATAATCTTATCGCTCTACATATCTATGATCTCGCACTTATTTATTACAGAGCTATATTGATAAGAACGATAACGGCTTTATGTAAAATTCAGTGTTTCTTGTTGTTTAAAACGGATCAAGATTAATTATAATCTTTTAAATTGCTTGTTAATATTGCTAATTCTAATTCGTGCGAGCTGCCATATATATAAGCCGACCTATTGATAGGCTGATCAGGTATCATTTAATACTATGTATGTGGATAGAGAAAGTAACTACTGCATTCCTTGCCGAATACTTACTAAATAGTCGGTAACACTATAGCCGCTTGCTGACAACATTCTTACATGTCATAGTCGTATGAATAGTATTATTTTTATTCAAAATTTCTTATTGTTAAACACAACAATAGTTGTTATAATCTGTATAAAAATGCATTGTTACAATAATAGTTTTTACTAGTTTTTTATCCAAAGCAAAAAACAAGTTTTTTATTTTAAATGTAATTTATACATATATTCTTTTTAGGTCAATTTTTTTAGTCGCAAATATTTTCCTTTTTTTATTTTTAGTAGTCTGTGTCAGTTTTCGAGACATAAAGTTGGTATTTTTTATTTACACATACGACAAAAGAAAGGGTGTTGATAAGTGTTAAAATAGTATGAAATTATTGCCATTATGATATGTTATCTCCATTCTGATATCTATACTTACCTATACTTACATATATCTTACTTATCTATACTTACACAAATAGTACTTCCTGCATGAAAACGAGGTAATAGGGAAAATAAAGATAAATTATGAGTATGACTACATAAAACATTACATTAATCGCCACTAATTCTCACGATTTTAGCTTCTACAACTTAAACCGTCCGTGCTAGTACTATTACACAATAACCTACCTCAAATACAACTAGTTAAGCTTAAATTTTAAATAAGAAACGACTTACGCTCTTAGAAATTATAAAACCTCGAAATGGATAAACTCAAAAAACAAGACAACTTACACCAGTTTCTGAAGTCGAAAATAATGTTGAACAATCTTGTTTTGCTTTTCGCCAAGTTAGTGACGTTATCGAATCTCAAGCCTACTCCCACTAATTTTAGGGGGCGACAACGCACATGTGGCAGGTGCACATGGGCGGCGGTAGTGACTTACCCACGATGAGCTACTCGTTTGCCTTCCTTTACTATAAAAAAAACAGTGACACTCCGGGAGTGCCGACAGAAGTGAAAACCTAAAAATTTAAATTTTTTGACTATAACAGATTTGTTTTTGTTTTTTTTTCGATTAGAAAAGTTCCGACATGAATATATATCTATGTTGTACGTATATACACAATATATGTTTATGTTATATATATAAACTCGGTTCCAAAAATAACGGGTCCAAAAATAACGGATAAAAATTGTAGGTACGTAGGTGAATGTTCATATATCTGAAGACCTATGTGTGCTAATCGAGAGCTCGCAATATGCCTTTTTCAGCTATTTAGAATTTGAGTTTTGATAATAACTGATATAAATGTATGCTATACTTAGAATAATAGCGCATAGAAGGATAGTTTCATATCAATTAACGAGTTTGAGGCTAAAACACAATTGATGTAGACGTAAATCAAGCGTATTTACGCTCGTCGACACGCACACTAATGTACAAGTAATGTTGCTATCGGAATTAGATTTGCCCCAAAAGTAGGAAAATTGAAACTGCTACTTCCTTAAGTCCTTAGAGGTTTCTGCACTCACAAATAGGGATTTCTTTTTAATTTTATGGATGAAAATCTGAAATAAGTAATATATAATATATATATTTACATAACGAAACATTTGTAAAGTTTAATAGTATCGTTTTAAAGTTATTATAGTGTTCCGACATAGATTAATAATTGGTTTATGAAAAAGTTTTAAAAACATCATATGATTAATGGAAGACACCTATCCAGTAAAACTAAAGAATAGTCTAAGTGCGTTCAATTTGACTATTGCACCGAATTATAAATAAATTTATTTTATTAATACAGGCCATTCTCTGCCAAGGCTTCCAGTGCAAGTGAATTACATTAATAACTTATACAATAAGCATTTTATTTTAGAACATAAATATCACAATTTGGAAAACCATTTAACCTAACTTGCAACATTTGGTTAAAATGGTGTTTGCCGAATTTAAATGTTTTTATTTTGCTTTGAAAAATGTTTTACCTCAAAATATTGGAATAAACGTAATACTTACACGTGAAATGTTATTTTACAATGTTTGTTATGCTTTTCCGATATACCGTGGCACCCGTTAATTGCACAAACTGTAATTTTCTAATAAAATACGAGAGCTGTTTGCACTACAATTTGACCCTAAGCACTGACGCCCGCCGTTCGTCCGCTAAGCCAAAATGGCATATTTTTACTTGCGACACTTTTCGTGCGTGTTCTCGGTTTCTATGCATTATTATTCTAAGATGCTATATAATACGCTAAGCTATAAATAAGTCATATATCAGGTTATCTTGTAATATGGATACATATCTATTTTAGTTGAAAGTAACTAATTTAAATATACTTTATTCTTCTTCAAAGAATATGGTACAAAATCAGTTCTGGTTTCTCATGAAACGTTTACGTTATCGAAGCGTCTTCGCTATACGATTTGATTGATTAGATGTTGTGAATCATGGCTGTATAAGCATTTTGATTATTATCCCCTTATGAGTCAATTAAACATTTTTTTTACATATAACTATATACATTATATTCAACTAGAGTAAAGATAAAATAGTTGGTATTTCTTAAGAAACAAGAAGCATGTTTTTAAATATATACGGTGAAACACGTTGATCTAATAAAATCCAGTAATTTGATCCAGTAAAAGTAATTAAAAAGAATTTTGGCAAATAATATGGTAAATATAATAAGTAATTTACGGTATATGGTAAATATACTAATTTTGGTTATTAAGGACATAACTTGTTAATATAATAAAGAGTAAGTTAAAGATGATGGGGGCAAACATTAAGTTAGGAAATGAAGGCAAAGCGTGAAATCGTAACGTCGTCACTGTTATCATTCTCTTTGCTTATTTTCGCCAACGTTGACAATCTTCTCCAAAAAGAAGTAATCGATATTTGATTATGAAAATCTTACGATTTTACGTTCGAGGGTAGGTAATTATGGTTTCATTGTACGTGTCGCTAGCCAAAAAAGTTAGCTAGTTCTTCAAACTCCATGCACTATTTCTCACTAACTTGACCGCGGGAAGTAACATGATTAATATAGCTTTCGCTCATTTCGATCTACTGATTGTGGGTTCAGTGTTCAAATCTAAGTTTATTTTTTTATCGATTTTTATAATGACGTCAATAAATTGATAACAAGTGATTCGAGGTGTCTATTCATAGAAATGATATCTCTTTATTGTAAGTATTATGTGAATAAAAGTATTTAGGTAGTCATTTCAACTCAATAGTTCTTAATAATTTTCTTAGGGTTCCGTTTGTCAGAAAGAAAAAAATATCTTATAGAGTAATTTTGTTGTCCGTCTGTCTGTTTGTCAAACTTTTTGTCATCGATTAAATAGTTGAGCATGAAGTAATCATACCTACAGTACTGTGTATTAACTTTTAGAGATGTAGATGTAACCTGGTCATTATTGTCTCTGGTCACAGTACATCGCATCAATAGCCTATAATAGAGCACTGCTGGACATAGGCCTCTAGGCCTTTTGTTTTAGAACAATTATCTACAGTAAATTATATTTCTGCAAAAATCAAGTATTAAATTATCGAAGAGATATTTAATAAGTATTAAATATCTCTTTGAGTGAGCGTAAGTGACGCTTACACTTGCTCAAAGAGACATTCATGACGCTCACGGCATGTCGACCGGCTCTAGTTGAACGTAAGAATGAGCCCCGCCAAGTGTTATTTTTCAATAATGTGACATAGTAGTAGTTAACCAAATTTATTATTGGTTGTACACGTGGTTGTTACTTTGTAACTAATTTTTTATTGGTTACAAAGTAACAACTCATTTTCTTAATTGTAGCAATAAATCTAATTCATTTATTTATTGAATTATGCCTTGCCTTTGTTCTTAAATTACATTATATCAGCTTGCCAAGTACAGAATGTATTGTTTATAGCTCAACGAAATGTCTTTACTGCATATATTTGTTTTATTTTAGTAAGTGAGGTCCTACACAAGGTTTATTATGACCTAAACTTCATCATGCTTAATTAAGTGGTTTCTTTGTTTTAAAATGTACCTATGTGATATTGTGGTCTGCCTAGATTTGTGGGTTTACTTAATGTTTCTTTCTGGAGCTTCAATTAGTTCTTATTCTATTGAATATAAATGGTATATTAAGTGACAAATATTGCTAGTTTTTTATAGTTTCGTATCTAAACTATAAAAAAACTAGCAAATAGTGTTGTTACATGTTTATTTCCAGTTCGAAGACTTCGCCTTAATCAATGCGGGTCGTTTGCTGAAGAAATACAGAAACAAATACTGCACGTTCAACGATGACATTCAGGGCACCGCCAGTGTTGCCGTTGCTGGTTTAATGGCAGCTGTTAGAGTGACCAAGAGGAAGTTGAGCGAAAACATTTATTTGTTTTTGGGTGCAGGTTCCGTAAGTTGAAACAATTTTTATAAAAGTCATTTTCAACTAAATAATAATAATAAATAATCTACATAATCTATAGCTTTAGTTTGAAGCTAAGGTATGTGCTCTGTTCTCTTCTGAGTAATCACAAAAGTAAATATCTATATATATATATAAATAAATGTTACTTTGGTTTCAAAGACTCAAAAAGTTCTGCACCGATGGAGTTCAGATTTTGATATTTTTCGTGTCTTGGTCTTTATTATATTATGAATGCGCTTCAATGTAAAGCGCGGCGGGGTACAGCTAGTATATTTTTAATTGTTTCTATAATGGATATATGTTCATGTATGTCCAGGTCTAGTTGCTTGCTTGCTGCACAATCTGCTGATTACTGAGCACTGTATTTATTCGATAGCATTAATCCGGAGTTGTTTAAAACAGGCTGCCAATGGTATTGCATCTCTGACAGTAGCGGCTATGGTAGCTGAAGGCTTAACAGAGCAGCAGGCGCAAGAACGAGTGTACATGTTCGATATCGAGGGCTTACTGTCTACAAGACGTGAGGGTGGAGTACCCGAACATGCGAAGGCGTTTGGCAAGGATGTCGAGCCCGAGTCGGACTTCGAAGCATGTGTTGCGAAGATTAAACCTAGTTGTCTGATTGGTGAGATTATATTATACTAGCGAACCGCCCCGGCTTGTATTATACGTATGAACCTTCCTCTTGAATCACTCTCTCTATTGGTGACCGCGTTAAAATGAATTGCTTAGTTTAAAAGATCTATGCGTACAACACAAAAAAGCGACTTTATTTTATACTAGCTATGTAAAGATTGAAGTTTTAACTGTACATCTTCTGTCGGCTACAACTATCGAACATTTTTTGCAAACATGCATACGCTCCCGTCCTTATCCCCGAAGGGTGTAGACAGAGGCGCGTTTAACATGTTGGCGACTATAATTTTGTTCTAACTTACGTTACTTATGGGGCAAGCCTACTGCAAATATATATCCAAACATACTTAAATATTTCTAAATACAAACACATTAAAGATAATATACACCAAGTCATAAAACAAATGATCGTGCTCATCACTAGGCCCATCCTGATATTTTTTTGATTATATTAATAACTGTAATGTCAAGTTGTAATGTTTTTTTTTTAGGTTGTTCCACAGTGGGTGGTGCCTTCACCCCGAAGGTTTTACAACAAATGGCCGCAAACACACATAGGCCCGTCATCTTCGCACTCTCAAACCCCACCAGCAAAGCGGAGTGCACAGCGCAAGATGCCTACGATAACACTGAAGTACGTTTCAAATATTTTTAGGGTTTAAACGCAACACAAACATAAAGCGGGTGCGGGTCGGGCGCTGGTCGGATCGGAAGTGCGGTGGGTCTGATTCCTTGTTATGGAAGACAACACACTGAAAACGTGCGCGGGTCTGGTTGTCTTTGGCTTAAGGATTCTCTTTGTAGAACCATACCGTTGTACGTCTTACTATGTTCTAGACCCTTTGTGCGAGAAGTAAGGTCTCACAGCATAAGTAAAGGAAAAAAGCCAGACAAAAAATATTTGTTTTTCGCTAAACTTATATTTTGTGTTTGGACTAGACTGATTTATTAGAAAATATTTTTAAACTTTAAAGCTTTTCGTTTTCAAGGTTTCGGAAAAATCTTCGATAATCTATTCTCGAGATGAACCTACTGATGATGTAATCCGATCGATTTCGGCCATGGCGACCACTTCGACCCCTTATAGGACCTGGCGCTGATGCGCCCGGAGATGGCTTATAGGTTAGGTTAACTACAATTTTGGTAATGGAAATTATAAAACAATGTAACAACTACACAAAAGCAGTAAAAAATAGAAAAAAATAAGAATCTAATTTCTAAAAAAATTGTCTAGCAAAATTTTAGCAATTTTTACGAAAATTCTAAAAAGTCCAATATCTTGTAAATGGATAGGTTTGGGATATGGTATTTCATAGTAAAATCTATCAGACACGATGGCCACTTCAACCTCTTAAAGTATCTAGGTCGACTTAATCAGTAACCCTGTCTATATGTTGTCAAGCAAAAGTCGCCCCGCGCTAATTCTAAATAATACTAATGATGCTTTTAATGCTTCAACAGTTGTACCACATGTTATAAAATTTCAAATGACCCCTGGGAGTATTGTAGTTGTATTGGTCAATGTTATCACCATGTTAGTGATCCATATTTAATTTTTAGGGCCGCTGTATCTTCGCATCTGGTTCTCCATTCCCACCAGTTAAGTACGACGGCAAGGAGTACCACACAGGCCAGGGCAACAACTCTTATATCTTTCCCGGCATTGCGCTCGGTGTCATCACGACTGCCACGCATCACATACCAGAGACTATGTTCTTGACTGCTGCTAGAGTAAGTATATTAAAATCTGGATACTAGGATCCAATTTAGATATTATTAATTTATTTAGTTTCATAATACAAGGTCTGCGTCGTTTGAAACTAGATGTGTCAGATGTCCGAAAAATATTATATTATTATTAATTAGGTTTATTGTGTGTTTTGGATACTTGAAATTCTTTTGCATATAATGGTCAGCTTAAGATGAGTGATACCGCGGCCTTACAAGAAAAGGTTTTACGCAATTCTTCCATTATCTTTCAATGAGTGAGGGAAGTTACTGGAGACCTAAATGCTCTAACTGAAGAAGGGGAGAGTTACCATCATGCATATCGCCGGCGTAAAGACTACCCTTCCATTTAAAGCTCACAAGCAGTTAGCTAAACGATTTCATCTACACTACGTAATCGTCGTAGGTAATCTGCGTACAAAATCGTGTAGCGAAAAGTCGATTACTGTTCATTCAGTTAACCTTCACTTTGGTTATTATTTACTTTGGGTCAGTACTATCCACATATTTAGTAGTCGTCTGTGGACTGTGATTTTAGACCTTAATATGAATTAAGATTTTCTTAGAAAAACTCGCGGTAAACCTATATTTACCTTTGAATTGCCTAAAGTTTCGACTAGGTTGCACAGGCTCACCACGGTGGGATACCTACACATCACATCACATTCTTTATTCACCTGATATAAAGTTGACATAGGTCCTCAGTATTACTTATTGTGCATCGGACTAGGCACCGACTTCAAACAGACTAGAAGGCATGCTATTATAGTGTTACCTGAGCCTTAATTCACCAATTTTAAGTTAACGCTAAGCCACTGTCATTCCATTGATACGCCATTACGATGCCTCATCGGTCAAAATATCGATATTCTACTAACATAATTCAGTGTCAATAGACTGTCGATATAGTAATATAGGTCATTAATGGTGATATATCAACAACATTGCCATATCATGAAAATTAAATATATAATTTTTCTTACAAATTTAAAATGTACCGTTTACCAAACATAATATAACATAATATGTTGATTCAAAGAACACTTTGCATGTGGTGTTTGCCTATAATTGACTGCGCTGATGGCGTAGTGGTTAGAGCGGTCGCCGCGCCGCTTATTAATACGCTGAGTGTTGTGGGTCCAATCCTCAGATGGGACGACACTGTGTAATCCACAAATTGTTGTTCTGAGTCTGGGTGTTCTTCGTGTCCGTTTCATGTATGTTTGTAAAGTCCCCGGCGACACAGAATATATTCTTAATGCAAATGCAAGAGTTGTCTTTCAAAAAAATAAAATAAGTAATAAAATTGGTTGTGCAGTTAGATTTAAGACACAACTACTTGAATGTTCCTACCTTTACTATATCTGTAACAACTGTTGGTGAACCTTAAATAAGTAAATGAAAAATTTTCACCGGCAGGCCATTGGTCTTACATACATAGTAGAATAAGAAAAGTGCAAACTATTCCGACGACATTCCATCGACAGTCTATTGATACAATGTTAAAATAGCAGAATTGAGGCCCTGTTTCATCGAAGATCGCACTTATTTTAGTTAGTCTCTTAGTAGTTGGTCTCTTTGTTAGTATTGTTTTAAGTCGGTTCAACTTAAAAAAAAGGGTAATATTGAATCATTTATTCTTGCAGACTTTAGCTAATTATGTAAGTGAAGCAGATCTCGCCATCGGCCGTATCTATCCATCGCTTTCGGAACTGAAAGAAGTCTCCATTGCCATTGCCATTGAAGTCGCTAAAATGGCTTACGATGAAGGTACGTAGTATTATTTTTTTAATATGTACATATTAATTACTGTATAGTTACTAAAATAATAACTCAGTTACTAAAATAGTAAAGCACCCTCATTAAAAAAAGTCTAAGCAACATATACAGTTTTGAAGTTTTGAACGACATTTTCTATTGTAACATAATATATTTCTTTAAAAATAGTATCTAAGCATTCTTTGATGCATTAGTGCCTAAAGCAGGGCTTAGGAACTGTTCGAAAAATACTGGTTATTTATGGGTCTTATCCAATTTCTTCGTAACCGCTTGCGCGAACCCTTGGTTAATTTCAAACGAAAAATGGGCGGCGCATCCTTCCAACGACGCGACGGCGAAAAGTTCGTTGTGGGTGGGGTGAACAAAATAGCGAATGAAATTAATCGTTATTTTGAACAAGAATAGTTTTATTTTGCTCTGATTAGAACCGAAATAATATCGATTCTGTTGGAACGGAATTCTGTCGTTCTGTCGAAATGAAAATGATTACTTTGAAATACAATGGCGGCGATAAGGAATAAAGCTGGATTGTGCAAAATAGCTTCGTAAATAACCCATAATTTTTTGTAATATGTAAAAGATGGAGACGGTTACTGTGGGTTATCCTTAGGAGATAGACATATACCATAGCTTACTTGTGGTAGATCTTTTAAAGATATTATAGTATATTATTTTAATGTATCTCGTAAGGTCTAGCCAGCGTTTGCAATGTAACATCTTTTTTAAATTTCCTCTGCAATAATATGCATGTATTATACATATAGACCCACCTCGATTATCGTTAGAATTTCCTATGAGTATCGCGAAGTAACTAAAATTGACATTATAGCATAGAATACATACTAGATCCACTGAGTAAAATCATTTAAATTATTACTGACTCATACGAAATACCGCTCATCATAATAGTTATCAGTATACGTTCTCTTCACAACTCTTTCTGTCGCTTAACTATTATCTCTTCTGATGACGTTTGTACCTTTTCATTTCCAGGTTTGGCTTCTGTATATCCCGAGCCGAAAGATCTGGCAAAACACGTGAACAACCAAATTTACAGCTACTACTACGAGAGCTCTATGCCAGTGGTGTGGGATTGGAAACCGGAAGAGAAATTCAATGTCAGACCTATTCAACCTGTACCCAAGAACATCTAAATCGTTCTTAAATTTGGTTTCTAAGTTTAAATAAATAAATACATTAATTTAGATCGTAAAGGTGTCATCGAAGATAATAGAACACACTAATTTAAAACTACTTAGTAAATTTAACACATTAAGTTTAAAAAGTTTTATTTATTGATGGATAAGAATGTTTAATGAATTTTTAGACAATAACCTTTACGGTTGACGGTTAAGATGTTCAGTGCACAACACATATTTTATTAGGGGAGTTCATGATGTTCATATACATATACCAACTGTTAATGTAATTACACATACTATTTTGTACCTAATAATAAAGTTGTGTCTGTTCTTAACTACGATAAAATGTATTGGTAGTTAATTTAAAGATCCAGTTACTCGAATCTCGTTTTTTTTCACAGTTTATGTTCTCAATAAAGAAGAACGGCAGATCACACCAAGTAAAATATGATGGATGGTTATCATATTGGTACCCTTTATAAAGTAAATCATTCTAACTATTATCATGTAATTATCATATTCTTAGAACTTTGCTAAAAGTATATAAATTCTTTTCGAAAAATTGTTTCATCTGCAATAACTAAACGTCAAGTGTCTAAGCGTCACTTGCCACACATAACATATAAATTACTTACATGTGTACATCGATATTTATGAATGAGGGCACTAGTGTACTTAGCAGTTAAAAACTAACTTTTTTATATTACTAATGTTGACTACACAGATTAGATGAAGTACTTGTTTCGCTTCATCAGGTGACCCGACTGCTCGTTTGCCACCTCTTCCATAAAAAAATATTGTAAGAATGATTATTTTAAATCAATTATTAAAGGAAAGGTACTCCAATCTTTCATTTAAATCGATTAGGTTAATCATGAAAACTATGCGAAAAAAGTGATGTAATTACGATTTTAATAAATAAGGTACTTAGGTTAACTTGTTGACAGCAATGACAACTCATTTGTGACAGGCAGCTGTCATTGGTATCGACCTCAGTACAGTCTATATATTATGTAAACTACAAACTGAAATAACTCTTAAACGCAAAGTTCTAAAAATCTGGCAATTAAAACTGTAACTGTCGATTATATTACCAGCAATACAACAATAATCCTTACCAAGAGATACGCAAGGTACAGGAATCCCATACATGCTTGTCATTGTCCTTTTTTTTAATAAGATAAATATAAAGAATTATTTTTAAGAACTGGTATTCAATACTACCTATCAATATTTGGTTAAAACAGTATGTAACATTTCTCTTGATTTAGATGTTTTTACCAATTAGTTAAACATTGTGTAACAGTATTGTTTTAATGCTAGTAGAAAATTGAGTAACTGGACTTGTCCCATTTCGTGTAGTGTTTTAACTGTCTTGTATGTACAAGTAGAGGGTAGTGTTACACTTTAATGTTATATAACATATTATCGTCTTCAGTGTAAAAGTAATAATTATGATGACTTTTAAATGCTTTTTAGCTTTGCTCACTAAATGTTAAACACTGTTTTATTTCGAAAAGTCAATGGTAGTTTTTGTCTCTGAAACTGGATTTTAAATAGTGTTTACATTTTGAAACTAACATATATCCTAATGAAATGATTTCACTAACATTATTTTTTAAGTTGTATTAAGTTGTAAATGATTTTTTAACAGAATGAAACATACCTACTTACATGTTGTGAATATTTAAAATATTGCAGACTGTATTATACAGGATGAAAGTTAAGTAAAAGTCTAGTCACCGCATTCAAGTGCTGGTAATGTATTTATTATGCAATATGCGACATCATTATAATATACACCTGTTGAGCATTAAAATGCTTACAATAGAATTAAAAAGTTAAATTTTAAAGACATTTAGAGAGGATCCGGTTAGCATCATTAAGATAGAATATAGAAATGAAACAGTGCTACTGTTTTAAAAAACCTTTTTCTTAAAAATATTATTGTTGAAAAAAAATATTGAGCATTTATTTTGTATTTTTATTTAAAACAACGTAAAACTGCTTACTCTTAAACAGAAACTCTCGGTAGCTACGTACATTTGATGATTTAAGTATTATTTTTCGGTTCAGTATTTTAATGATAGTGAGAGGATTATTCGCCAAGCGAAATGCATGCAATGTCTTTGTTTTAAGTAGTTATATCAGTCAATGTTACATAACATATCTGGTGATATTATGTGATTTACTTTGCTGTGACGATTCGTAGGAAAATTTATCAATGTGTTCTTGTAGGTCAATCGTTTGAGTTAATATTGTGTATAATTGATGTATCTACATATACAAAATGGGTCAATTATAATACTATCAAAGCGATATACAATAATAATCAGGTTATGTTTGTTTTGCAGTTTATTGAGTCAATTAAATTTGTTTTACCCTGTTTATGTACCCAAGCTTTGCACTGAAAATTATAGATGTTACTAAATAAACATGTTCCAAAGAAATTGTAGTTTGATTTATGAACGAGTAAGTAGTATTGTAAATGATAATGTGATTTTGTTAAAAATATTTCAAGTACTTTCTCTATTTCACGCGGACGTAGCCTCCTCGTGAAACATCTCTCATTACCGGCCATGCGTGATCGGGATCGCGGTAAAATTACAAGATTTCTTCAACAGCAGTCAGAGGGCCAAGTGCGAGTTTATTTCACTTCTACTCGATCGTCACGGTGACCGCGTTCGGCGCTACGATTGGCCCGCGCTGAAATCTCCACCAATCACAACGCTAAACGCGGTCGCCGTCGAGAGCGAGTCGATGTGAAATCAACTTGCACTAGGCCCTCAGATGTCTATAATGACCTCATAGACGAATGGCAACAACGCTGGGATGAATCATCCAAGGGGCGCCATCTTTACCAATTCTTTCCATCTGTTCGCGAACGGTAGTCGAGGACATGGCTTGAGGTGGATCACTGTGTCGCTCAATTTCTTACGGGTCATGGTAACTTTAAGAGCAAGTTGTATGGAATGTAGTCTTTGGTATAATGAACGTAATATAATGCTGAATAGCTTGCAGGTGACATCTGGGGCGGTATACTATGGGGATCTTGTGTCAACTAGGATGAATTTCCGTGCGTTTAGGCGATTCTGCCATACATATTATAGAAATCAAATATAGCTCACGTAGGACCCGTAATATTTTGTGGCCGTGGTGCTTCGCTGTTTAAAAGGGTGTATGCCTAGTTTACTTCATTTTGTCTCCCACTTTGCTAAGGAGGGAAGTGGATTTACTGTATTTCCAACTCCTCCAATTTTCTTCTGATTAATTTCGTTGCGGGTTCCAAGACAGTTAAATTTCTTCCTGGGACTTCCCGAGTGTCATAACTCGGTGTGTACGTGGGTCACTGCTGTGGATCCTGGTGTACAGGAGTTACAGTGGTGGGCGTGTGGGTGGGATTAGTCCCATTTAAAAAATTACCGGCCATGGAGCGTATGATCGCCGGTAGCGAGAGATCCCCCCCCGATGACTGCAATGAGGACCCGGCGCTGCGACGCCCAAGCCGGGCAAATTGCCAGCGTGTGCTGAGCCGAGTCCTCACTGCAATCGCATTGGTGACAGGCGGGACTCAATTCCCTCCTAGCGACCGAGTCGTGCCCGGAAAGGACCTGCGTCAGTCGGAAGGAAAGGGTCCCATGCCGCCGCCCTGCTCACTCGACGATGACCGACTCGTGCGCCTCCACGCCGGCAAATCCAGTGGAGCACGTGGAGCCTCCCGCCGGGACGACCAACGAGCAACCGTGGCTCCACGAGCGTATCTATTCGGGCGGGGGCCGACTGCCACTATCCGCCCAAAACGCAGCCGTCCGCCGATACACTTCCGCCTCCAAATCCTACGGGGGAGTAGCGGCCAATGCGCACGCCGCCTCCGTTGAAACGGTGCGGTAACCGCGTATGGTTAGAGAACCGCCAGTATCCTCTGAGGGCGCACAGAGGCTTGCTTTATTCTGAGCGGTCAGAGCCGCTGCCCACACCCGTGCACCGTACAGTGCCATTGACTTGACAACCCCCGTGTACAGCCGTCTCGTTGCGACGCTGGGTCCACCCAAATTGGGTAAAAGTCGCCCTAGGGCAGATGCAGCACCGACCAGCTTTGGAGCAAGCTGTCGGAAGTGATCGTCGAAGAGCCATCTACGTCAAGAATCAGGCCCCGATACTACATCCGGGTCTGAACCGGTACGAGGACCGAATCGACCACGATGGAGGCGCCGGGGGGCGGACAACGACGGGGCCCATGTAACAAGAGAGGCTCCGTCTTATCTAGGGCCACCCGTAAGCCCAGCGCCGCAATACGCCCGACCACCAGAGATACTCCTCTGGTGGCTAGGCACGCGGCCTTCTGAAAGTCCGCCCCGCGGGCTGTAAACAGCGTGTCATCGGCGCAACAAATAACGCCCAGCCCGGTAGGGAGGCGACCTTGAAGGGCTCAGTCGTAACCCATGTCCCACAAGAATGGTCCAAGAACAGACAACTGCGGAACACCGACCCCAGTCTGATAACTCCGCTAAGAAAGTTTTAAACAAGTTTGTTTCGGGTATCAATAAAACTTCCTGAGAAATATTGGGGGGGCCGGTATAAAAGGCATCTTCTGTGTTAACATCTGCAATGTGATGTGTCCAAGCTGACCGCACAAGCCTCTCCCTTGGTGCCTATCGCCTGTGTCTGGTGGACACAGGCGATCGGCACCAAGGGATCTGTTACATGAACGAGAAGATCACCAGCTGAACGACACTACAAAAACCATATTTTCATGTCTGTCATTGAGTAGCTGGTGATTTTCTAAGTACAGAGGAGCTTGATTATAGATTTCATATTCTTGCAGATTAAGGGGACTATGACCATAGGGCTGTAGTTGGATGAATCCGAGCGTCACCTTTTTTGGGGATCGGGTGTATAAATGCTATCTTCCAGGAGTTCGGGACAACAACGCCTAGGGAATAAGTCGCCTAAGTCGAAAAAGGAGCGTTAAAACCGGTGCCAACTCCGGAGCACACGTCTACACGATAGAAGAGATTCCGTCAGGCCTTTTTTCTTTGGTGATGGGGTGGAATATTCCTTCGGATCTTTGACTCCTAGGGTACGCAGGAGCCAGGAGTATGTGGCTACTAGGCCCTATCTCGAAGGAAGTGCGACCAGGCCGCCCCAATATCCCTTACCGCAGTAATCCGCAGTAATGTGATACGATTTTTAGTTATTTAATATATATTATAAAAAATAGCTTTTTGATGTATATTTAAACTTTAAGTTTTCAAAAAGAAATGAATTGAAATGAATTGCGGGGAACTCCTAGTTAAAAAAAAAAAATTAATGCAATTTTATCATTTTTTATTTTCGAAACATAACCCTATAATTAATAAACACGAATAACGATAATTAATAAAATTTGTTGGTTCACAAGCAAGTCTAGCAAGCAACACTAGAAACGAATTGTAAAGTCGCATCATAGTAGTGTCAATTCGGGTGGACCTGCAACAACATGGTCCGGGTCCTCCCAGAGTAGGGCACCTGAGGACGACCGTCAGGGTGGTTTTTAGTGGAATCACCACATACTCCTGGCTCCTGAGTCCTCGAGGAGCAGGAGATCCGAAGGGATTTTCCACCCCGTCAACAAAAAAAGGCTGTTAGCAAAAATCACTAGTTTGAAACAATAACCTACTCGATCTTTACAACATATTACAGTTATGATAAACTCAAAGAGTTGATTTGTCATCAAAAATAAACATTTTCGGCTCGACAGCAAAAACATCGTCTTGCTTACTGGCAGAAAAAAACGTAAATGTTCCTGTCATAATCTTCTTTCGGAAATTAAATCATTCAAGTTTGTGACATTTCATTTCAGTGAAAAACGATCTTTTTAAAATTTAAGCTACACTACCGTGGATTTTTTCTAAATATTTATCTTTAAAGAAACCGCCTCTCAATGGATTGACGATTCTGTGCAGGATAAATATAACAAGTTTTTATATGCTATTCTTTGTCTAAATTTTAGTGTTATTATGTCGGTTTTTAAATATGTTTAGTGTTGTACAGAAAACGATCGTGTAAGTCAGTTTTATATATACCTATTATAATTAAATTGTTTTGTAATATATTATTGCATTAAATGTGAAATGCCTAGGTACTATTTCAAATTACACGGTTGGGTAGGAATGTGCCGTTTGGTGGCACCTTGCAGTTACATAATGTGTGTGTTAATTTAAAAAAAAATGTCGTCTGTATTGATGTTATATTGTAATATAATAATGATGTAATATTTCTATCTTTCAAGGTCCATAATGATATATTTTCTTTCATATTTTCGAATGAAGTATACTACACGTATATCGAACGTATATCGACGTATATCGACATCATCAATTTATAAATTGAATTTATTTCTGAATACATGTCAAAAATATAAGTCTCCATACAAAGAAGGAAGTACCTGGCATCATCATGCAACAAGTAGATTTAGATTACTGAAATACTTTTCCCGCTTATAATCTGATAGCATTGATAGTGTCAAACAAAAACAATTTCGTTCATTTTATTTTCATGCTAAACTGTAACTGCATGAAATTTACTGAAATAAAAGTGCTGATTGCATAAGATAGGAAAGATAGGACCCACGCTTTACTTTTCAAAAAATAATGACATTTATACAAGTGTGTTTTCACGTAAGAAATGCAGTACCTAATACTGCCACAACCGAAAAAATGCAATATTTTTATCATACCCAGATTTAAATGATTCATCATCATCATCCTTTAATAGTCCACTGGTGGGCATAGACCTCTCCTTCCTTGTTTGGGCCTCCTGAATGATTGTGATGAAAAATTATGGAATAATGACAAATAGACATGAAAAGTTATGGAATAATGAAGTGACAAAACCATTCTTTTACATTAAATACATGAGGGTGACTGCGCCTTGACGACATTGGGAGGTCGATCGCTGATGAATTATTACAGTAGGCAGGAGGGTAGGTACTTCCATGATCCATGGTTTTAAGTTGTTTCGAGTCCATCACCTCGTCTCTAAAAATCCCCAGTGGTGTTGAAATTTGGTTTTCCATACGCAGAACAATAATTAATTTCGTCTTGGACTGAGTAGAGTTCCAATGATTATCCAAAAAATGATTGTCCCATGATTATCCATACACATATATTAGATTATCCAAAATATGTATACGTAAGATAAACAGTGACATTATATTATTTAGACATTTTTACTATTATATTAAAATGACTGTTTTAAAATACTAGTGATATTGCATGAATGAAAACTAATGATGACACAATTATGTTTTTTTTTTGTTTAAATATTATTACTATTATTTTAATTTCAAATACAATTTAATTTTTGATGAATAAATGACTATGACTATGACTAATGCGCAATTCCTCGTATGTCAGGCGCTTGAGCTAGTGCTCTATGTCCACTTGTATTGATTTCTTCATTGTTCAGATATTTTTTTTATATACGGTTGTTACAGTACATATGTTTAATTTCCATAAGTCGCAACAAAGCATGGCCTCGTTTAGTGAGTACACATATATTTTGAATTTGTTGCAGATGTAACATCTCAGCTGTGACTCGACTCACAGTGCTGTCTATAAACAAGCCCGACAACCATGCAAATTTTTCCGTGACTCCTGTTAATTCAGCATTCTCACCAAATCGATCCTCTGGTCTTGATTATATAAGAACTCGACATCTCAATAAGGTGAAAACATCATTTCTACTTTACATTTATTCTTTATTTGGTTTATAAAGTGTGGTGCCACCAAAATCTAATTACCATCAGCAAACTATTACTACGAGTATCTAACTGAAATACGGTTGGTAAGCAGCTAAAGTATTCAAATAAGGTTGTAAATTATGAAAAGACCTTCAGCAGTAGCCAGGATTGCTAATACTTATCAATCTTAACTGGTTTTTACAGAAGTAAATATAATATTCAATTTCAAATATCTCAGAATTAATACACAAGTATTCATGTTTATCATAATTTTTAATGTAATAACGTTTTAATTTTTTATGTTTTTCTGTTTAAAATAAGTGTTGAAATGCGATAACGCATTAACGACTAGTAAAATGAACACAACACGTAACATGATGCTGAAGGCTTTATTAAATGGAACTTTGACACGCGGCCCCAATATTGCATGCCGTATTAGACTGAAATTGACCAAACTTAACACTAACTTTTTTCTTCAGGGTCAGGCATTTACTTTAGAGGAACGCCAGTATCTTGGCATAGAAGGTCTAATACCTCCTGATTATAAAACTCAAGAACAACAAATAGAAATATGCACATTAGCAATCGAAAGATTTGCTGACCCTTTAAATAAATATTTATTTTTAAGTGAATTACATGTAAGTATTATTTTTTTGCATCTTTTGCCAACTTAACGTTAAACACTGATTGAATATTTATGGAATAGGCCACAGATGGCCTCCCCTGTCACTCCCAGGCCTGCGGTTATGGAGGACGGAGGTCAATCTGCGACCTCCGGCGCCTGAGCTTGCGTTACCTGGCCCGTGCCCGGGCCTGGCGGGCCGGGAGAGTTCTAAGCCTCTCCCGGTCCCGCTTCGCCATTTCCTTCGCAAGCACAACTTGCTCGCAGAAGGAGACGGCGGAGTTCCACGCACGCTCACTCCGCACCATGGCCGCAATCATGTTGGCGAGCGAGAGAAATCCTACCCCGATGGCCGCCTCGATGTCTCGTCTCAGCTCCACCAACGCCGTGCATTCTGCAAGCGTGTGGAGCGCCGTGTCCACGGTCCGGCCATCGCTGTGATGGTACTCAGGCGTTAGCTCCTTGCGGATCAGTCACAGTTGATTCCTGAAGCATCCTTTCCATGTGATCACCTGCGTCAACCGGTATGAGTGGGTCCCGTGATGACTCTCGAGCCAATCCTCCATAACGGGTCTTACCGGCGTGACGTGCCCGCGGTAGTAGGTACCTAGTTGAAATCTGGGCTGGTATTTTATGACATTTCGTTTTCTATTCGTGACTAACTATTGAATTAACTAAACTATGATTTGTGCTGACTATGACTGATACTGTTGAAGATGATGACCTATACCAACGAGGAATATGTTCTTATTTTGATTTCTTACGGATACTGCCAATGTGTATAAACACGGGTTCGAAGATAAATACATAGCACGCTCAGCCGGCCGTCAAGTGCCGGCCGGATGTAATTGTGTTGGCCGGAGCTGGAGCTTATGTACAACTTAAAGGGACCGGCTCTATTTCAAGGCGATGATCTGATATGTGTAGATCACATTTCACTGATGAAGATGACAAAGAAGACAATGAGGTAGTTCAACGATTTAGATGGGATCTAAAAACTTCAAACAATCGTTTTTTTATAATCCTGCAAATACTCGTACACGTACATTGCATAAGGCGGACATAATGCCAATTACTTCCAGTCCAACCTTTGGGTGATGCAGATATGTGTGTGTGGCAGTTGTATAATCAAAGTAGATGAGATAAATTATTTTAAATTGCAGTCAGTTGCAAGATGACAGTGGTAGTAGTTGTATATACCTAGATATATTGGGTGTACATATATAAATGTAAATATAATTTATACTCACTATATAATACTATAAATATAAAAAACATAAACATACACACATACATCCATAAATATATGCCTGCAATGATGAGGATACAAGTGGTTATTCTGTTGACTCGTCCGTAACATTGTTGCCCTAAAACTAAGACTCTGACAGTGGAAGTGTATGTATATTGCGGACCCATACCTATATCACTATACGCCGCTTTGAAGAGGTTAGATTTCTGCAGATTTATGCTTAATAATTAATGGCATATTTAGAAAACTCGTTATTTTATTTCTGAGACATTTCATGGACAGGAATACAAATTTGATAAAAACGATATAACCAATTACCACAGCGTTAATTGTTGGGCGCGAATAAAGGGGCCTCAAAGACGTTTCAGTTTGAATGTGCAAATGGGTATTGTCAATCTACTTGATTGGATCTTTTTTTTAACAGAGAACATTAACTAACTCACTTACTTGATGATTTACCACTTAATCTCATTCGCGGCATGTAGTTTCAACGTGGTGGTTGCCCTGAGTATTACAGGAAAAGTGTAAAAGAATGGTTGGATTCTAATTATCGTAATAAGTGGATTAGAAAACGTGGTTGGATTGCTAGTGCGGATAGGTATGCATTGGCAGTTTCTGTATATCAGCGTTCGTGTAGGTCATCATGTTCAACAGTATGAACAGTAGAAGCACAAACCAAAGTCAAAACACACAGTCCGAAAATACAAGCAAATGTTTTTAATACTACCGGGTTATATACGCTAATTCTTAATACCTACCAGTCATTCATCTAAGTATTTTGCCTATGAATTCTGATACTATGCGAGACTATTATGCCTTGGTAGATAGTAAACAAAACGTATAAACATATTGTTTAACACATCTGCAACATAACTGTCATAGTTTTTGTTTTTAAATAATAGTCAAAGAATAATTTTCTTTTACATTTTTACTATTATTAATCATCAACTTCGGCCCTATTTGTTAAGTTACCTAAATTTTTTGGTGATCGAAATTATAAAACAATGTTTTAGCGACACAAAAACAGTAAAAAAGAGGAAGAAATTAGGATTTAAGTTCTTATAAAAAATATTAGGGACAAATTACCGCAATTTTCTGAAAAAATCTTAATAGTCCAATATCTCAAAAATGGTTAGGTTTGACATATGGTATTTCATAGTAAGACGAAGGAGAGAACGAGGAAGATGTTTTGTCTGTCAAGGATTCGGAGGAAGGACGGCTGTTCTATGGATCACTCCAAGAGCACCGCCCCCGGGCCAGAAGGGATACCTGCCCGAGTGCTGGCCCGAGCTCTCGACCACATGTCAGACCGCCTCAGGGATGTATCCGAAGGTTCCCTGAGTGCTGGAAGATTGAGCTGGTCTTGTTCAGGAAGCCGGGACTGTCTGCCGATTCGGTCGTGGCCTACTGGCCCATCGTGCTGCTGGACGGGGCGGGTAAATTGTTCGAGGTACTCTCTGCCCTCATCGTCCGCCACCTTTATGTGGTGGGCCCTGATCTGTCGGACGCCCAATTCGGTTTTAGAGCGGGGCGTTCGACGGCCGGCGCTATGCTGCGCCTGAGGGCCATGTCCGAAGAGACTGTAAGCTTTGGTGGTGTGCTATTCAACGCATTCAATAGTCTACCATTCAGCCGCATCAGGGAAGCACTCCACCATCATGGGGTGCCAAAGAACCTGAGGCGGCTAGTGGCAGACTATTTAGAGGAGCGTACCGTCGTGTACGAGGACCAAGATGGTAATCCGAGGTGTGGTCTGTTCTTGGACTCCTCCTATGGAACATAGGTTACGACTAGGCCCTTCGAGCTAAGTTTTCCCCCTGTTGCAGTCATCGGAAGGGATCTCTCGCTACCGGCCGTACGGCCGGTAGCGACAGATGTTTTACTGCGGCCGCATCCTTCTGTGAATGTGTGTGTTTATTATAATTTTTTGGATCCTCATTATCGTGTTGATAATGCATATATTTGAGTTCAATGAATTTAGTTAACCTTATATTACTATTTTTAGGAAAGGAACGAGAGGCTATATTACAGTTTCTTAGCATCAGATGTTGAAAAGTATCTACCGATAGTATATACGCCGACTGTCGGACTAGCATGTCAAAAGTTTGGTTATACTTACAGAAAACCTAAAGGCATGTTCGTCACTATAAGAAATAAGGGGAGAGTTTTTCAACTTCTCAAAAATTGGTAAGTTTAAATATTGTTTGAAGGTTAAATAATACTAAATGCTAAAGGTCAAATAAGCATAAAGTCAAACACGTACTAAGTCAAACACGCATAAAGTCAATAGTCAAACACGTAAAAAGTTGTAGAGTCGTTGGTATACCTTATTTTATGCAATAAGTATGTGATTAAACCTAAATCAGTCTCGTTAACACATTGGTGGCGTAAACACGTACCACCGGACAGTCTATAGGTTAGCTTTTTTATGAAGCATTTGTACTTATTGTAATGATGATTGTTTGTTGTTTTACAGGATAGAAGGAGAGAGATATTTGAAAATGCAAGAGAGAAAAAAAAAGGAAAATGGGATCAGCAAAGTTTAAAAACTGCGATGAACAAGATTTTGTCCAAAAAAATGAGTTTGAGGGCAGCTTCGTCACGTTACAATGTTCCAAAAAGTACTCTACATGATAAAATAACGACATTGAGCAGTGGAAAAGAAGTCACGTTGCAACCAAAAGTTGGTAGATTCACAAAAACCTTCTCACCCGAGTATGAGCAAGTTTTAGTGGACCACATAAGAGATTTGTCTAATAGATGTCTGCCCCTGATGAAAAACGAGTTTTTGAAGTTAGTTTACGACTTGGCTGAAGCTATGAAGATTCCCCATGAGTAAACAAACCAAACGTGGCAATAACGACAACAAAAAGGAGCCGTTAACTGAAGTATCAAATATCTTTACAACCGTATTTCCGGAACGCGCATACTTCGTGGCAACCCTGCCAGGCGCAAGCCTGTAAGTACTAGACATAGGACAAAATCATAGTGCACTGTAATTATTATTCGATTTTTGCTGTTAGGGTTACTAGGTAGCAACCGTAACCTATTATTATTATTATGGATTAGCGTCTAACCTATGTAGTTACAAACAATAAATGTAGTATTGTTGAAATTATTATGTAGGGAATGGTAGCTATATATAATAAAATAATTACTAGATTTATTAGAAAGGTGATTTTGGCCTACTGTATCACGCTGGCCAGACGGGTTGGTATAGGGTTTGTGTTAAGTTTCCTTCTCTTGCAGTGTTGTTGTCCTGCAGAGTTTGCTCCCTTAAACGGCTCTTACGAAACCCGCGGGATGAATAGGGTTGGTGACACTCCGTATTCTTAATCCGTCGCCACACGGCCAAAAGCTCCTTTCTAAGGAGAGGCCTATGTCCAGCAGTGGACTATTAAAGGCTGTTGATGTGATGTGACTAGATTTATTGTTGAATAGGCGAAATATGGTCTTTATGCATCGTCTGAAAACCACTTATTGGCAACAACGCGTGACTAAGTAGTAACTCTAACCAACGTACGAAAAAAATCTAATGATAGATCATCACAGTTCACTGTGATTGTGTCTCATGCCTACTAAGTACTTACTTGCCGGGTATAGCTAGCGGGCGTATCTTGCAATTCAGCATATTCCTGTGTGCCTCGCTGCACAAAGTTAGACTCTTTTGATATTAGAATTTAGAGTTTTAAAATCAGTGAGCCCTTAATTTCTTTGAGCGCAACATGTGTTATACAACTTATGTATAATGAACAAAAATTCGAAAATACGAATTTAGCATATATTGACCATTGGCGATTGACCATAGCTTGACAATTGGCGTTCTTGACAATGTACGTGTTTGACAATATGCGTATTTGACGTTTTACGAAAACTTACGTCCTTTTGTCATTTTAAGTGTTTGACCTAGTTTTACCTATATAGTAGGGTAGCCCATGATGCTAAATGGGGATTTACTCGAGCGTCATGAGGACCATATGCATTTGAAAAATTAGGTAATAGAATGAATAAAAGTTACAACATGTTTCTACTTTCAGCAGTAGGAAAAGTTTCTACAGGTTTCAATGTAATCAGATATTTTGTTAAGTTATTTGGACGCCAAAAATGCTCCTATTGAAAGGTCTGACGATTTTAAAGTGACACAAACTCGTAGCGAATTATCGAAAATGCAAACTGCAAATTCGAAAAATCACCAGTGTTTTTTTTTAAACTTGGTGACTCTCCCACTGCTTTGTTATGCTCAAATCGTCCGATTTTTTAAAATAAACTAATGTGTACGTAATTTACTTAACTTCATCTTTAGAGTATTCCTGGCCATCGATTTTTTTAAAATTAATATGATGGGCTGCTCTAGACGCTCCCCCCTAAATGTAGAGCTCATGTATGGCGGAGGTACTCAACTGGGTCTAAGGTATTCCTTTTATGTTAATCTGACACGCTCGAGTAAATCCCGAAATCCCTTCTTGGGCTCCCTGAATAGCGTTCACACCATGGAAAACAGACTGTGATGAGCAAAATCATTTGATCTGTGTCTTGGTGTAATTTATCTGACATGTATTTGGAAATATGTAAGTATCAGCAGTCTGGTTATTGTAGCAAAAGCTCTGTCTAATTTGAGATCAGACAGTCGTATGTGAGATGTGTGAGGTTATTACTATTATTGATTCGTGGTTCCAGTTAGATTCCATCTGTGTCCAGAGCCCACCCTGGACAGTACTCGAAAGCTTAACAGTAATAATGCGTGATATTTTTAAACCTACCATATTTTTACGTTTTAACGTTTACGTTTTTGTTTTAGGCCAATTAGTGATGTCTATGCTATTGTAGTATCGGATGGAGAAAGAATATTGGGCTTAGGAGATCTAGGAGCTTTCGGTATGGGTATACCGATTGGCAAGTTGGCGTTGTACACCGCGCTGGCGGGAGTTAAGCCACACAGATGCCTTCCTATTTTGTTGGATGTTGGTTGTAATAATGAGGTAATAATAATAATATACTAACTTTTAAACTTTCGCGTTCCATGATAATTAATATTATTTTAACGGGAATTAACGCGATCTCTTATTTAGGGTATTACATACCTCTGGTGTACCTGACGTTTCGACCAGGTTACACCGGCCGTGGTCACAGGCTGACTGGCTCATCGGCGCACGCTCTCCGTCGTCGAATCCGTGAAGTAGAAGGCTCTTCACCTACCCGCACATTTTCGATATTGTTGTTGATTTTGTGTCGCCATGTACCGTCACATACCACACTAACAGTGTCCCTATTCTGTAAGCAAACCGATGAGTCCCTATTCTGGTGTTTAACCGATTGCGCAGAAAAGCGAGGTGGTATGTTTTTTAACACTGGATTCCACGCTGTAGATAATTTAAAACCATCCTCCCGATTGAAAGTTTTATGCTTTTTAATCTCAATCGCTTCACGTACAACTCTTGAGTAAAAGTGACGTTCGGTGGAGAGGACTTGTGTGCAGTGAAATTCAATCCAGTGGTTGATGCCTGCATCGAGTGCATGTTCTGCAATCGCTGATTTGCTCGTCTGTCGGTTCTTCACAGCAGCGATATGCTCTTTGACCCTTTCTGCAATAGTCCGCTTAGTTTGGCCTATGTATGAGCTTCCGCAGCTGCAGTCTATTTTATAGACACCCGGAGTTTGTAGTGGCAATATATCCTTCGGTGTGCCGACGATGTTGTGAACCTTTATGCCTGGTGTGTATACTGTCGGAATGGAATATTTCTTTAGCACAGACCCGATCTTGTCCGTAACTCCCTTGACATAAGGCATATAGGCCGGTTGCCTGTTCACTTCTGGATACTTGCGTCTGTAGATTTATACCTGTAGATTTATCTCAAACATTTTATTTGTTATTACAAAAGTTAAACACACCCAAGTTTAAACATATGCCGACTAGTCACAAAGTATTTTCACAATTAATATAAACATTTAGTATACATACGTAATTCGAAGGGCGAAAATTATTATTATTATTTGCAAATGTGAGGGCTGAGTTCGACCACAGGTACTCTACATACACGTATGCCGATGTTTGTCAGCGGGATTTATTTTTCATAAATTTCATCAAAGCATGATTGGCAGACGTGATTCGATTGATTAAAAATTATCATTTCTTTTGCGATTTCACATGACATTTCACGCTACATATCCCGTTCTCACGATCTCGATTAGATCCATTTTTTAGTTAAACCTACTATATAATCAACAACTTGAAAGGCATACGTGATACGATTGATCGATAAATTGTTTCTATAAAAAAAAAAAAAAAAAAATTATAAATTATAATTATTATTATAAATTATATTATTATATTATTATTATTATTGTTCCAAAAATTATAAAGTCAAGTCCACCTTGACCGTACTTTCGTACCAAACGGAGGTTTTTTGAGCGTTATATTAAACGCGAAGAATTATGCGTTTTTAAAAACGTTCGCGTGGAATTTGAAAAGCCTTAGTGAGTTTGATGCCCGGACCGGGCAAAATTTTAAAGGGTTTTTCTGAGAGGAAAAATAACTGTAGTTAGTTATTCCTTATGTAGACACCTACCTGGCAGTAAATGTTATCGAAATCTTTCCAGCCGGTTAGAAGATTACCCGGAACAAACAGACGGACAGACAGACAAAAAGAAATTAAACAGGTTTTCAGGCATAGGTATCGTGCAAATAACCGTGTGAGCATGAAAAAAACCTATAATTTTGACATTACAAACAGACATTTTATTGATTAAACTTAACTCGGTTTTCGAGCGACCTCTGGTAAAACAAATCTGCCTATTGTGCATCAGGTCAGCCTCGAAAAAGTGTTTTATTAATTGCAATAAATTATTTTTTCATTCTTTTCAGAAATGATAAATTATATTTATTTCTGTAAGTAAATCTTTTCAGAAATTTGCTAAGCATTTCTTAAGACTCACTCTGGGAAGAAACACCGAAACAAACAGAGGTGTATTTTTTTTTAGTCCGTAATCAAAGAAAACTGTGCGTGTACAGCCTTCCTTCAAAAGGCCCACCCAGACCCTACGTCCGGGTAGGGGTTTTGAAGGAAGGGCCTTAGTTTTGAGTCGGCCTGTCCATACATACGGCATACGGGTCCCAGCCATTTAGTTTCTACCTTAGAAGTAGCTTAACCGATACTAGTCGAGATCAACGACCGGAAGGGCGACACTACCGCCAGCAGGACATTTGAGTAGGCCATGGAAACAACCACTAGAAAGTTACCAAATATGAACTAACATTACAAGCCTACACTATACTCATATTAACATACTTACACGAAAAAAATATACCATATAATTCAAGTTCAATTAAAAAATAAACAAAGTGGAAACAAACGAAATACAACAATACATTAAATATCCATCACTTTGATCCATCTATTACACTTCCATCACAAGCATAACAACAATGATAGGAACGTAAATGCGGGTTGAGAAGCATCAATCCTCAGCAAATTTGTCATCTAAATTATAATCTGTAACCCTATACTCGTAGTAAGCCTTTTCACATAGTTTTTGTTTTACTGAAGACTTTAATTTGTTAATACTTAATTCATGAAATTTATCGGCATCTTATTGTAGAATCGCACACATTTTTGTAGTCTAGTGGTTAATAAGCTTTAGATTTTTTTGTAGTGTTTATTTAGAAAATGTCGCTAAGCTTTGTGAATAAATGAATATTTTTCTTTACATACACTAAATTTTCATATCTATATACTGAGATGCGATATCAATTGCATTAAACTTATCCCCCAGTGACTGCCTATAACTGAGATAATAAATTGCGCGAATAGCTCTCTTTTGCAACAGAAAGATACTTTAAATGTCAGCAGCATTTCCCCACAACAAAATACCGTATGACATTATACTATGAAAATAGCTAAAATACAACAGTCTAGCTGTTTCTACATCGGCAAATAGCACTATCTCCTGACTATCTTTTATCAGAGTCATTTATATAAACAAGAAACTAAAATGGACCAAGAATTGATCCCTGCGAACTCCCATAGTGACTAGAGACCCCAGGGCCCTCTGCCTATTTACTTTAACTCTCTGAATCCTATTACCCAAATAAAATATAAGAAGATTCAAAGCAGTATGCCTAATTCCATAGTGATGCAATTTCCTGATCAATGTTTCATGAAGAACGCAATCGAATGACTTAGATAAGTCTCAAAAAATACCTAGCACATCCTGCTTATCCTCCCAGGCACTAAATATATTTTCCAATGGTTCAGCACCAGCTTCACTTGTCGAGCGACCTCTTCTAAAGCCAAACTGTTTTCTGTGTAGAATTTTTTGTACTAAAGTGAGTTTGTAGCTGATCCAGTATAATTTTCTCAAAAATTTTACTGAAATGTTTAAATAATTTGTAGGATCAGATGTGCCGTGTCCGTTCACCTTGAATAAAGGAATGATCTTACTATGTTTAATTAAATCAGGAAACATACCACATTTAATGCACTTATTTGAAAATTAAGGCCAACTCTGAGGCAAATGATAATTGACTTTGTTATTTCTACAGAGCAATGTTTTACCAATATCTCTATTGGTGATACAACTAAATCTAAACTCATTATTACAAATGTTAATATTCTCTTTCAATAAAGATTCTGCAATAACGATTCTATTGTTAAAACTGGAATGACTGTGAATAATTTCTCGGATGGAATTTAATCACTTTTATTATCAATTGTAAGGCTGTAATTATTACATTTGTTATTTGCTTTTCAGTTTCTGTATTAATTATTTTTCAGGTATTCTTATGTTATTTGAACTATTACTAAGTTTAGATCTTAAGTAATTAACCTTTGCAGAATGACATACTTTTTTGAATAAATTGGGATATTGTTTAACATATTCTCGGAACTCTATACTAGTGTTATAATTTCTTTGTTCATAAAGCTCATAAGCTTTTTTTATATATACCTACCCTGGCCCATTCATTGAAGATTGACTGATTGAACTGACAACTTCTTAGGATAAATGTAGGTAGTACAGATATAGGTCTGAAGTTCAGCAGTACATTTTTTTTTCCTTCCCCTCGTAGCCACCGATTCACGAACCGACTAAAACCGCACGCCGTCTCGGGTACTAATAGCCGGGGAACCAGGTTTACCCTAGAAAGGAAGTCCCTGGTGCCCCGACATACTTCAGGCCATCTACAGACGAGTAGACGACCCCCCCGTGTGGGAACCCCATGTTCACCCCGGCCTGCTTCTGCTAGGGTGACAGATGGCCTCACCTGTCACCCCCAGGTCTGCGCTTATGGAGGACGGAGGTCGTTCTGCGACCTCCGGCGCCCGAGTCGCCTGCGGCCTGAGGTCATAGTATGTAATGAATAAAAATTATATAATAGTTTAAAAGCCATGCAAATATTTGATTTCAGAGTTTGCTGGTTGATCCAATGTACATTGGTTTACGTCAAAAACGAAAGGCTGGTAAAGAATACGATGACTTCATAGAAGAGTTTATGCAGGCATGTGTCCGGCGATTTGGTCGACACATATTAATACAGGTAAGAAAACACGGCGAAAATAATTAATTAACAATCAATTAGCTTGTACCGTAAAAACTATCACAAAAGAGTAGTGTCCGACCAAAACAGGATTTACAGCCTAAACCGAAACTAAACTAGAGGGGTAGACACATGGCATTCATTCTAAATCAGGGAATAATGAATTTAGGTACCTACCTAAATTTAAAAAAATACGTAGGGAGTTACTAAGGTCTAGAAATTCATCTGTCCCAATTAACAGATAGATACCTCACGCGATAGACCAGAAAGGACCAGGTGAGGTGGCTGCCTAAGGTTATTTGAACAATAACTATACGCATTCTCAGAGTTCATTTTTAAGCTAAGTAACTGAAGGTCATACATAGTTGTAAGTCAAGTTGTTTGGTTGTTGAAAGCTGGTAAAATAGAGCTACAGAATGTAATTCTACAATAATTAAGTATCGAAAAACAAACAAATCTAAGGCCTGTAAAGTGGAGATTTTATTATTAAACCTCACTTAAAACAAAATTTACCGATCCATACTCAAGTGAGTGATAGCTTATTTTAGAACGATGTTTATCGAAACAGATGTGATAGTTGTTTTTGAGATAAGCTGAAACTAGTCTCAAGCGATGATTTCTAGGGCATTTTAGGGGAAATGAATGTTTCCCTATGAAACAACGTGTGAAAATTTGCGGGGTGAGGGATTTAAGCTCCGCCCACTTCACTTTTATCCATCTACCAAATAATGACAAAACTACATCGTTCTGCTTCGGTGTGGCTATTTATTTTCCCTATCTCTCACTAAGTGTAGGATGTAAGGGACGTACTCTGAATTTTCGTACCAGTGAGTATTTATTAAGATTAATTTTCTGAACCATCTTGATACTTATAGCTAATGCAAAAATCTTACTCATATTATAATTATACAAATTTCCCTAATATTATGAAAGCGAAAGTTTGTGCTCTTTCGTTCTCCTTGACTTATCCCACGCTATGTGCACTCGAGTTCAATAATATATTGGCAGTGCCAATGTTTCAAAATATTGTAAGCGTTAAAATCATCATATAGTTCCATACACACTTATACATCAATAAAATGTTATCATGAAAATTGTTCCTCAGTTAATAATATATGACCACTCTTCTGCACAAAAATATCTAAATGCTCTTTGTTGATTTCACGTTGATTTCAATATATTTATTACAACCTCGGATCTCTGTACCTCTGTTAATATTTAGCTATTTGGCCATTAGATTGGCTATTAGATTTATTTTTGCTGGCCGGTGTACTTACTTACGTCGCATTATTACTTCAAAGTAATAATGCGACGTTGTCAGTGGCGGATTAGCCACGTAGCAAGTGTAGCAAATGCTTTTGAGGGCCCCGCGCATTGGGGGCCCGCTGACTAACGCTTTCTGTCCGTTAAAAGTATCAACTTATATTTTCTAAATTTTAATATTTTTTCAAATCAATGTAGCCACAATTTTTATCACGAAAGAGTTGCATCCAAATGTCCAACTATAATTTAAACTTTTAGTACATTTCAAAAAGTGAGTATTGGTTGAACTAGAAATTGTTTTGCACCCAACGCTGAAATGCCCAAACCGGGCAAATTATCAGCGTGTGCTGAACCAAGTCCACACTGCAGTGATAACAGGCAGGACTCAATTCCATCCTGGCGACCGAGCTCAGTCGGAAGGAATGGGTCAGGTGCCGCCGCCCTGTCCTGCTGGAGTGCCTCTACGCCTGCAAAGCCATCATGTGGAACCTAAAGCTGAAACGACCAGCGAGCCATCGTGGCTCAGCGAGAGGCTTCACGCCACTCGCGTATCTCTTCAGACGGGAAATTCTGGAACTTAGCCATCCATCAATATACTTCGGCGAGCACTTCCGCCTTCAAACCCCATGAGATGGTTGCGGCCAGGGCGCACGCCACCGCCGTCGACACCGGTGCACCGTACAGTGCGCCGGGGGTAGACCACGTAAGACGGACCCAAGAAATAGGAAAGCCTCCGTCTTATCCAGGGCTACCCATAAGCCCAGCGCATCAATGTGCCCGACCACCATCGACACCCAATATTTTATTTGGTATTCTCAAATACTTATTTTGTTCTTTTAAAAAGTTAGGTTTTAACAATAGTGCTGCCAGTTTTAGAATCTAGTGTATCCAGTACATCAATCATGTTTGAACAGGGCCTCAATTCTGCTCTTTACGCCAAGCCAGTGTCGTATAGTGATGTGCCGGATATCCGTATCCGTATCCGTATCCGCGGATATCCAAGGGAGAAGAGAGATCCGTAACCGTATCCGTATCCGTGACTTTTTTGGCGGATCTTTCAATACATATTACATAGATGAAATTCTATAAGCTGATTTTGTATTCACTGTAAAATTCTTAGTTATGTGTTTGTAACACTATAAACAGCAACTTTTTTTATGGCCAACGTCAAAATGAAAAAAAATTGGTCCTCCATTCAAATGACCAATCAAATGTTGTTAGTTTGTATGGAGAAACAATTTTTTTCTTTCGTTTTCGGTGTTAGTCCAGAGAAAAGTTGTTGTATAATTCTACTAATATACACTTCAGAGGTTTTCAGTAAATTTAAAATAACCCTGAATAATGGTTATTAGGTAGCTATGAAAAACTATTGAATTCTGTTCAGATTACTTTTTATTTCTTAAAACAAATATTTAGCACCTTTGTATTGCAATCATTTATCGTACTACACTAAATCAACTAGGCAGGTCGTAGGTACTGAAAGAGCTATCTTTATAATGAGATCAATCAAACATCTTTGTATTAGCTTATTAAAATAATGAAATATTTAAATATCAACAGCAAAGCGTCAAGTGGCGACAACTATCAAGGTCACGGGCTCCGATTGAGTAAAGTAAACTTACGTATCCGTATCCTCGGATCTTGACACCAAATATCCGTATTCGGATCCGTATCCGCGGATATACCTTTGTTAACGATCACGGCACATACACTAGTGTCGTACCACTGACACGCTTATTGAGTATGCCATCGAGTGGCCATTGGCATCGGTTATAAATACGTAGGGAGTTACTAAGGTCTAGAAATTCATCTGTCCCAATTAACAGATAGATACCTCACGCGATAGACCAGAAAGGACCAGGTGAGGTGGCTGCCTAAGGTTATTTGAACAATAACTATACGCATTCTCAGAGTTCATTTTTAAGCTAAGTAACTGAAGGTCATACATAGTTGTAAGTCAAGTTGTTTGGTTGTTGAAAGCTGGTAAAATAGAGCTACAGAATGTAATTCTACAATAATTAAGTATCGAAAAACAAACAAATCTAAGGCCTGTAAAGTGGAGATTTTATTATTAAACCTCACTTAAAACAAAATTTACCGATCCATACTCAAGTGAGTGATAGCTTATTTTAGAACGATGTTTATCGAAACAGATGTGATAGTTGTTTTTGAGATAAGCTGAAACTAGTCTCAAGCGATGATTTCTAGGGCATTTTAGGGGAAATGAATGTTTCCCTATGAAACAACGTGTGAAAATTTGCGGAGTGAGGGATTTTAGCACCGCCCACTTCACTTTTTTCCATCTACCAAATAATGATAAAACTACATCGTTCTGCTTCGGTGTGGCTATTTATTTTCCCTATCTCAAAAAACTCAAAACTCAAACTTTCTTTATTTCATAAAATTTTCAAAATTGTTTGAAATCGTCTTCCATGTAGACTCTAAAGTCATAGATCAACACACACAAAAGCAACAATCTCTGTTTTGTCAAATAGTAACCAAATAAATTTAACAAAATCAAACCCATACAAAATCTATGATATGCCTGTGCCGATCTACAACCGCCCGTTTCCAAGGGGTTGAGCCTTATGAGAAGAAAGGGCAAACAAACTCATGGCCACTCTTTTGCAATTCACAAGTAGATACAATGGCACTATTAAATATATCACAACATTGTTTTGATGTGTGCTAGTATGTCCGTTATTAAGGACTTAAAGGTGAAAAAACAACGAAGAGAAAACAAGATTAAGAAGAACAAACGAATACAAGAGAAAATGAAGTGAAACATAAAAAATAGAAAAAATAATAAAAAACATACTAGCCACACCACATTTTTACTTAAGAAAGAAATAGCCTGCGCTAATTAATCCCAAGCATTCTTGTCCTCCATGTAATCCACAATCGAGTAGTAGGCCCTCTGGCACAAGCCACGTTTTATTGCGGATTTAAATTTGTTAATACTCAACTCCTGAATATTATTTGGGATTTTATTATAAAATCGGACACATTGACCTCGAAAAGACTTGTTTATCTTTTGGAGCCTAGAGGCGGGTACAACAAATTTATTTTTATATCTGGTATTTATGGCATGTACATCACTTTTTTTCAAAAAGCTATCTTTATTTTTGTGAACATATATTACATTTTCATAAATATATGTAGGAAGGACTAAGTGTAGGATGTAAGGGTCGTACTCTGAATTTTCGTACCAGTGAGTTTTTATTAAGATTAATTTTCTGAACCATCTTGATACTTATAGCTAATGCAAAAATCTTACTCATATTATAATTATACTAATTTCCCTAATATTATGAAAGCGAAAGTTTGTGCTCTTTCGTTCTCCTTGACTTATCCCACGCTATGTACACTCGAGTTTAATAATATATTGGCAGTGCCAATGTTTCAAAATATTGTAAGCGTTAAAATGATCATATAGTACCATACACACTTATACATCAATAAAATGTTATCATGAAAATTGTTCCTCAGTTAATAATATATGACCACTCTTCTGCACAAAAATATCTAAATGCTCTTTGTTGATTTCACGTTGATTTCAATATATTTATTACAACCTCGGATCTCTGTACCTCTGTTAATATTTAGCTATTTGGCCATTAGATTGGCTATTAGATTTATTTTTGCTGGCCGGTGTACTTACTTACGGCGGATTAGCCACGTAGCAAGTGTAGCAAACGCTTTTGAGGGCCCCGCGCATGACCAACGCTTTCTGACCTTTACTTGCATGGAGTTCCAATTTTGAACCATTAAACTCCATAAATTTTCTATGGGAATTAGGCCAGGAAAAAAAACGAGAAAAAAATAAAAAATAATAATAACAACCTTTTGGTTAATGTTAAAAGTATAAAATTATTCTAGTAGTATAAATTTTAGAAATATAAAAATTATAACATTGTTTGACCATTCAACATGACAAGTGTTGATAAATAACTTGAACGTTCCGTTAAAGCTTGTAACTAGTCCAGACAGCGGCGAACTAAGCCAGAGCAACGAGCACAAAGTTTCGGTGCGACCGTAAGTTTTGGCCAATTTTGGCTGAAACTAAATTTTTTAGCCGAAACTGGCAGAAAACGAACCTTCGGTTGGCCTCTACAAAAATGCTATGTTTGAAAGTTTCCAATAAGAGTTCATCACAACCACGAGAATTTCAATTGTATGTTGTGCATTTCGTAATAAGTCTAACACGATATTATCATATTTATTAGACAAGAAAGAAAAAAGAAATGTGCCTGTTCTGCAATATATTATAGAGGTATTGATACGTTCTCTATTCTATTTTAGTTTGAAGATTTCGCCAGGGATAATGCAGTTAATCTTCTTCAAAAGTACCGAAATGATTACTGCGCATTTAACGATGACATTCAGGGTACCGCATCAATAATTGTAGCTGGTATAATTGCAGCTTCAAAAGCAGTAAACAAAAAAATATCACAAAATGTATTTCTCTTTTTGGGAGCCGGCGCCGTAAGTTTAGTAAAATACATGATATGAGATTTAGCATTTTTTAGAACTATTAATAATAATTTTGAAGAATTGACTTTTTAGGCTGGTGTCGGTATAGCAGATTTATTGGTTATGATTATGATGGAGGAAGGTATAAGTAAGAAGGAATGTGAAGACAAGATCTTCTTATTCGATGTTGATGGTCTTCTGGCAAATAAACGGCCTGGCGGTGTACCTAATCATGCCAAGCACTTTGGAAAGGATTTGGCACCTTCGAAAGATTTCGCAGCGGCCGTTGTGAGCCTAAAACCAACATGCTTGATTGGTAAGTTTTGCAGGTTTGGCAATAAGATCATGTCAATACATTGTGTTACCAGATTTGTGTAACTCCCGTTTTCACGAATTGGTTCAACTGCTGGTCATACGCATCCTCTCAGTATTATTAGACGTTTTTATATAACAATTGCAAGTAGTGATTTTTGATATGACAAGCGAGTGTTGTTTTTAAGGTGTTTCGACAGTGGGCGGCGCCTTTACACCTCAGATTTTAAAACAAATGGCAAAAAATGCAGAACGGCCATTAATATTTGCTCTCTCAAACCCAACTTCGAAAGCCGAGTGTACAGCCCAAGATGCCTATGATAACACAGAGGTATTACTTAGCCATAGACCTTTACCACATCATAACCAACTTAACTAACACTTATATTTGTCTATCGGTCTCAGTCACTTTAAATAAAAAAAACATATTCTCTAAATAAAATAAAGTAGCAGGTGTCCGTGAACTTTCTGCTTGCTTGCACTCTATACCTATCTTAAGACTTTACCTATCAACACACAATATTTTTCTATGAATATATAACTTTTTTTACAGTCCGGTATCATCCGGTGACTTAAGTGAACTATTTTTATTTTATTTTAATGAATTTTAATTCATTTCATAAAAAAACGCATAGAAATATTTTCTACTATACTTCCAGAATATTCAGAAATATGGTGCGCTAATATGTGGAGTGAAAGAGTAAGAAATAACATACATTAGAATAGTATAGTACATAATACGTATACGAGTAGGTGTCTATTGTATACGGTATTCATACATGAGAACATGGGTGATCATTAAATGTTCGCGATGAAATTGCTCACGAAAAGTAAAATAAATTGTTCGATGCTTAGAACAGCCTGCTGCTGCGCGCTTGTGTTAAATAAAGGTGACGTCATCGGACAATTTGATTAAGTTTTTTGGGGGAGGAATTGTACGTCGACGCCAAATTTCGAAGCATTAAGCACCAGTAGTGATTTGACAGTCACCGAGCTTTTTAAATACTGTAAGAGCCTGACTTCTTCGCAAAGCATTTTCACAGAGCATTAAAGCTAAGACGCTTTTACTGCAGTTTGCGAGTATCTTCACTAATCAGGAAAAAGACCTTTGCAGGCAATCGATAGTACAACACAAGATTGATACCGGAAATGAAAGATCCATTCGTCAGCGAGCAAGAAGAATTCTGACAGCAAAGGAAAAAGAAGTGCAAAGCTTGCTGGAAGAGACGAAAAGGAACAGAATCATTGAAGCCATCTGCAAGTCCATTGTGCTCAAATTGTGCTAGTGAAGAAGAAACTGCCCGGTTCTGCGTTGACTACAGACGAGTTAATGACATCACTAAGAAGGACAGTTACCCGCTATCTTGGGATGAGACCTGTGAGTGTTCCTTCCAAGAACTGTTGGCTGTGGCTGTTGTAAAAGAGCTACAGAACTTTCTTCTTAGGAGACGATTTGTACTGCTCACCGATCACGTAGCATAGAAGTGGCTGCTGCAATTCAAGAACCCAGAAGGTCAAGTCGCCAGTTTTATGAATTCGACTTAAACGCAATACACAGAAGTGTAAAGTCTCATAGGAATGCGGACTCTCTATCAACTGTCAAGAAGACCATGCCCAGACGACTGTAAGTATTGTTTTTGCAAGAATCAATAGGTTTGTCGCTGAAGTGCACCGAGGCTACTCCTTTAGTTCAGTGAAGGACGATAAAAGTAAGGGATAATTTGGAATTAAACTCGTATTTACCTTCCTCTTCAAAATGTACCCTATGCTGATGTGTGCTAATGACTCATAGGGAGTGATAACGACCCCTAATTAACAAAATTGATAAACTGATAACTTTTAGGCATATAATTATGAAATAAAGTATATAGCTTTAGATTAAAGATAGTTTTATGGTTTGAAATACTATTTGTGAGTTTTCGACTCATATTTTATTCTTTCTAACCTTTTAAGACACCCTTATTATCCTAAAGTTAAAAAGAAAGTTAGTATAGTAGTAGTTAGTATATTTAAATCATATACAACTTAATACTTGTAAAATTGTTCAAGCCCCCCTTATTATAGTTCAATAAAAAAAATATCCAAAGAACACGTTTGTATAATAGATAATGCTTTATTAAAAGAAAATTATATTTTTTTTGAGTTCATTGTCTCAAAAAATTTATTTGTACAATCATCTCTTAAAAACTACCCATTTTTTTGGTGGTTATGTGGGACTCGTAACCGACTAAAAACCGCACGCCATCTCAGGTACCAGGTGTACCCTACTAGCAGGGTAGCCCTAGAAGGGATTTCAAGATTTATTCGATCGTGTCAGATTAACATAGGAGGGAAGAATACCTTACACCCAGTTGACTACCCCCACCATACATGAGCCGTACATACGAGTATAATAATAATAATAAATTGTTTATTTTCTCCACCACAATACATTTATACATAATTTTAGCTTGCACAAGAATTATTACAAAATTTTATACTGAGGGAGACTGGTGCCTAAGCTAGGATCAGAGCCTGTGTTTCAGGACACCAGGGTCCCCTCCTTAATTGTATACATTTCTGTTAGTATCAGCGCTTTGACAATTAGTTGTGGTCGAACTATTATTATTGTGTGTGTGTGTGTGTGTGTGTGTGTGTGTGTGTGTGTGTGTGCTTATAATAGAGGGTGTAGGATCGTCATGTACCTATTTTTATGCTAAGACAGCAAGCATCTTTTAAATTGACAAGATTTAAAAGATGCTATTCTATAATAATATGTATGTATGGGTGTTTCTATGTATAATATGTATGTATTTACAAAAAAAAAGTATATATGTATTTATATCAGTTGTCTAGTACCCATAGTACAAGCTCTGCTTAGTTTGGGACTAGATGGCGTTGTGTGTATGTGGTAGAATATATTATTACATTATTATTATTTTATTGATTTTGTTGTATAGGTAAGTATGGTCCTAAGTAACAAAAGTAACGTTTTGAATACACGGGGTTAAGCCGGACTTTACTTATATGTACGGGATTGTATCGCCTTTTGCCACGGGACAGAGAAGAATCAAATTTCATTTTACTGTGCTGCATTAGGATTATCGGCTTAATAAACAACTGTCTTACCGTTAGAACTTTAGTTTTTTTGTATAAGAGAGCAGTAGGATATCTGAACGGTAGGGACAAAGGCGTTTATAGGGGGATCACCTTTTTTTTTTTTTTTTTACGTGTGGAAATCCCCTCGGACCGTCACCCCGCCGGGGCTCTCGTTCGGGCGGACTCGAACCGACTAAAACCACACGGTGTGCCCTCTTTGCGCTTCCAGTTTAGGAGGGGTCCAGGTAGTTATCGCCTTCTGGACCCCTCCCAGCGCCGGCCCGCTCCTGTTGCGGGCTCCGTCTCAAAATTTTCCTCTCCGGCACACGCGGACGCCGCCCCCTCGCGGCTGGCCAACTAATGCGGGTGGAGCGGAGAACCCATCCCGTCCACCCGCGGCCACACTCAGGGCGGCATGAGGCGCAGGTGAGCGCGCCTCCGCCGCCCGGTTCGCCGGCGGCGGATCAGGTCCGAGTGGAGGTCGTCCTCCCGGGCCTTCTCCGCCTCCTTCTGCGAGATTACCTCCTCGCAGAGGGGGGATCACCTAGGGCAGCCCATCAGATTAGTCGATGGTCAAAAATATTAGAGCGTGTAAGGTTAATGTAAGTTGAGTCGATTACATACACATTAGTGTATTTATAAAAATCTGTCGACTTTAACGTATCATAAAGTAGTGGGGAGGGTGACAAAGTTCCAAACAAAAAACACAGAACCTTTACCTTTAAATCTTTAAATGTCTACATAATACCTTTATTTGTCACATTTTATAGTAAATCAAAATATTTCAAACCGTGAGATTTAAAAAACCCTGCAAAATTATCATCTGATTTTTGGCTAGAGCTTTGTTATGAGAGAGAAACATCAAGCTTTCTCAAAAATAACTTTATTTTCGCATTAACTCCGTTAGTTTTTATGCTAGAGGCTTTTATAAAAACGCATTTTAAAGATCTTTTCATGTATGTTGTTGAAAATCTTTAAAATATAATGCCTAATTTCAATGAGCTGTAACTTAGGCCTACATTATTTGTATTAGGCCTACATTAAAAAATAAAAACGGAATTCTTTGTTTTTTTATCAATTTTAATTATTACAGTTTTTTAATAAAATAATAATTTAATAATATTTTTTAATATTGTTTTTGATCAACATTTTAACTTAGAATTCATTCATCTATTGATTCCTGTTTTTTTTTATTACCACCCTCTAGTAAGCGAAAAACACCCTTAGCGAAAAGCACACATCGGTATAGGGTAGATTTTACTTTTTGAGGTATGAAGAAAGCACAGGGAGATGACGATGACGGCAACTCATCACGTGAAAAGCATGAGGTGATGTTAAACCTGCTCGGAGAGATGTCTCATGTACACGCGCTGTCAACAAAGCTTATTGGGCATAGTGGGCTAACTTATTTCTGCGGAACGGGATACATTACCAACGGCAGAGAGTTCCAAATTCAGATAGTTGTGTCAAGAGCTAAGGTGCCAGACGTCCTCCGTGAAGTACACGATGGCGTTTCAGGACGTCATCTTCGCGACAAGAAGACGCTAATAAAAGTACGCGAGGGGTTCTACTGGCTTCATCATCGGCAAGATGGTACAAGGCTGGTGCCGTAAATGTACCACTTTCAAAAGGCTCACAGACGCAGAGCCGAGAACCTGTGACTGTACAATGTTGGCGTACCATGGGAACGAATGGCTGTTGACTTCGCCGGACCGTTCCTTGTTAGTGAGTCGGGGAACAAATACTTCATGGTTGTTATGGACTACTTCACCAAGGGACTAGAAGTATTCGCATTACCTAATCAGGAAACTACAACGGTCACGTCGAAATTGGTTGATGAAGTCATTTATTGGTTTGGCGTGTCCACAAGTGTTTGAAGAAGTATGTGGAACTTTGGAATTGCATAAGACTCGAACCGCCGCATATCACCCCCAATCGGATGAAATGGTAGAAAGATTTAATCAGACGCTTGAGACGAATCTTGGAAAATTAGTGGACACTCATCAGCGTGACTGGGACGAGTACATTCAAACGGATTTTAAGAAGGTGCACTGTTCTGGTTGCATAACCCGTTCCGTAGAAAAGGCAAGTCCTCTAAATTACAGACCAATTTTGAGGGTCCGTACAAGGTAATCACCCGGATGAACGACGTGACCTACAGGTTTCAGTGACAACCAAGAGTGCCATTCAAAGTGGTGCACATTGACCGCCTAGCGAAATATTGTGTCAACAATAGCTAGGATTCGGAAGAGCATCTCTAAGAAGGGAGCAGTATCATAAAATAGCACGAAAATTCAAAAAAGAAAGAGACTTCATATAACCGTGCAGGAATAATTTTAATAATAATACTCGGTGGCACGGAACAATAAGTTTTATAACAATAGGCATAAGATCGAAGATTATCTTGTTTACATTTAACACCTACTCGAATTTCTCAGACACAGAAAGTTCCATAAATATTCGAATTTTCTGAATAACTTTTTAGTCGTCTGGCGAGTATTATAAATGCAAGCTCGTGTTCGCGAGGGTTATTCATCCTATTCATCCCTAGGGTGTCGTAAGAGCCGACTAAGGGAGCAAACTCTGTAGGACAACAGCACTGCAAAGAGAGGGAAAACTTGAAATAAACCCTATACCATAGTGATATGCCGGATCGTTATCAAAGTATATCCGCGGATACGGATCCGAATACGGATATTTGGTGTCAAGATCCGAGGATACGGATACGGATACGGATACGGATCTTAAGTTTCTTACTCAATCGGAGCCCGTGACCTTGATAGTTGTCGCCACTTGACGCTTTGCTGTTGATATTTAAATATTTCATTATTTTAATAAGCTAATACAAAGATGTTTGATTGATCTCATTATAAAGATAGCTCTTTCAGTACCTACGACCTGCCTAGTTGATTTAGTGTAGTACGATAAATGATTGCAATACAAAGGTGCTAAATATTTGTTTTAAGAAAGAAAAGTAATCTGAACAGCATTCAATAGTTTTTCATAGCTACCTAATAACCATTATTCAGGGTTATTTTAAATTTACTGAAAACCTCTGAAGTGCATATTAGTAGAATTATAAACAACAACTTTTCTCTGGACTAACACCGAAAACGAAAGAAAAAATTGTTTCTCCATACAAACTAACAACATTTGATTGATCATTTGAATGGAGGACCAATTTTTTTTCATTTTGACGTTGGCCATAAAAAAAAGTTGCTGTTTATAGTGTTACAAACACATAACTAAGAATTTTACAGTGAATACAAAATCACCTATATAGAATTTCATCTATGTAATATGTATTGAAAGATCCGCCAAAAAAGTCACGGATACGGATACGGTTACGGATCTCTCTTCTCCCTTGGATGTCCGCGGATACGGATACGGATATCCGGCACATCACTATACCAACCCGTCTGGCCAGCGTGGTAGAGTAGGCCAAAACCTCCTTTCTAAGGAGAGACCTATGTCCAGCAGTGGACTATCAAAGGCTGTTGAAGGTGATTGATGAAGCGAATAGAAGTGTAACCAGCGACCTCGGCGATCATTCCGGACTACGAGTTTTATTCTGTATTGTTTGAACGATTTAAGTGTAGTAATAATAAAGTATCTTTATTACTACTACAAGGTTTATTATTTCAAATCAACGAACCCTAACACGTAACAATATGTTTGTCTAAATGCGTTAAAAATCCTGCCAGTAGAGTCCGCACATGCACACGTGCAATCTAACTCTTGTCTCAATACTAACTAACATTACTGCTTGTGTGTTTAGAAATAGATTAACTTCTTAATGACAGGTCCTGCCATTTGGTAGATAATCGCTCGCAAGCACGTCAAGTATTTTTTGCACACAGCATACATAACAGTTAGCCGACAAGAATTATAGCCTGTTTTGTAATTCATAGTTTTTTTTTATTTAGGGTCGCTGCATTTTTGCATCTGGTTCTCCTTTCCCACCTGTTAAGTATGGTGGTAGAGAGTACCACACGGGTCAAGGCAACAATTCCTATGTATTCCCTGGAGTGGGCTTAGGTGTAATATGTGCTAACATTTCTGTTATAAGTGATGCATTATTCCTTACGGCTGCCAAGGTTAGTAGAAGCTTTCTTCCCGTTCTTTAAATTTGGTTTGTGTATTGAAATGTTATAAGGAATGTGAATAATAAATAAATAAAACGTTTACACATACATATACATTTCTTTTTTAGGTTGTGGCAAATAATGTAACAAGCGAGGATATTAAACTTGGCCGTGTTTTTCCATCCCTCAAAAAAATACGGAATGTGTCGCTTCAAATTGCATTAGCAGTTGCAGAAAAGGGGTATCAAACTAGTAAGTATAGGCAATTAGACTTCTTTCACTTCTATTTTCGCGTGGAAATGCCTATAGGTCAACACCTCACATTAAGTAACAATAAAGTTGTATGTTGTTAAGGAGACAACGTTGATATATTACTAGTTTATTTCTGATTACATAAGGTTAGTTAGTGTATATATATGTATATATATATTTTAGGCCTTTGCCTATGAAGTTGGAGATATGTATGAAAATTCAGATTTTTTTATTTTAGCTTATTAAAGTACTGGCCCGAATTTCTATACAAGTTTGCCATTTTGATGGCAATTTGTTTATCCCTTTATTGTAGAAGTCTGCTGGATGGGAGGCAATGCAGTCAGCGAAAGCGTTTTGCACTGCTTCTCGGGTGTTGGAAATTGAATTTTTTCCCGCTTAGAATCTGTTGGGTCCATTGAGTACGGTGGATGATAGATAGCTACCAGCTGTGACTCTTGTAGCTTTGCGATAGTTAGTCGTGAAGTGTGTTTTCGCACGTTAAAAACTACCAAACAAAACACTATCTAAAAGAAATGACTGCATTGAAAACTGGCAATAAATTGGCCGCCAATAAACAGATTATTAAATCTGAAAATGCTGGTTTAAAAAATCTCTAACTTCATAGGTAAAAACCTATTCTTATCGCTAAAATAGAAATTTGGTTTTATCGTATCGTCCATACGCGGAGATAATATGTGGTATTATCAACATGTACGAGAGACACTTGCTGATAATTGCTGATGATAACTGGTGTTCGTCCAAAAAAAAGAATGTATGCCCGGGTGTGCTGCAATTCTACGTCACTGATCTCCAAAATCAAGGGCAAGGGCCTAGCTTGGATTTCAGGCCATAAACATTTGAAACTATGACTTAGGCAAACAGACACTTAGGCTGAAAGCTAATGAAAAATGAATTTTGGTCATAACGAGAAGTAGTTGTTCTACGCACGTAGGTATACCCCGCGTCAATGCTGCATAGTGGCGAGGGATGGGCAGCCGCGGTCTCTTTCTGCGAGGACGTTATGCTCCAGAAGGAGGCCGCAGAGCGGGATCGGGAGAGGGCCGATCCCGCTCGAAGGAGGCGACGAAGGGGACGCGGCAGAGGTCGTTAGCTTCCCAATCGCCGCCTGAGTCGCTGCGGCCACATCTTGGGGCTATGTGGCCGCTGCAAACGACCCGAGACAGATGACACTCCGGGGGGTGTTGTCCATGGTGGGGCGCTATTGCGCCTCCTACTGTATAGAGCAGTGAAAGGCGCGGCAGCCTCCCGCTCCAGGGTGACTACAGTCATCCCGGGATGTGCCTCAGGCATGGGGTACGGCAGGGAGGACTCCAGAAGCCGCCGATGCGTTCCTGGAGCTCCTCCTGACTGCCGAGGTAGGCCGCCGAGGGCTTTAGTGGGTAAACCGGTTCTCCGGGAGTCCCACACACGCCCTGCGTTTCCCCAACGGAGGGTATGGTGCGAAAAGCATTCCCCGCGTTAATTGACAATGCGTATTTGACATATAACGTATGATTCCTTCACCCACACCGGGCATTCTGCCAGTGCGTGCAACTCCGTGTCCACGGTCTGGCCATCGCAGTGGTTGAATTCAGGCATTGGCTCGTTACGGATTAGACACAGGTGATCTCCGAAGCATCCTTTCTCTGGTCGTCTGCTCCCCTATGCCATGAAAACAAGAAAATGTGCACACGATACGGACGAGCAGTATGTTATGGACTGGACGGTTCTTGTAGCGTTTTTTATGTGATTTTCTTAGAAAAATAAATTATTATTCAAAAAAAAATTGGTAAATTTATATAAATACAAACACAAACACAACAGAATTTATACTAAATACAATCTTTGACAGATGTTGCTGGTCTCAATCCAAAACCAAAAGATCTAGAGCAGTATATTAAAAATGAAATTTACAAATTAAAATATCCTTGCCTCATCCCAGAAATTATTAAGTATCCCGAACAGGAGTACAAGATGAAGTTGAACAGAAGAAAGTAGTTAGTATTTTTCCTTACTTTTTCACATTCAAATTTAAATAAATTTGCTAGAAATGTGATAACATAATGTTAAGAATATTACATGGGTCCATCACATTCTACCATAACAATGGTAAGTAAATACGAGTATTTCAATCTTTGAAACTAAATTTTAATGAATCATAATAATAATTATACATTTGATTAAATTATTTTGTTATTAATGTCAAAAAAAATGGTATGCAAGTGTCACTTTTTGTTACAAGTTAATACTGCCCTGTAGTATAGATTTTTTTTGCGTTGAATTACACATTCATCAAAAATCAAAAAATTCAGTATGTACATTTTATAAATAACTTTGTATTTTATACTATGTTTATACTTTGCTTCGGCAAGAATGGGCCGGCTCGACCGGAGTGATACCACGGCCTCACAGAAAACCGATATTAAGCAATTCTTTCGTTGCCTTTCACTGAGTGAGTGAGGTGACCGGAGCCCAAATCCCCCCTCCCGCTGACTCGAGCGGGAGGGACTCCGGCAGCAACGCACTTGTGACTTTTCAGTTGCGGGTGTTCATGGGCGGCGGTAGTTGCTTACCATCAGGTAACCCGTCTGCTCGTTTGCCCCCTTATACCATAAATTACTGCTTCGTGTACTATAATATTTTGATGAATAAAGATAAATATGTATGTATTTGATGAGATGTTGGTTGGATGAGATGGACATCCTTGTCTTTATTTCATAAAACAAGTATCATTATATTGTTATTAATGTTAGAACTATGTTTTTATTTGTATACATATTTAATACTGTTCATAGTGTTGGCAACATTGTGTCTGCAACGCCATCTTGACGGGCATAAAAACGGCGGTGCGCGGAAAGATCGATAATATTACTAATATTAATACTTTCAATTGTAGAAAATTACTGTAACGTGATTACATTTTGAGATTGATTTGATTTAAAAGGTATTAGCTTACAATCGTTTTTACATTAAGGATATAAAATAACCTACTTGTCTTGGTGCCATTCTGCCTTTTATAATATTAGTCATGGACTGCAGTTCAGGCGAATTATCTCTCAAGATTTTATCACCTTGACGTCTCATAATAGTACCACATAAAAACACACATTAGTGTGGCCTCGGTGACCAAGCCCAGCTCGTTCTTTATCACTGCGAGAAGCTTCTAGCTGCAAATTATCGTTCACTATATGTTAAACAATCTAAGATCTCTACACGCTTCGCAGCTTCTACTTATTTTTTTTATTTTATTTTTTAATATTGTACCACATTCACACAACGCCATCTAGTCCCAAACTAAGCAGAGCTTGTACTATGGGTACTAGACAACTGATATAAATACATTTATACTTTTTTTTTTTTTTGTAAATACATACTTATTATACATAGAAACACCCAGACCAAATCAAACATTAAATGTTCATGCACACAAATGCTTGACTTGAGCGGGAATCGAACCCGCGACCTTTGGAATAGCAGTCTGCTACACAAACCACTACGCCATTCGGTCGTCAAATAATAATCTTCATCAATATGTAATCTGAAAAACAAATATGGTATTGTAATCTGAAACCTCAGGTCTACAGGTTCCTTTTAATCAAGCAATATGTGACGGTTAATACATACAGGGTGCAAGGGATATCGTAACGAATTCTGAAACAATGTATTCAGACCATGATTCTGAAGAAAACCATTTATTTTTTTCTGCCGGAAAATTCATTTCTCTTTTTATAATTTTCAATTTTTTGGTTAGAAATAATGAAACATAGTATCACAATGAGTAAACAGAACATTTTACAGATTTTTTAAATAAATAAATGAAATTTTACACAAAGAAACAATATTAACATAGTGTGATTCAAAATATTGCTCAGGATAAGTAAAAGTTCATCAAGGATAGGGAGAATCATATTTCAGTTAAAACAGTCATTTGCATTAAAATTAGACGAAATTATAGTATGACCTTCTTAACATTACAAGCGGATAGTTGATCAGAGACGAAAGTTGGATAGTCGGGATCTGGGGTAAAAGAGACCTAAGGGCTTTTAACTTATTATTTAAAGTTGGACGAGAATTAGAATTTCGATTAGGAAAAATTAGAAGAATTGGAAGAAGAATTAGATTAAGAAAAGTGAATCAATATCATATTAATTATAGTTTTCTTATAGTCGTAACATTGTTGCTTATCCTAATGATTATATATACTCGTATATATACTCGTACCGATGAAGTACCAAAAGGACCAAAGTAACCCACAAAGTAACATTTCAAATGAAGATTGGTGATGAAGATTGGTGATGAAGAAATTGGTAACATTGTCATTGGTATTTTTGGTAAAACAGTTCCTAGGCTCAGAATCAACAAGGAGAGGGTTACAAGGGTAGCAAGTTCCATAGAGTCATTGACAACTTCATGATTCAGGGTGGAGATTTCACCAAAGGAGATGGGACTGGAGGCCGAAGCATTTATGGTGAGCGCTTTGAAGACGAAAACTTTAATTATGGTGCTGGATGGTTGTCTATGGCTAATGTTGGCAAGGACACCAATGGATCTCAGTTCTTTATCACCACCACTAAAACCACTTGGCTAGATGGCCGACATGTTGTATTTGGAAAGGTTTTAGAAGGCATGGATGTTGTACGTAAGATTGAAAAGACTACTACAGGGGCTAATGATCGACCTGTTAAGGATGTCGTTATTGTTAACACCATAGCAGAAGAAGTTGCAGAACCTATCAGTGTCTCAAAAGATGGTGCATAACACAATATATATGTATAAGAATATTAGTTTATTATGTATATACAGTAAGGTATATTGACAATGAATCTTACATATAAGTTACGAAAATATTCTTTGTGTACAAATAGCACGTCAAAGTAAACTTTAGTTTCTTTTGGATTAAAACATGATGTTTAATATATATTTCTGGAGATTATAACATGATTGAATGAACTGCCATCTTTAATATTTTTTTGTAATAAAACACAAAATATCAAAAAAAAAAATAGGTTAATGGTACTTCACTACCTTCAAGCAAACACAACATGCACATTGCACATAGTATGTAACATACTGTATGTTAATACAACCATATATAAATAAGCTAAAGTTTATTTCCTTACTTTCAGATACTTTTAAAATTTATAAAGATTCTGAAAATAACACGAAGTATCACTGCACAAGACTATGTAATCAAGCTCTAGGAGAGAAAAACAAAAACCTATCTTCCTGTACACCTCCCGAGTGTGACCTAACTATTGGCATGAAGACATACATTGTAAATAAATTCGAGTCAAACTAAGATCACATTATGAAAAGATTTTAGTTGAATTGAATAATTGTTATAAAAATGTCACTGCCGGATTATTAAGGTCTAAGGGTGTGAGTTAATTTCCTTCTCGATGTCACCTCACTAAGGGCATGATGAAATCTGAAGAAATGTAATGTAATGTAATATCAATGATCGACACCAAACCACAGTATTTCAGACGTTAGATATACTACTTATTCTACTTCTACTTATTCTTTCTGCAACTAATCTGGTGTTATAAAGACAGGTAAAAGGACTTTTGACAAGAAGGTGTCTTTTAACTTGCGAAGTTAACTTAAAAGGTAAGCTGGCTCTTTCTTCAGCCCAATTGTACAGACAAAAGTGACTTCAGTGATTTAGTATAAAATGGTTTTTCTACATTATAAATAACCAACATTCATTACCAGATCTGTCGATTATTGTTACATATTAAATACATTTTTGTCGAGTGTCATTTTAGGGTGCCGTACCCAAAGGGTAAAACGGGACCCTATTGCTAAGACTCCACTGTCCGTCCGTACGTCTGTCTGTCTGTCCGTCCGTCTGTCACCAGGCTGTATCTCATGAACCGTGATAGACAGTTGAAATTTTTACAGGTAATGGATTTCTGTTGCCGCTATAACAACGAATACTAAAAACAGAATAAAATAAATATTTAAGTATATAACCCATACAACAGACAGATTTTTTTGCCGTTTCATAGATATTGGTAAGGAACCCTTCGTGCGCGAGTCCGACTCGCACTTGGTCGGTTTTATTTCTCTTTATTAACCTGTACTGACAGTGGTACTGATTGTGGTTATTTATTAAAGTGCATGAAAACAAAGATAAATTTTAACTTTTCTTTCCCAAGAATTACTACACATTACTACTTTGGTATAAATTTCGTACTTCTTTACAGGTAACTCTGGGATCGTTTTACTATTGTGGCAAGATAAAGAAGTGTAGTTCCAATGTTAAAATGTTTATTTAAATATTTGTATGGTTTTTTTGAGATACCTTTTTGTAAATGTAAATTATAATCGATGTGTGCTATTATATTTACTTTAATTATAAAAACATATTTTCATTCAAAACTTTACTCAAAGCATGTTAACGGAACTAAGAAGCCTCAAATCATCATCACCAGCCTTTAATAGTCAACTGTTGGATATAGGCCTCTTCTTAGATGAGGTTTTGACCTACTATACCACGCTGGCCAGACGGGTTGGTATAGGGTTTGTTTCAAGTTTTTCTCCTCTTTGCAGTGCTGTCGTCTTGTAGTTTGGTCCCTTAGTCGGCTCTTACGACACCCGCGGGCTGAATAGGGGTGGTGACACTTCCTATTCTTAATAGGTCACCACACGTATCGCCTCAGATGTCCGTCTATCTGTTAGCGGTATGCTATAATAAAGGATCTTTTCAAAGACGAATTACATGTTTATAAGTAAGAGAATTCGTTACATATTGGGAAACATTAATTAATAAGTAACAGATAGACATAGTTTTCACGTTGGTGGCAAAAAGCCGTTTACGGTAAGTTTTAGGTAGATGTTAGTCTAGCTTATCCTTCTCCTCCTGTCGCTCTCCTGACAGCTGTTGAGGATCGTGACCTCTATAAATCATTCCTTGGAAGATCGCATGCAGCAGTAGGTACGGCTTATAGCCGTTTGCAAGTTTTGAGGACTACGTTACCAACCACATTGGACCAAGAGACGGCCGCAAAATTTACAAGGTATCTGTTATATTGTTGAAAACATTCAGGAATGATAGTATTAGATTCCGTATGACCCCAGGAGTGGTTCCGTATGACCCCAGAGTTTTTAAAATACTGGGGTACCTTAACTTACTTACCATTTCTCCTGTTTTTTAGTCCTGATGGTTTTCATCAATATAACAGATACTTTCATTTTTGCGACTGACTCTCGGCTTATATACAATTATTTGTAACAATTTCGACTTCGTAGTTTTGGAAAAAGACTTGGCTAACAATGCTGTCTAAATTTCAAATCCTTCAAAAATTCTCTCGGTACCTACTTACCATGTTTTGGCAGATGGTCGCATTCGGCCGCCTAACTAGCACAATATCCAGGGGTTATCACGTGACGCACCAGCTGTTGCCGCGACCTTTATCCTGGACCGTTGCCACCAAAAACGTATGCTATATACACTTCCCGATTGTTATACTCGATCCATGTGTGTTTCTAAGAGCAAGGCCACACGATGCGTTAACGGTACAGTGCGGCGCCGCACCGTAATGAATTCGAAGTATAGGGTGCCACACGGGTGGTGCAGCATCGCAGTACACCAATATTTATCATTTCCTCGTTTGCATATTCCATAAAAAAAGTGCAGAGGGGTGACGCTATGTCAAGACTCAGTATTTAGAATTACTTCACTCTGTTAAAGACTATAAAGCGGAAGAAACGTGATTTATTACGAGTACTACTATTATTATTATTACTTATCATGTGACATGGTATAGTTATTTGTATTTAGGATGACGTAGGGGCACCGCTCCGGCGTCATAACGCACCGTCAACACATCGTGTGGCTTCGCTCTAAACTTGTTTGTACAAATTACAATCTCAAACTGGGTTGCTCGATTATGAAGTTAGACAAGGAAAATTAGTCGACTAGATAGTTTGAAAAGAAAAAATGCCAACCGAGATATTTCGAGGTATTTTGTTTCCTCTCGGTATATCATGATAATATAATTAAAATGCAACAGATTAAAATCTTAGATCGTGCCCCTATTTTGTAAGTTGCTGTTAAAAAGCGTAGTTTTCGACATTATAAATTTACCTCGATTTTTTACGAAGAACTGTATTATGAGAAAGTTGTAGATATTTTTAATATCTGAAATGAGACTTAATGCGTTCCAATTATTAATTTTTATACAACATGTAAAAAACTGCTAACAATCGGTTTTTTGAAAAAAATATTTTAATAAACAATTAGAAATATAGGCTTACCAAATTTTGGTAAATCATATGCTCTGTAGTATGTAGTATATGTTTTTTTTTGACGTAGTCTTTGCATTGTTTTTGCAAAAAGCCATGTATATATTTAAAATGCACTTTTTTTCAACTTCATTATTACCTACAGCTTTGGAAAGTTGTATTTAGGATCATTATCTTCCTCGAGTTGTGCTTTAAATCGATGCTTATGACTCATCGTTTTGTTTTCAAGGGGGCCTTGCAAAATGAGTTGCAATAAAGTGCTAAGTTGCATAATGGAAAGGTATTAAATGAAAAAACACAATGGTTTGCGCCGTTAACACTAGTGGAAATATTTGAATATTCATCATATCGTTGGCTAAAAACAGTATCGGAACATTTAATTAAATGATGATTCGAGTTATAGAGGATTTAAGATTTTAGGAGTTTTCAAATGCTATTTTACTTATTAAAAAAAAATGTTGTATATGTTTCATTGTTTTAATTTAATAATATCGATTAAATTTTGATCATAAACTGAATTAATTCAAAATTTACGTTTTTCGAGTTTTTGTTATGGTTAAAACGAAGTGCGTGAATGACTAGTGCCACCTGTCATAAACGTCATAATGACGGGACCAACTCTTGTAATTGAAATTTTTTACCACGTGTATTTTGTACCCATTTAGTACTATTTTGTACTTGTCCTTAAATTTTTGTACCTCCATGGTATAAACAGAATTTCACGATAACAAAGTTCCCGCCATTATGATGTGTTATTATGACGAGACCAGGCCTGTACTCCAAAATTACAACGAATCACATCATTCTGATCAAACCAGTTTTTAGTACTTGATTTAGTACTTCCAAAAATCAACAGTGGGTGGCGGAGATCTTAGTAGTTTCTTCACAAAATTCATTTTTCTTTTTTGACTTATTCTACGGCTTGAATAACTTAACGAGCAAAAATACTTCAAGTAAAAAGTTGCAGCTACATTTCATGCAGGCGCTTAATTTTTTTATTTATTAGGCGCAATTATTTCTGTTTCCCAATAAAAGGTCGCTAGGTGAAGCGGAAAAATTATTATTATGCGTTCTATAAATATATTTACTTTAATTTCAGTATTACTGTTAGTTACTCTGGTGTGCGTTACCCCAGCAAAATAATGTCGAAAATGGTCATTTAAACTTTTTAGATAATTAGTTGCTCCCCTTCTGTAATTGTTAAGCACATTTTTAAATTTGTTTCACTTAAACTTTTTTAGTTATTTCAAAAAAACATTTCCTGCTGGGGTAACGTTTGAAACGTTACCGCAGCCAGACATTTTCTTTTTTAATTGTAATATTGAAATAAATTTTAGCTAAATAATTAGTTACCTGGACTAGGTAAATGTTACAACTTATTTGGTATTTGTATTTTCTTCGGATGCGAAGTTATTCGAAATCCTGCTGGAGTAACGTTTGTGGGTTTGCTGGATCTCTGAAACGGGTAAGCGGATTGTAACCATCTTTTGTACATAACTTCTTAAGGATTAGTTTTAATTTGTTCGACAATAAAATAACAAAAATAATGGACCGTTTAAAAATTATTTAGGTAAGTATGAAAACACTTCAATACGTCCTAACACTTTAAATAAGACCTCTAAAGACTTACTTGAAACGTTATTCTATTGCTTGTAACTACCTTCAAATGTATACGAATTTTCGTAAGAATACTGTAAGTGACTAAAAAGTTATGATGAAATGTAGCTCTCCACGTTCACGATCACAATGTGTGCGGCCTTTTTTGGCCACCGATAAACCTGTGTGTGGATATATAAACTGAATGTTATGCCAATAATTAGTTGTTTAGTTCAGTTGTCTACCTGTAAAATTTAAGCGTAGTACATATAATAATTTACGAGATAATTAAATAAAAGTCGTTAGAAGGTGCAAGACCGTGGTAACCCGACCATGTTTGGGTGGTTACAAAAAAGCGATCACCCAGTACATTGTGCTGGCTTTTAAAATATGTAGGATATTATTTGCAAGTTTACTACGGATATGTACATAAGTGTTACAAAAAACTACATGTTTTTTAAATATTTTTTATTTAGGATTGTTTATTGCATAATTAGTAATTACTAATAATACTGATTATAATCAGCCGGGAGATTAGGTATTGTTTTGAATGCTTTTGTTTTCTCGTAATGTTTAGGTGAATTGTTTATAGTTGTTCATAGAATTGGTACCTGCGTAGTATTTGTTAATTGAAGTTTAATTTTAGGGTAGGTATAGGTAATTTAAGAAATATGAAATGAAATGATAAGTTTTGAAGAGTGTAACGTATGCGTTGTAAATAGGTATTTTGTGAATAGATGGGGATTTTTTAAAGTGATGAATCGACTTAGGCTAGCATATCGCGAACAAACTCTGTATTGCATTATTTCTGTAATAATGTTGGAGAAAATAAAATATTTGATCACAAAATCGCGGTGACTTAAATTATAATAAATAAATTATTTATGTAAAATTAGTAATAAGTGATATACCTACCTAAAAGTTATGATCGTTTTTAATTTGTTCATCCTGAACGAAATTTCAATATTAGCATTAGTAATTAATATCCTAAGACAAGAATTGACAATTACTTAAATTGAATTGAATTAGCATTAATGCCTATTATTAGTAATTAGGTACACACATATTGAAGAACTCTCAAGAATACGTTAAATATTTGCAAAAGTAGAAAGCGGAAGCGCACACGTACTTTACAACACGTAGGTATATTATCTGCCTAAGGGTCAATTTTAGTGCACTAGATGCAAATTGCAAACAATGAAGTATCCCTTCGCCCCTCCCCTCCCGCGTTCTAGCGAAGGATGTATTATCAGCGATTCTTGATTGACAAATATTATCTGACCAATAATTTTATCTATAAAAATGTATCACTTTCACTCGATAAATTAAATTACCGTTATTATATCAAAATATCATTCAACAACTCTTCGATTTTAACAGAAATCAACAGTCACAGGTAGGTACATAGGT